ACTTAATTTCTTCACACTTCATTGCTCTGTGCTTTGGTCACAATTCAACACCAAATTGGAGCTCTTTGGAATTGTTGGCGTGACGAAAGCTAACTGAACTGGATTGTGGCCCACATCACTGAGAGCTTAGGTCATGACTAATTTGTGGCCTAAATTCAGCTGACTTAGTCTGGTTCCAAACCTTCAGTGTGTGAACTACTGTAACTGAAAAGGACTAGATCTAAACTGCCGTCAGTGGATATGAGAGCCAGTGTGGTGTAATGGTTAGAGTACTGGAGTACTGGGAGACCTGGGTTTGAATCTCCACTCAGCCATGAAGCTCACTGGGTGACCTTGGGCCAGTCGCCCTCACTTAGCCTAACCTACCTTACAGAATTGTTTTACAATATGTAACATCAATTTCATTTCTATAGATTATTGAATAGATATGTCATATTACTGTATTATCCATAGTTGCTAATAACCTTCTATATGCTGTATAAACTTGTTTCAGATATCAATATATTTATCCAAACAAAGTCTACTTCTACAGTGGTACCTTGGTTGTTGAATGGCTTGGCTCCCGAAAGCCGCAAACCTGGAAGTGTTCTGGTTTGTGAATGTTTTTTGGAAGCCAAATGTCCGACATGGCTTCCACCGCTTCCGGCTGAGTGCAGGAAGCCGCGACTTGGTTTTTGAATGGTTCCAGGAGTCGAACGGATTCCTGGAACAGGTAAAGTTTGACAACCAAGGTACCACTGTATAGGCAATCTGTTCATATGTTTGCACTCAAAACACCTTCTAGTTTATACTAGGATTTAAAATATATTGCTTTGAACATCTACCCCACTAACTAGCCTGCTAAGACTCTCAAGGCAGCTTACAACAATAAAAATCATGCCTAAAATATCAGTCAAGACTATAAATACTAAGTCCAATAAAAACTAGGAAATCAATAAAATAAAATAGCAATAAGGCCTTAAAACATTTACAGTAAAAATAATATATATAGTGGTCTGCTCAGTCATAGGCTTGGCAGAACAATGTAAGTTTACCAGCTTCTTAAAAGGTTCCTAGAGTTTGGGTTTAGCACAGTTACTTTAGTTGCACTTGCCTGTGTCTCTGGATGGCAGTTGTGTGGACACTGCCGATGCCAAACATGGGATGGGGCCAGAAACACACTTTGGCACACTTTCTCTGCGGCCAACCCCTCTTCTCCCCAACAATCACATCAGGAAGGGAGGGCTAATTTAGTGCTGCTGACATGAGTGGAGTGGATGGCAGAGAAGGCATAGTCAGAGCTCCATCCACACCTCCAGTGTTTGATTAGTTGTAGGGAACAGCAAATGAGCAAAGGCATCAAGTTCTTTGGTCTCAATTCCCCTTCCCCAGTTCTGGTCCTTGTGGATTCCCGCTCCTCAGGTTCCTTCCTAATTCCAAACTCTGATGTCCACAAACTTAAGTAGTTTTTGTTAAGGGTGCTGAGAGTTTTAAGGAGCAGGGCTGGCCGAAGACATTTTGGAACCTGAGGAGAACCACAAAATTTTGTGCCCTCCCCCTTCCTGCCAAGAGCGAAGATCTACATCAGGAACAAGGAGGAAAAAGATCTACATTGCAACAAGGGTGGGAGGCAGGCGTGCCATTGGGGAGGGGCGAGGCCCCCCCAATCATTTTTTTTCTAATTCTGCAGCAGCCTGACATCATGTACACATGCTGAAGTTGCGCTGCCCCAGCCCCCTCAACCGGCGTGTTTGGTGGGAGGACAGCAGCAGCACCCAAAGGCCACTGTAGAGGCAGCATTAGCAGGCCTCCTGAGGAAACAGCCGATTCATACCATGGTATGTATTCCTTGGAGGCTGGATCTGCTGCCCCTGTGCATCCTGCCGCCCAAGGCAGTCGCCTCACCTTGCCTCATGTGGGTGGGCTGGCCCTGGTAATGAGACGCACATTCCCCTCACAGAGCTACAAATTGCAGAGCGGCTTAATGATCCCTCATTCTTCACAGAGAACCCTGAAAATAGTATCTCTGTGAGGGGAATGGGAGCCTCTCAGCACTCTTAGCAAAATTCGGTTCACTGGATTCTTTGGGGGAAGCCATGATTCTTTAAAGTGGTATGATACTGCTTTTAATGTACAATGCAGATGGGACCTGCCTGTAAAGACTCAAGGGCAAAATCTAATCTGGTATGCCTTGCCCTTAATTCTGTAACCCTCTAGACAGGGGTGGAGAAAGGGGTGTGTGGTGGGGGTGGGTCGCCCCGGGTGTCACCACTGAGGGGGGTGACAAAATGCCGGGTGGCACTCACTGAGGGGCCTGCAGTGTGCCTGAGCCATGCGTCTCTCCTGGGAGTGACGCGGTGGCTTAGGCGCCCGCCGGCTCCATGCTGCCCCAAAGGGTCCACCCGCCACCCCCCTCACCTGTAGGGCAGCTTACTGGGAGGAGGCAGGCAGACTCCTCAGAGGCCCCACGGAGTGCCCTGCCCTGGTTCGCTCCACCCCCATGGGCAGCTGGCCCCACCCCTGGGCACAAGGCACGTGCACCACCCCAGGTGCCCAATTGGCTTGCTCTGCCGCTGCCTCTAGAGAAGCAGAAGATGGGATTTCTCTCTTGTGGTTGCAGAGTTCTTTGTTTTTAGCTGTCACAGTGTACTTAGCACTGCTTGGGTGAGGCATAACTTTACATGTAACATTACCTCATGGAATCCCTAAGTTTTTTTTAAAAAAATGAGCTCATTACCTAAGTGGTTTTAAAAAAACCAAAAAACAAAAAACAAAACACGTCACTTAAAGACATTTTAAGCCTCTACCCCACCGTTGGCACATTTTTAGTCCTCATCCCGCCATTCTTTCCATAGAGCCAAATATATTTGTGAGTGGCTTTTCCACACCTTAACTTCTTCCCCCATACAGAAGTGCGGTGAGGAAACCTAGTCAGTTTGACCAGTACGGATGTCTCTCCTTTTTCACCTGACAGTATCAATTTCACTGAAGAGCACAGTGGTGTCAGTGCTAAAGAGAAGGAATGGTGAAGGAAATTTCATTTGTTTACTTATTCCATTTCTGTCACACGCTTTATCAATTCATAATCCCAGGGTGGGTTTAACATGAAATATAACGGTAATAAAATACCACAAACAATAAAGCTTAGCAACAAAAACAACGTTTTAAAACCTCTTGTTAAAAGAGCAGGGAAACTTGGCAGTGCGTGGGGGAACCCAAAAAAGATACTTGTGGGATTGTATTTGAATCTATAAGGGCTGGAGAAAAGGATGGTGACATTTAAAGTGGGAAAAGAGCAGTGTAAATAGCAGTATGTAATGTGCATTGAGTTAAAGGGGAGGAAGATTCCTTAATGATAATTAAAGAGCATATGTGACTTGGTGTAGATGTTGGAGAAGTAACAAGCATATATTTCAAATAGCTATTAGTAGTGAGTATGAAGCATATGAGCAGAGTGTGTCTATAAAATGGTAGTTTGTGGTGCATTTATGTAATCCAAGTGATGCTTAGGGTTTGTTTGTTTTAGATTATCAAAGGATGCACATTTGAATCCCCACAAGGATTCATCATATGGATGCTCTCTATATTCATCCCTAAATGAGCTAGTGGTGTTTTCTATTCACAGCTACCTCATGCAACTGTTTGGCGGTAGTAATGCTTCCTATGCAATTAGTCTTCATGAGTTCTGGTGTACACAGTGACAATCCCTCTTGCTAGATCAGGATGGATGCATGTTTCTTATGGTCATAAGCTGTGGGAGCCAAAATAGGATTGTTATTCCATAAACATCTAACTGTACAGGTTTCAGGTCAGGTTTATTAGTTCTGCATCAAAAACTTAGCGACAATACAATAACAATAAAGGGATTAACATTTTAATGAGCAACAGCAAATGCTCATAAATGTAAATTATTGGCATTGGATGAACCAATGAAAATTTATTTTGGCAAGGTATTTAAGACAAAACTGAGTACATTATAGCAACGTAAGGAAATTCCTCAGCATGTTGCACTGCAGTTATCATGCTGCACAGCAAAGTCTGTGATCAAAATTAGCAAGCACCCATTAACAGCTTCAGCGTTTAAAACACAGCCTCATACAAGGCAACTTGTGTAATTTTTAAAAACAAAAGTACAATTATTTGATTGATCTGCACTCACAGTGCAGAAATAAATGAGTCCTCAAGTCATTTAATGAACTAGTGTGAATTTTCAAATCCTTATTCATCCATGAAGCTCATAGGCAGACCTTGGGCCAGTCACTATCTTACAGCCCAGCTTACTTCACATTCTTTTTGTGAGAATGGGGAAGAAACCCATACAAGCTATCTGAGCTCCTTGGAGGAAGAGTGAGATACAAGTGTGATTAGTTATAGAAAGCAGCCTACAGAAAAATATCAGATTTCACTCCTGGTTTTTATTGGGGGGGGGGACACATTACATTGTTGTAGAATTAAGCAATGGGTTTTGTTCTTACAGATAAAATAAATGAGGGCTGCCATTTCACCATTTTGTGCTGATTTTAAAAATATTTCTTTACAATGCTTCAGTTCAAAGAGTATAACATTTTAAGGACAACCTGAGATGATACTCTTATGGTTCTCAACAATGTACACAAGTTAGAATTGGGAATCCCTATCACCTCATAAAGGGTACCTCCAGATGGCCTGTTTAATGACATTTCATACTGATTTGTTTGTGCAGAGACAAGGTGACAGCTATTTAATGAGCAATCACTTGATTTATATCTGGGGAGGCTAGACGACATCACAGCAAAGCAGGTTTTATTTTCCTTGAATTTCCTCATCACTTTCCTTCAAGCAAAAAGTCCCATCTTCTGGGAAAGTCATGCAATAAACCATAAATTCATAACCCAAATTTGCTGGCATATGATTGAACGCCACCCCAGAATAGCAACAGTCTGGAAGCACTTAAAGTTCTTCTGATTTACTGAGGGTGAAGAAGAGACTCCAAAGATTGTGATGAGATGACAAGGAGGGACTTTGGCTTTGCAATGTCAAAAGGATAGGCTGCTTTCAAGGAAATTGGATGGATTTTGAATGTTTCATTGCAGTGAGTAGACACCAAAGGAATTGTGCAGGTGTTGTGGTGTAGGAGTGAGGGAAGAGGAGCAACTTGGCTGCATGGGGAATATGGTGGAGCTGGTAGCGCCAAGCCAGGTGGATGGAGACCCACAAAATATTTGCTGTCTCTCCTAAAGGGTGGAAAATAGCAGTTATTCATTTGCACATATGGAATCATTTCAGTGTATGCATACTTAAAACTGTCTGTTTACTGACAGCGAGAATTACTTTAAAATGCTCAGTTAGCCTGACTACTAAGGACATTTTGAATGAAAATAATTCTTCTCGCTAGAATGATTTCCCTTCTACTACAATACATTTCCTTTCATTGTCTTTTTTCCAAGTCTCTGCTGAAAAGATTGAACCCATCTGTTCTATTACTGTTGTCTCATCTATCCTTAGCAAGATATTATTTATCACAAAACGAGTTACAGTGTGACAAAGAGTTTGTCAAAATTCAATGATGAATCCTAATCAATAGCGCAGCCTTCATATCTCAGAGTAGGGGGAGCAACTCTCCCCTGTGACAAACACTTCAATAATGAAACATTAAAAACTATCCCCTGTTTAGATTCCCTGAGTAATTCCACCGAGTTTTCTGCAATCACCTTTTTTTTTTAAAGCACACTTTTATTCTGTTTTCTTTCTTTCGTGGCTCTCAGGGCAGTGTAGATGGGGGCCCTTACTGGTCCCCCCATGCAAGTACTGTGACCAGATCCAAAACTGCTTGGCATCATGAAAGTTGCTTTGTTGTAGGACTTGCTTAAATTGTGGTCTTGAGGTATAAATTGTAGGGAAATAACTACATAACCATGAGCACAACCATGAACCCCAGATCTGCTAGGCATGAGGATTGGGTGGATATCCCCTTCATTGTTGATGTGATTTTTTTGGTGGCGGTGTAAATGCATGTTGTGGCAAGTTTCCCACCCATTACATCTATGGAAAGCTACAATGGCATAGATCTTGCGGTGTTTTTGCTGGTGGTAGCCAAGGTTTGGCTTGGGAATGGGGTGTTCTGGAAGCAGACGCAGCCTTGGATTTGCTGGATCCAAAGCCTCTTCATTCCCCCAATGGGCCCCTGTGCTGGGTTCATTACCAACTTTAGCCTGGGGCTAGCACAGATGCTCCCCCATTCCCTCTCTCTCAACAGTGAGAAAAAGTTGAAATACAGTGGTACCTTCAGGTTACAGATGCTTCAGGTTACAGACTCCGCTCACCCAGAAATAGCACCTCGGGTTAAGAACTTTGCTTCAGGATGAGAACAGAAATTGCAGCAGGAGGCCCCATTAGCTAAAGTGGCACCTCAGGTTAAGAACAGCTTCAGGTTAAGAACAGACCTCCAGAATGAATTAAGTTCTGAACCCGAGGTACCACTGTATGGGCAAGAAACACTCAAGCCATCCACCATGGTTGGTGTAAGACAGCAGAGCTTTGGGTCATCTGCCACTTCACCAGCCCACTTAGGTTTGCTTTGCACGTCATTTAAACTTCTTCTGGGGGCAACCCAAACTTGAAATAAACATTAGGCATGAGGCCTTATTAGGCTCAGTATAAACTCTGGCATGCTATTTTGCTAAATTGTATTTTCAGGCAGCAAAATGTCTTGGGCTGGCCCTGATTATGGTAGTTTAAAAAGTTTTGGGATGAAAAATTCTAGGACCTTTGTCTAGAGCTTAAGACTTGTTGGCACCTGAGGCTAACCACAAAATGGCGCCCCCTCTCCAACCAGGGAAGAAGGGGTAAATGAATAGCTACATCAGGAACAAGTGGGGCGGGGATAAAGATATACATTGGGAACAAGAGTGGGAGGGGACTCACAGTGCCTCCTATTGGCCAAGAGGCCACTGTAGAGGTGGAACTGGAGGGGGGCAGGGAGAGGTCTGATCACCAAGGATTGCACTGCTGCTATTGGTGCATTCATTGGTGGCTAGATCTGCTGCCTCTGTAGAGCCTGTTGCCTGAAGTGGTCTCCTCACCTTGCCTCATGGGTGAACAATCTTGCCTCAGCCCAAATGTATTGGTCCCCATGCCTTTGAAAAGCCCTTTCATTCGTTTCATTCAATTGTTCTTTAGTTTTAGATGACACCCATATTGATTCATTTATGGGTTGATATTCTTAAAAAAAAATATGATTCAAGAACAAGATCAATTAAGAGTAAAACATTTCTACGCAAACCATTGATTTGAGGCATATTTTGCCTGCGTGTTGTCTTTCCTACATTATTATCCTGATAGAGATTCATTAGTTTCTACCTTTCCTGCTCTGTTAATTTCCAGCTCTCAGACTGTCTCTACAGATTCCCAGCATGCAAAAATAAGCAAGCAAATCTTTCTTGAATGCAAAAAACTATTTTATATGAGCACTTTCAGCATTTGTAAGGACCCTGGGCTTCCTTACCCAAGGGCACAACTTAAACGAAAGCCTTCAAGGTTAATGGTGTGAGTGGCTTTCTTAAGTTCAGTGGGATGTACTCTCAGTATCTATGCACAGGACTGCAGCCTATGTCAACGTTGAAGTAAGTCTCATGAAAGAATATAGAAATGCAGCCTAGAGCATTTGGGCCCTACTGGCATAGTGTATCCAGAAAACATTAGAGGGCATAACCTGGGGAAGGCAGGGATGTTTCTCTGTGGTGGGGCCAGACTGGGGCCTCTAAGGAAGGCAGCTAAGCAGGACTGGGAATGTAGAGAAAGTTCCTTCATGCTGTTCTCATTGTTGATTGGGATATGAAGCCAACACAGCACAGGAAGACTGTGGGCTTTGTGGGTTATGTCACCTGCCAAACTGCAAACCAATGGGCAAAATTAGCAGCCATTGTTTGCAATAACTTTTATCTTTGTAATTTGGTGGGTGTGATTTTTTTTTTTTTGCTATATAACGTGATGGAAAGAAATAGAGAGAGCTCTGTTTTCTAGAAGTTAGGTGTGAGCAGAGGATGGTGAGCAACAGTGTTTTGTAGATAGTGGGAAGTTTTCCTACATTGTAGAGACAGCGTTGATTAGAAGAGAGAACCTTTCTCGGAAAGCATCAAATAGATAGCTGGAAAGCTGATTTCAAGACAGAGGTGCTGGCCTTCTACTTAACATGCTAGTTTTATTTATGAAGATAAGGTTTTTGAAAGCAGGAACATACAATCATGTGAGCTGCTACCCACATTTCTGAAGTTCTGAACGGTGGCATGGTAGGTTCTGAAATTCAGAGGTATAACCTCCATAAGGACTAGGACTATGCCTCAGCTCAATCATTAACTCACCAACCATATTGGCCTGTAACAGTAAACCAAGAAGCTTGGCTTAAAAAACTGCATGGTGCATGAACTCCTCACTTTGCTTCTCTTTTGGTGCAGGCAGGTAAAGCAGGAAGAGGATAAGCTTAGCATTACATCTGAGCCTGGGGTTGTGGTTTGATTTGCCCTAATAAGCCAGGATGCATAAGCCAACAAGAATGGTTTTAGACCAGCAAGCAGTTCTGGCTTGGTTTACAAAGCCATTTTTCTTGGATTATGATTGCATGTAAACACAGCCACTCAGTGGCCTTTTATGTGAGCCGCTATATTTGTTCTTCAGCCTGACCCTCCAACTGCTGATCTGTATTGCTAGTTGGTTGTTTTATTTATGAATGAAATAAAGTGAAGTATTTTGGGCACCCCACCCCAATACATTGTTATTCAATGTTATTTTTATTATTAATTAAATTTATATACCACCTTTCATCCGAGGATCACTGTAGTAGTATAAATGAAAAATATTGTGTCCTCCCTCAGAGTTGCTGAGTTCACTTTGGGTTGTTTTTTCTTTTCTTTTTTAAGGAGACTGTGGGAAGCCATTTGTGCAAAATGCGAATGCATGTAAATTCATCGCTCCATGCTGCAGTCACATTGGCTCAAATCCTTGTCACTCCATCATGGTTCCTGGAAGCAAGGCTGTCTCTTCCGGTTATGTGCACTGCACCTTCCACCAGTATAGCTTTATCCTGGATTCAAGAATGCTTCTGTGACCTACGGGGAGCTTCCATTTCCTTCTGGTGTGCTCCCTCAACCAACCAGCTATCCATTCTCTCTGAGCAGATGAGGTATGCTCTACGTTGGGAAAGTCAATGGGCCTCTTAGTGCCCATCTCTGTGTAGAGCAGAGGTTTTGACCAGATGATGACCTGCAGGCTTTTTAGTACTTTGATTATGACCTATGTTTGACTAGGACTATGATTCAGCAGTGACCTCACTGCTCAATATAGATCATTTATATTTTATGCTTCCAAAGTTTAATGTTTTTGCTACTTAGGTAAGCACTGCAGGATGGACTAATATTTTCTATTAATGGAAATGATGCTTGTTGTTGCTTTTTAAAATAAAATTGAAGGAAGCTGAAACAGGCTTAATTGATTAGGGCTATTTATGAAAGGTATGGCAGGGGAGACTTTGCCGCAGGTTAGCTACTTTGCACGGGGTTGTGGATGTGAAGGTAGGCAAATAAAGGTACATTTTCAGCATTACTTGGATGGGGAAATGCAGCAGAAATTGAAATTGCTGGGGAACAAGCCTGAGATCTTCTAAATGCAAAGCAGGCACTCTACCAGTGAGCTACAACCTTTCCCAAACTTCTGTGGTAAACAACAACTAGCCTCTCGGGATGGAGTTGTGGTTCAGGATGAGTTTTCAGTCCTATGTAGAGCCAGAAGAGAACTCGGTGGATCAATGCAGAGCCTAGCACAGTCTGTGGATGTAGGCCGGCGATCCAGAAATGGAGTCAGTAACAAACTTCATTATTTGTTAGGGCAGCTTTGAGGTTTATTGGCTTTTCAGACTGCTTAAGCTCGGTTTAACTGGTCAGACAAATACATCATGGGCACCTGTATAGTCTCCTACCGTGCCTCAGTTGCTCAAGCAATGCAGGCATTACTACATGATGAAATTGGCTGAGAATTGACCAACCATGGTAGCCTTTGGATCTGATTAAATGGCACATAAACATGGTAGACTGAAGGCATAGAGGATGATATTAGCAGATACATGGCTGTGATCATTGCAGAAAATGTCTGCACTGCATTCAGATAGTCTGTGATTAGATTTTCTGTTATTCTCCATTTGGTTTTTTAATGTGTCGTGAAGGAAGTCCTCATTTTCTACTGATTTTGTGGTGGGTGGGTGTTTAAGTTGTTTATTTAAAGCATTTTCACCCTGCTCTTTTCCCAAAGAGCTTGCAAAAATCTGTAAAGAGACAGTTCTTGCCTTCAGACTTGCAATGTGAAACACACAACATACATGGGTGGGAAGGAGGAAAGTAGTGCTAAAGTAATCAAAAGGCTCATAAACCCTGATCAATCAATAGGTTCACTAGGTGTTCCTTCAATAAGCGAGTCACTCTAGTCTTTAGATATTTCAAGGAGGGCAAAGTTGCCATGGGCTTGGTTGAGGAAAACAGCGTAACAGAGAATTGGGGTTGGGGGCAGACTATATGTTGCATACAAAGGAAGCCACAATGGCTGTTCTAAAGAAAACATAAAATCAGCTTTATGAGAGGGTGATTTTGATCAGAAATCTACCCCATTTGCTTTCCCCCAGGTGGGATTCCAAACATGTGCTCACATGAGGAATTACAGAAGCAGCAAACTGCCTACAGCCATAAAGACACCTAGCACAACCTCCTTCATTTATTCCAAGCAGAGAGAAGACTTGGCCAACACAGCAAGTGAAGGAATCACTCTACAACACAGGAGCGATGGCAAAATGAAAGTGAAACCAAAAAGGAAACATTCCAAGGCATACACAGAGAAGGGAGTGATCACAACCCACAGTGTAACAAGGCACAGCAAATGCTCCATTTGTTTTTAAGCAATCAATAACTCCTGGTAGCTTGGTTTTATTGGAAGAAGAGATAGCTGCTTGGTTATGAGAAAAGACTATTCTACATTTTGTAATCACTGACTCAGGCACAGCAGCATCACCTGATATTGCTCATCTGGCACATGGTGTACCCTATGTGCAATTCCAATGCAGCACTCGAGAACGGTTTCCAAGATAGCTCTGAAAATTGGATAGACTTGTGGTCCAAAAGCAAGAGGAGCTGCTGACAAATAGTGACAGTAAAGTTACTGATGTCATCATTAGGTTTGTTTTGCATCAGCAGTCAGGCCAGCCAGAAAAGTATTTTCCAAACTTGTGATAGTCAAAACATACTTCCTCACCACAAGGCAAGTATACTTTCTTCTTCTTCTTCTTCTTCTTCTTCTTCTTCCCCTTCATCAGTAGATTTCAGGGTGGTGCACAGCATAAAAATACAGTGTGAAAGAGTAAGAATTCCCCACGCTTTGTAAGTTTTGTATGAATCACTGTGCTTCTCATGACTCCAGATTGGAAGGAGACAAGTTCAGGGGAAGTGACTCTTGTAGACTCCCTTAAGGGAAAGAGCAGTTATGGCATATCTGAGGGTGGGGAATTATGGAATTGAACATGATGCAGACATATGGCTCAATTACCCACCTTCCAGGTTCTTGGAGTGGGGTAAGGGACCTCAGAGCATTAAATCCTGCAGAGATGCAGCTTTCAAGCTACTCTGGACCCAATAGTTCCTTATATTTATTTATCATGACAGAGACTTTGTGAATTCCTGGACTGGATACTTGCAGATATGAACATATTCTTACTGGTGTGTGCATTCATTTAGGGCTCCATAATACTGAGTGGTTTTAGTAGCTGCTCTTAGGGTTTCTCGGGAACATAAACATAACATTTGCAGAGTTTTTAAGTAATGCTTCCTGGGCAAGAAATGTATAATGTTATCTGAAACTTCCAGAAGCCGAAAAGCATTCCTATGGATTGATCTTCACCCAAGCGAGTAGAGCCATTTCCCTTGCTACCAACAGCTAAGCTGGGTTGGCTGCTGCATATGCACTCATCTCTGATGAGTGTGCCTGTATGATGTAGGTGTTTTCGAACACCGATTTTTAAATTTTTATTCTTAAGGCTTGTGAAAATCCCCAGTACACTTAACTTGAGAGTAAGCCCTGTCGACCTCTTGCAACATATTCAAAAAAAAAAAAAAAAAAAGGGACAGGTCTCAGTGTGGAAAGTTCATCCAACTTTTCTCCCCCGAAGAAGAAATTGTACACAGAGGGAACTACAGAGATGGTGTTGGCATTATGCAACAGAAGTGGCTGAGGCACTCAAGTGCTTCCATTCCGCAATACATGCAACGTTTGCTGGGGCTTTTAGCTGAGTATTGATGGCTTGCTGGGAAAGCTAATAGGTTGAGCAAAGTCCCCCCCCCCCCAATCTGTGGTTCAAAAGTGGTGTTACACTAATAAGCAGCAGCTGCAGGCATACATTCTAGGCTACTTTGGGCATCTGCCAGGTAGCTTGCCTACCCTTAAGCATCCTCTCACCATCAGACAAAAATATCTGTTTCCCCAGCAATTAATTATTCAGCATGTTTAATGTATCCAGGGCGGGGCAAGTTACTATTCTGAAATCGGTACCTTCGTATTAAGATGTAGTTACAGAGGACAGGCTGCTGTTGCTTTATCACCTCTCTTCCCCGCCCCCCTGCTCTGCTCCAGATCTTTTAGTAACTCCTTTCTGCATGTTTGTTTGGATGTCCTCCCTGTTCAACCCCATCCCTACTTTTTGCCTCGATTTTGCAGGCCCAATCTTCCGCACCCAGCTCTGGGCTTGCCCCAACCCCTCCGGCCATTTTTCAAGAGCCAAGCCTTCCACTCTGCTTCTGCTATCTTGCAACCAAGCCCGGGGAAGGGAGCAGATGACGACGTCCCCGGCCGCTGCGCCTGGAAGCTGTATGGATGCCGCCCCATCTCCAAACTGCTGGGTGCTTTCGTTTTTACAACGTTGCGCAAATTATGCAAGGACCAGTTGCGTTTCCAAATGCTGGTCTTTTGCATTAGGCGCCCTCGCCCAAACTTCCTACACCTGGAGTTTGCAGCAGCAGCACCTGTAGCAAAGCGGTCCTGAGCTTCCCCTTGACTCTGCCCTCCTTTCTTGAGATTTGATCCCTCCCCCGTTTTTCTTTTTCGGCCCCCTTTCGGTGAGTCCCTTCCTGCCTCTGCAGCCAGGCGCCCTGCCCTCGATCAGTTTCACACTCCTCCTCCCCCCCCCCGCTGCTGCAATTTGTTCATTAACTTGGGAGGGGGGGAGAAAGACAGCGGCTTGTCCATTTGCTGCCTGGACCGAGCCATCCGCGCAGCAGCTCCACCGCGAGGAGGGGGAACAGCCCCGCTCGCTCGCTCGCTCGCTCGCTCTGTGCCTGCCTGCCAGCAGCCTCATTAGGCGCACGGCAGCTCCGCCGCAAGGACCCAGGCAAGTTCCCAGCTGGCCCAGACCACCCCAGGCGGCAGCCAGCAGCACCACCGCCCCTCGCTCAGCACAAAAGCCGAGCTGCTCTTAGATCTTGCGGAGCAGAGCGACTGAACTCCTTCCATTCCCGGCTGGAGGGAGGCGTCGGAGCGGCATCCTTTCCCCCTTCGCCTGGGAGGGGGCGCTGCAAAGTGCACTTGGAGAAGATCAATGCAGCCGTGCAGTTCCTGAGCGCGCCAGCCGCCTTGGAAGCAAACGGAGCAGATCTTAATTTCCACTTTTCCCCCCACCACGGTCTGAACCCGCTCCAATCTCTCTCTCCCCCCTCACCCTCTTCCAGATTCAATGAAGAAGCACCCCGTAGACTCCGATGGGCGGCTAAAGACCAACGGGAGTTGAGCCAGTGCTGCCCTAGACAGGTGGGCTGAATCCGCCTCGTCCCTGCGCGCTTCTGGGTCTCTACCTCTCTTTCGATTTCTGGGGAGAGTAGAGACCTGGGAGGCGCCCCAAGCGCGGCTCTTCGTGACCCAGGCCGGCAGGAGCAGACGGGAACCCCCCCTTTCCAGTCGAGCACCTGCTGGTGTTGTTGGCGTTTGGCAGCCGCTAGTGAGCCGGGGGGGATCTGGAGACCCTTCGGAGGATGGGGCGACCTGACTGAGGAGCGGACTGTTGCATCCCCACCCAAGACCCAGGCGCCTGCTTTGGAGGGAACGCGGAGAACTATCTTATCTCGTGCACGTTTGAACTCCAGAGAGCCTTGCCAAGACTTCTTCCCTGCCGTCGAAGAAGTTAGGAGAGGCGATGGGATTATTGCGAGGGGGAAAGATGCCTTTAGCCCGTTGGGCGTTAAGTGTTGTCGTCCTATGCGAGGGTAAGTAGATCTGATGGGGAAACCCTCTTCGCACTGGTTTAGGGCACGATTCAGCCAGTTAACGCATTACAGTAATTGAATATACTCTCAGTGAGATGCGTTTCATTGTAAACGTGCAGCTGGCTCCTCGTTCCGTGGTTTCTGTGCAGAGCGTTGAGCACCTGCTTGGCTTTACTCTGCTGGGATCCGTGGGTGTTGCAGCCCCGTTTTACGCATGTTTACTCGTGTCTCAGGAAGCCAATCTAAGAAGCTCACTTGCTCGGGAGTAAGCCCCATTGAACTAAGTGCTGCTTCCGAAGAAACATAGGATTGAATTGTGCGTCCCAGGGAGTTCAGTGGGGCTTACTCCTGACTGAGGAGGCATAGGACTGCAGACTTTGTGTGTGTTTATTTGGAAATAAGGCCCTCTTTATTGGGGAAGGGGGCTTATGTCTTAGGAAATGTGTTTCGGATTGCAGTCTTAAAATGCTTAACTTTTACTCGGATCACCCTTCCTGGTGATGACAGACTGTGCTCCGAAACGACCCCACCCCTTAATATGCCTGTGATCTTTAGCTCTTGATTTGCTCTTTTATTTCTTTTTCTTTTTACAATCTCATCATTCTTGTGTATAAACCCTGATTTCAAACAAATCAAGATGCAAAAATGGGGAATGACTTTTTTAAAGTTTATGAAAGATCTTTTTAAAAAAATCTTTCTCTCTCCCCGCCATCATCAAATTAAATTGGCTTCAGGTTGATAAATGGAAGAGCCTACAAGATGAAAAGTTATTGGCTCGCCACACAGATGATGCTTCCCGCAGCTGTTTAGTTTCTAAGGCAAACAGAAAAAGCCATTATCTTCCTCCCCTCCATCTGGCCGTGTTTGCCAAAGCGTTTCTGATGTTTACGTGAATAAATCAAAGTTTGTGTGTTGTAAAGAAACTTGTTCGCACTCTCCCGGGGTGAGGGTCCCCTTTAAATCATTCAAAATAACAAAAGCCAAAACAAAGGAACACCTTTTTTCAGGTAAACATCAGTGGCTGATCTAGAGGAGGATCGTTTGCTGAATGCTGGGTCATGATTAACAATTTTAAACCAGTTCACAGTGGTTTTAAATAGCCATCAGTTAAAAACAGTGGAAAAAGGAGGTTTTGGTTTGAGTCTTGGAAGCACTGATTGACTTACACAAGCCTTTTCTTCTTCTGCCTTACACATTTCTTAAGAATACCCGGGGCCCCTTACCCTATTTCAGATCTTCCTTAAGTCCATCATTCAATCTAAACTTCTGTGCCTCTTCAGTTGGTGTTTGTAGCTTGAAACCATAACATCAAGGTCAAAATTGATAGAATGCAAACATTTTAAAGCCCCTTTTTCTCTTTATACTCAAAAGTGTACTGAATGTTTTCAGAAATGTTTAATAGAGATTTTTGCTTAGGCTATGCCTCTTTGTATTATTGTCTAAATAATGCCAGCGGCGGCAAAATAGACAGGTCCCTGCCCATAGGAGCTTACAATCTAAATATTGATGGTATGGGTAGAAATGGAAGGAGGGGAGAGGGAAGGACAGTATATTATCATTCTCCCAAAATCCTTTCCCCCCCCCCCAGCAGTACAGTGTTGTATTTTTTGAATACACATGTTCATGTTTTGGAAACTGATGTTTCACTGTAAAATGCAGCATCATATTTATCACAAATTAATTTGGAAGCTGCTTTTAGGTCTCCTCCTTTAAACTGAATATGGTTTAGTGCAAATGCTAATCCAGAAACTGAATATGTTTTCCCCTTTAACATTAATTTGCCGCCTTCTTTACTTCTTTAATGTTTGTAACCTTTATGCTTTTATGTTCTTAGCATCTGCATACTGGATGAGGAATAGAAACGCATTTTCAAAAATAGTCCATCTTCTTTAAATATCAAAGCTTCTTAGATGACAATACTGTGGAATTGACCTGAGATTAAGTCCCATTGAATTCAATGGAACTTGCTTCTTGGCAAATGTACGCAGAATTGGGTTATTGGCTGCAGAATCGGGTTATTGGTTTTAACAAATGGAAAACCGCTAGAAGGGTTGTTTCAGAAGTGATGCTATGAATTCTTGTGAGTCTGGATTGTGCCACTTGTGAATTGGGGTGTGTGTGTATATGTCAGAACTTTTTTCTCTTTCAGAGCTTGTGTGTCTGAGAAGCAGAAATTTAGCAGCTACAGGTGTGCCCATTGCTGTATTTGTTTGCTGGGTAATGCTGCCGCCATGTAACTTAACACCTGTCTAGCAGCATATGCCATGCTGAATGAAGATCTAGATAGAAAGGAAAAGAACGCAGATTTTCCTGTGTGGGGACTGGAATTGCAGGTGTAGGAGATCTGGCGAAAAATACTAATGGTCAGTGGCGAAAACTGCAGTAAGGGAACAATGCAAGGGAAAGTTCTCCTGTTTAATCAGTATCTAAATGTGCAGGAGCTTGCAGCTCCCATTCATTTCAGTAGCTTAATTAACTACAAACCCCAACATATGGGAGGTGGCATTGCACAGCAGAACTCCCCACTACACTGGTTTGTATAGGACCAGAGGTTGTTCTAGAGAACTGCAAGATGCAGCACATTTATATTTGAATGCTTGCCAGTTCTGAACTTCCTTTTAGTGAGCATTTGCAAATGCTGCTCAGTTTCCTCCTTCCTTATTCACCGAAGCTGATTGATCCTTAAATACCAAATACAGGTTGTGGGTCCAACAGGAGGCATAGCTGAGTCTTTTTATCTAACTGTCTTTTCTCCTCCTTATCTTAGTTGAGCTTCATGTGAACTGAAGTCTGCTAATCATTTTATTTATCTCATTGACTAAATATTTATTCTATTCAAAAGCATCATGAACGAGTGTTAAGAGTCAATGTCAGGAGATAACATTCTAAAGTGGGGCTGAAGTCCAATTCCTGCTCTTGTCTCACATGCGAGACTCTTGCCTCCTTCCTCATGAGGCTTGAAAACAAACTTGCCACTGGAAGTACCCCCTTCCTCAGCAAAGTAACAAAGTTAGCTTCCTTAGGTGCACATTTTCCGCTTGTGGACCTCAGTAGATGACTAATGCCATTTTAAATTTTTGAGTCAACATAGCTGCAGATGCTTATTAGCACAACGTTAATTAGGAATGCAGGGTGTCTAGCGCAAAAGGTGCCTATTGTGTGGGAGAAATGAAGTCTGAAAGAGGTGTGACACCAGTTACTGAAATATCCACATAGGTAACAGGAAAGTATTGTAGACTTCTGGATGAATTTTGAAAGCTGCCCAGATTTATTGATCTTTGACCAATTAGGCAGGGCCATTTCCCTTGCTACCCAGTAGCCAAGCTTCATTTGCCTCTGTGCATGCCCCCAATCCCTGTCTCTGAGTGTGCCTGGGTGAGTTCAAAACACCGACCTGTCATATTTGGGTGAGCTTAGATGTACCTCTAAAAAGTAAAAAGTGCTTCTTCCTTAGAACATTACATGTGTACTGTACTTTAGGGCAGTGATTGCCAAACTCCCCTCCCCCCATGGACCGCTTGAGAATTGCTGAGGATCTTGATAGACCCCTTAATGGTGGTTTGTTTGTTTTTTGCCTTCTGTAGCAATTGTAATGTAATGTGCTGTGCTAGGGTGTGTGTTTTTGTTTGTTTTATTTATTATATTGTATTTTATTGTGTTGCAGTTTGGATTCAGCAAATAATAAAATACACGTATGAAAACTAATAGAAGCAGTAAAAATACGATTAAAATCAATGTGAATATTTAATGCACTGCGCCAACTGTTCCCAGCCACTGCTCCTGCTGTTCTTCACAGGCAGACAACAATGGACCACCTGAATGAGGCATGCAGGTGGACTGCAAACCACAATTTGGAAACCCCTGCTTTACGGAGCATTTCCCCCATATATACCTCTCCAGTCAGCTGCTGAGAGAGCCAGCCCTCCTGTTGCATAGAGTGAGGTGGCTGCCTTCAGACAGCTGATTTTGGGAATTGCGAATGGGCAACAAATGGACATTAAATGTATTGTGTTTTTTGTCATGCTTTGTGTCTTGGGTGCTAAAATAACCTGGCCAGCCTTGATACTTAATGCACCCCGATTTGATGGTGCACGCGGCAGGGGGTTTCATTTGCTGTTCTGCCTCAGACACCAGCATGTCTTGGGCTGGCCAGGTCCCCCCCCCCCTTCACATACTCTCTTTGACTGACGTTGGAACAATGAGGGCACAGGGCAATGGTTTCAGAGTTTGGCATGCCCTCCTTATGGAACTCATAAGTACAACAGATTTTTTGTGTGTGCCCTTTTTGTTGGGAAGTTAAAACATTTTTTATTTGAGAAGTACTTCAGAGATGACGGATTCTAAACGGGAATTTTGCTGCTGCAGGCTCTGGGCCACACAGGTTTTAAAACGTTTCGCTTTGCTGGATGTTTTCATCATATGCAGAGAAGCATGTAACAAAAAGCAGTTCCGTTGTGTGTGGCTCAGCAGCCAACACACCCAAAGTCCTGCTGACTAGCCGTGCCCTGGGCAGGAGGTGGTGGTGCGGCTGCTGTTCCCATTTCTGTTTCACAAAGGGCGATAAGTAGGCCAGTCCCAGGGCTGGCATAGCTTTGATGCCCATTTAGGAGCATGTGGTGGGGGCTTAGAATCCTTGGCATTCATGGACCTTGCCCTGACACCAACAAGGAATGTCCTGTTTTGGCCCACACTGTTGGCAGAGGACATAGGTGGTACCCTGACAGTGGGCCTTCCTCTCCACCGGTGGCAATGGCACTTATGCCACTTGGTAAGCCAGCCAAATGCCAACTGCAGGATTGCACACACGCGCCCTGCCCCCTCCACACACCATGCTTTATAAATAAAATTAATAGTTGACACGGAAAAATGATGGGGAACCTATACGCCTGATCTTTTTATGTTGTTTTGTTGGGATGTTTTTATTTATTTAATTTATGGACCATCAGGTATTAGTCATGAGCTCATTATTATTTTTATAGAACAATGAAATCTTAGGCTGCTACCAGTAAGACAAAAAGCCTTTATCTCTAATCCATACTGAAGGTTAGAGAAAAGAAATATGGCTTGTGTTCGGATTGTAATGCATCTTTGGTTTATTCGTAGTTGCTAGCATTTCAGGACAGCTTTTCACTTGCCTGGACTGCTCCACTATAGACTGCTCTCTGGGCTCCCGTGTTTCACTGTTGCTCCTTCCAGAGATTCCTGCCCAGAGAAGGCAAGCTGTGGTGATACAGTGGTACCTTGGGTTACAGACGCTTCAGGTTACAGACTCTGCTAACCCAGAAATAGTACCTCGGGTTAAGAACTTTGCTTCAGGATGAGAACAGAAATCGTGTGGCGGCGGCGCAGCAGCAGCAGTGGGAGGCCCCATTAGCTAAAGTGGTGCTTCAGGTTAACAACAGTTTCAGGTTAAGAACGGACTTTCAGAATGAATTAAGTTCTGAACCCGAGGTACCACTGTACTTCTTGCTTGCCTTAACAGGATGGAGGGGTATGTGTTGATACTTCTGACTTTTGTGTTGCCTGAATGTAGCCTGTTTTGCAATGGCGGGAGTCACACCTGTTGTCTACTTTTGCCCTTGGCCCTACCTACCTCTAGGATGTGGCCTCTGCACCAGGAAGGTTTCCCATGAGGTTCCCCACCCCTGTAGAATAATTACTATAGGCAGGTATTGTTCTACTGTGAATAAGGCTTTTCACCTATGGAGGTGGGGAATCAAATGGGGTGGGGGACACAAATATGACTCTTACATTTGTACTTTGTACATTCCAGCACCACAAAAACTAGAGGTTCCTACACACATCATCATCCTCCATTCAGGCAACCAGGCACAGTTCAAGGCATTTGAGGAGGGTGTCAAATAGTACCAGGAAGGGCTGTGGCCTCAGAAGGAGGCGTGGCCTGGGAAGAGTCCCAAGGGCCACAGTGGGAGTTACTGAGGGCCACACTGGGCCAAATTTAGCCCTAGGCTGGAGGTTCCCCACCCCTAAATTAAATTAACCAGTTGGTGGACCAGGAATCATTGGTGTTAAAGTCAACAGCCCACCATTGAGTCAAAACCAAGTTGGGGGAAAAGCTACCAAAACTGCATATTAATTGCCTTGTGCTAAATCCTGAGTGAATAATGGCCAATCTTAAATTCAGTTCTCTGAATTTTGCTGCAATTTGTTACTTCTTTTTAGAGATCCCCATCATGTTTTTTTTAAGCATTTTGGTGACTTTCTTTTAACACACATGTTTTATATGTAGCTTTGACTAACACACAGTTTTGCAAGCAGTTTCCACTAATACACATCTGTGTATTAACCTAACCAATATATTTATTTTGTGCACCCTTCCCCTCTTTTAGGCATTTTCCTAAATATTATTTGGTTGGTGAACAGCACAGCATATATGTGAATTTTGAAGAAAAGCTGTGTTTCAGCTTGTGTATTGTTTCAGGCTGCAGCAACTATAGATAGGACTCAGGTTCAGACTAAGCTTTCCCGTCATAGCTTTAGGTACAAACAAGGCCTATAGCCACTGAGTATTCTGGAGACATGTTTGATTTAGTAATAAAATTTTTCTGCAGTAGGGATTCATAATAACAGCTATTGATCGTATAAAACACACATTGTATAGGTCTTCCTTTGTTAAAGTTGGAAGACAGAAATAGCCATTGTGTGGAATGCTTTTAATTCTTTTTTTTTTAATTCTTTGCTTTGTGACAAAAACTAAACTATGTATAACTTCATAAACATGTCAGTGACATATAGTTAAACCTCTGCTGTACTGTAAAATATTGGTTCTTTACCTGCAACTGGAATTCTCCTTACACAGTCATTCCACAAGGCCATGTGTTGCCAGTGGTCACCAGCTATGCTTGCTTTGTGCTACAGAATGCTTTTAATTCATTATACTAGTATGGATTAATTTAGTAAGTATATCTTCTGTTCAATATTGGACTGTATTACTGATGCGGTCATACTGTTCCCCCGCGCCACCCCATTGGCTAAATACCCTAGAAGATTCTGGCAACTTATGGGTTGCATGCAAAGTTTCTCTTAATTTTAACAGGAAAGGAATTCCTCTGGATGAAGGGAATATTTTTTTGTAGTGCAACCTACTATTTATATCTGCTTAGATCTTGATGATCTTGGCTTACATGATCTGATCTGGTCCACATCTATATTCAGCAGTTTGGCATCAAGTGGTTTATTTGCAGACCATTTTGAAAAGTGCCAGGCTGTTTTTACACATGATGCTAAAAAGAAGCATCCCCTGTGAATATTAATGGAGGAGAAAGCCGTTTGTCTGTCAGGGTGACAACCTAGACAACGCATGTTTTCAAACCGCATTACAGAGTGCTGAATGCATGAGTGCCGTGTGTCCTTAGCTTCTTTTAGCTGAACAAATCCCTTTTTAAATGGTCTCTCTCAATGTCGTCTCTCTCCCCCCCCCCCCATGCTGAAAGAAAGAAAGAAAGAGCCTAACATATATTATAATCTCCACTTCTGGGAAATGGTAATGAGAACAGACAGTAAAGTCAGTTCACTGGTAAAGTCAAGGGCCAGGTTAAAAGTGGATACAGGGTGGGGGTTTTTTTTGTTTGAGATGTCAGTCTAGTTTGGTAAGAGGAGGCTCATGGAAACGTGTGATTTCCTTTGGAGTTTAAGGTGGAGAACCCTCCAGTGCCCATCAGCCCTCACCAGCGTGACCAGTAGTTGGGGATGATTGGAATTTTAGTCCTGTGATATCTGGAAGGTCACAGGTTCCCCAGTCTTGGTGTAAGTCAATAATTACTTCACTTTTCCTGCAAGCTGAGGATCAAACTGGCTACAGTGACGGCATAACTTGATAGGGCTTGCAGTAAATTCTTAAAAACAGGGGCAGGACAGAGGGCAATTAAAAATGCAGCATGAATGGTAGTGAGAGTTGAATTCTTTGCTTGCCAGTGTTCTCTCTTCCCCAAATAGCCACATTTTCCCCTGGCAAAGGCTTCTTCTGTTCTTGGAGCTCCAGTTGGCAAAATGATGGCTGAGCAAAAGCCTACACGGTGGTAGGGACAAGGCTCTCATCCCTTCCCCACGGTGTGCTCTAAATCATCCCTTGTTTTTTATGGTTTTAGTTGGAGGCTTGATTCTAACATGCAGGTCTGGCATTGTTAGGTTTCTTTTGGCTGTGTGACACACTTTTATTCCTCAGTTAAAATTGGAGGCACGCTTCATGACCTTTACTCCTTTAAACGGCTTAAATGTGTTGGAGTAAGAATTACCTGCCTTCGGATGAGTCCAACCCCAGTGTTTCTGCATGAGTCACTGTTCTTAGAAGGCCAGAACTTGGTCTCGTGCAGAGTTGCAGCAGGCAGCCTCTTCTGTGGGTAGCTGGGTGCCTTGAAGTCACATCATCTGTAAGTGATTAAAATCACTGTTTCAGTACACTTGCATTTCCCTTGTGGCAAACTTTTGGAATTTTCGCTTGGGTTATGACCTGCACTTTAAAGGCAGAGAAAATACACTTTGGACACACAGTTGACTTTCTTTAAATGGCATAGATAATGATGGGGATGTCTGTTTCAAGCACTTGTTTCTTGCTTCTCCAAGACTGGAGGCAACTTCTAACAAAGTTAAACAGTAAACCAATACCAGTCATAATATCACAAAATCTAAGATCACAGTCTCATAAACAATGTTCCGTTAAAGAAAAGCGATACTCTTTTCCAGCAACAACAATATGGCAGTAAAGATCTAGACGCTTGTTCAAGAGCCATAGGCACTTTGGAAGAGGCCGGCTTAGCATCCTTTCTGCAATGCTTAAAAGCACAATAGAGTTCCGAACCATACAAGGTTGGTTGTTCCGTATCCTCAGAGCAATTTGCATTGAAAACCCTGCTCCTCACCGCAGATGCAGTATCTTTAGCCAACAGGGACACAGGGCCCTTCTCCCAGGACATAAACAACTTCTATGGGGAAAGGCATATGTGGATCCCTGGTTGTGACAGGGAAGAACCAACCCGCTGTAGGGCACAGAGTGCAGAAACCTGGACAGACCCAAAGAATATAAAAATATCAGATGTTGGTTTCATGCTCAGGTTGTCATGCCTCGGGTGGGTCCCACCACCTCACTTTTAAAAGGCCCTCTTCCCAGTTTAATGGGGGTGGTCTCATGATCTGATTGGGCTCAATTGTTTTAAACAATTTTTCAAGTTTTGTTGTGGTGGTGGGAGAAAATAATGCTCTTGGGCTCTGTTTCCTCCTCAGAATTCCGGTCCCCAATCTTTTATCGCTTATCTATTTTGCTGTATCTCTTCATGAGTTTTGTTATGACCAAAGATCCCTTGGATGGCAAGAAATATGAAGATTGAAAAGCCAACACTTTTATGTGAAATACTGAATTCATTGGGACATGATCGATAGGGCAGACCACTTTATTAAATTAGGTTTGTCACATGGACTGATGGTTCATATCAATCTTGTATCTACATACTAGGTTATGGTAGGATAAGTGGAAACTAGTATTTGTATACCAAACCCTTAGAAGACCTAGTGGACACTGACCTAGCCTGTGGTTACTATTGTTGGGTACAGTTTCTGCTGCAAGAAGGGCTGTAGGTTTTAACTGGATATATGATTTACTTTGTATGAGCCAAAAAACACCCTGAAATGTCACATTGTAGAAAGCAAAACTCTTCCAAGTCCATAATAGAATAAATTATGTAGATGCCCAATATTATGTAAATTTTTCACTCAAGCACATTTATTTCTCAGCAAGTTGCTATTTGTTTTCATCCATAAACAAATACCACCTTCAAACTTCAATCAGTATCTAGTGATCTAGAATGTAGGAGTAAAGAGATCTGAACTCCAAAGGTTAATGCAGATAATCTGTCTCTTTGATGTTTGTATAAACTTAAATAAATAAGGTATGGACATATATCCAGTCATGAGAAATACTGAATTGTGGCTAAACAGCCTGCATGCTACCCAGCCTGTGTGTATGTAATTTTAAATACAGTGGTATCTCGGGTTAAGTACTTGATTCGTTCCGGAGGTCCGTTCTTAACCTGAAACTGTTCTTAACCTGAAGCACCACTTTAGCTAATGGGGCCTCCCGCTGCTGCCGCGACGCCGGAGCACGATTTCTGTTCTCATCCTGAAGCAAAGTTCTTAACCCGAGGTAATATTTCTGGGTTAGCGGAGTCTGTAACCTGAAGCATCTGTAACCTGAAGCGTAGGTAACCCAAGGTACCACTATACCATATGCACTCCTAGAAGACTGGGTTCAGTTTGTGAATCCAAGAGTCTCAAATTCCAGACCATAGTTTTAAATACTGTTTAAAGATAACATGCCGAAATCAATGGGGTGATCTAAATAGTCATATACTGTACAGAGCTTGGGCATTAGTGTCAGGAAGAAGCAAACTATTTTGGCTGACTTGCCAATTTAAAGCTTGTCTACACATTAGTTGCCTTATACTTGTTTGCACATTAGTTCCCTAACTTCATCCATTCGAGTACCTTAGCACCCTACAGGAACATCGCTATTCTGGACTGTTGTTTGTTTGTTCAGTGAGCATAGGCAGCTAAAGAGAATATGTTGCAACAGGGCTCAACCAGCTAAGAGTCCCCATAAGTGCAGCCAGATACTATGCACACTGCAGCTTCTCTGCTCCTGGGTTGGTCTCCAGCTCTGCCAGGACTAGGCTCTCCAGCTGGAGAGCCTTCTTCTAGCCTTGTGCTTTTGGCAAGTTGAGATTCCCTGTCACTGCTGCCAGCCACTCACCCTAGCAGCCACCACAGCTTTTCTTTGCCAGAGAAAACAAGGCATTCGCTGTACTAGCTGCTTTGCCTTTTCCTCTCTCTCTCTGTCTGGCTTCATCTGTGATTTTCCCTACTGTTATCTCTTCCAGCTACAGGCAAGAGCAGTCACTGCCAAAGCAAAATCTGAAAACAGCCCATGCAGTGATTTCCTTGATGCTTCCAGCTAGGAAAACCTGGGGCTGCTTGGAGGAGGAGGAGATGCTGCTGAGAGTGCAGGTTGAGTCATGGGGTGGAAGTGTGGAATGTGGCTCCAGATGCCTGTACTGGCTGTTTGAATGCAAGGCTGGTAGAGTTTCCTGGATATGGTTCTGCATTAAGAGGTTAATAAGGGTACCTGCTCTGTCCGTCTGGTATTCTATTTCTTTGAATAAAACCTGCACAAGTGCCTTTTGAAAAGCTGATTCATGTTATTGATTGGTTCAAAAATGGTATTTCCCTGTTAATGATCCACTGATGGGAATTTACTTTTAGAGATTCATAATGTATGTTCATGAAGGATGGCAACGATGCCCCAAGCTTCATTAATTTGAAACTGTTATTAATTCAGGCAGTTAGTAGTTGTGATTGCAACCGTATGATCTCCTAATGATATTATGGCATCTGTTGTGTACAAACATTACAGGATGCAGCTTAACAACAAAAAGCCCTTCCAAACAATGTGCTGGAGGTATTAATCACTTTTGATGCTGAAAGTTGCATCCATCTGCACTTTGGGTGCTCAAGCAGAAGCCATGGTAGAATCTAGAAAGGCCGCTAGCTATTCCATTCTGTGATCAGAGACTGGGTTGGATTCAGTCTAAGCTAGTCATGCTTTAGTCTCATCGAAACCAACAGGACAAACTGAAGACTAATTTAAGAATAATCCTTGGTCACAGTGAAGAGAAAAACCAAGTAGAAGAACTGCCCAATCCAAGCTCAGGCTGGCAGGGAAGATTTCTTGTTGTCTTTCTGTCTCCCTCTCTCTCCCTCTGCCCCCCCCCCTTCAGACATGTATTTTCCCTTTATATTTTCTCCCACTACTTGCAGTGGCACAACTATGCCAGCTCCAGAGCTGGTCTGCTCCCTTCCCCGCTTTCAGGCAGATGTGGGGGGAATGGGAGGTTTCACTCCGTAGATGTTACTGCCATTGAAGTGCCAGCAGTGAAGTGGGCAAGGGCAGCAGGGTTTTCTACCCCTGTAGAGGGGAGCCTTGAGAGGCTGGATACCTCTGCAGGCAGAGAGGAGATCTGCTGTGTCCTTAGGTCTCAAGGCATCCTTCCATTAACTCTTGTTTTGCATCCTTAGTCTTGATCCAGCTCATTATTATCTCCTAGAAGTCTTAAAACTGTTACGGCATTTTTAATTTTTATTTTAAAAAAGCTTGTTATTCCAGGATGGAGGAGGAGGACAGGAGGAGGGGATGGGGGAAGAGAATGCATTTTATGCCTTCTGTTTGTCTTAAGAGGCCTGGCAAGTTTGAGGGTTGGTGTGGGAGGAGGTTAGGGAAATATCAGGAAATTGGTCTCCCCCTCTTGCCTCAGTTGTGCTTTCAGAACCCTGCAGAACTTTGAAGGAAGGGTTTAGTAGGAGTGCACGTTGGTATCCGCCCAGACTCTCTAAATCAGTGGTTCTCAGACTTTTTTTCTCTGGGCCACACTTTCATAATAAAAATCTCATGCCACTGCAGGTGTTTTTTATTGATAAGAAATATATTGGAAAACAAAAAGAAGCAACTCCTAGCAGTGCTTGATATATAACATTGCACGCAATTACTTTATAATACGATCACGGGACATCCAGAAAGTATAAAATAGTGTAGCTACAGGACTCATTCCCAAAGTATAATTTTTAAAAAGCCCCTTGCATGTTTACCTTAACTATGTATGGAAACTCAATGGGAGGTGTGAGCTTGCTTTTGCTGGGTAATTTCATTTATATTAAGTTGGATCCGAGACAGACAAACTCATCTCATCAATTTCTTCCTAGCCTAGCCTAATACTACACTATACCATAACTGCGCTGATATGTTCAAATGTTTATTTGATTGCCCTTGAATCTTTCCGCCACACTTGCCATCTTCTCCTGCCACACCCTTTGAGTACCACTGCTCTAAATACTCCTGATCTCACCTTGTTCCTACAAAATATGTTTCTGGGTGTTTGCTTTATATTGCTCAAAGAATTTTCTCAACAACTGGACTTTTAAATGAAGTTTCAGAAGAGTCTGTATTTCAGAGACACCATTATTATTATTTTTAATAAAAAAAGGTCTGAAATGGCATGAATGAGCCAGTAGAATTAGAGAAAGCTTTCAGAATAAATGACGCCTTACCACTAGCAGAAATGTTTTTTTATTAAAAAAAAACTTTGTTCAGTTAATCATGATACAAATACACTTATTCAGCCAAATTACCTTTCAGAATCTGTCTAACTAAATCAGTGGTTTCTCTGATTCTGCAAAGGAAGATGGGTACATTATCCCTAATGGTTAGCTAATGGCATATGCATTTAGAAAACTAATTAAACATTATATTTAGCAGATATTAAAAAGTTGCTTCTGTTACTCTAATGGGTTGTTTTGTTTTTTTATTTTCTTTTAAAAAACAACAACATTAAGGAGAAACTTACAAAGGAGATAATAGGAAAGTAGGTGGTTTGGTTTCCAGTCCATCAAAACAGATTTCATAGAATCATAGAATTGTAGAGTTGGAAGGGACTCTGAGCTCTCCCTGCTATGCAGGAATCTCAACTAAACCATCCATGACCATTGTCTATCCAACCTCTGCTTAAAAACTTCAAATGAAGGACAGTTCACCACTTTCAAGGCGGTCCTTTCCACTGTTGAACAGCTCTTACCATCAGAATGTTCTTTCTGATGTTTAGTCGGAATCTCCTTTCTTGTAACTTGAAGCCATTGGTTCTGGTCCTACCCACTGGAACAGGAAAAAACAAGTTTGCTCCAGCTTCCATGTGATATTTGAAGATGGCTATCCTATCTCTTCTCCGTTGCCTCTTATCCAGGCTAAATGTACCCAGCTCTCTCAACCATTCCTCATAAGGCTTAGTTTCCAGACTCTTGATCATCTTGGTCACCCTCTTTGTACACATTCCAGCTTGAAGATTCTTCTTCAAATTTGGTGTCCAGAACTGGACACAGTATTCCCAGTGTGGTCTGACTAAGGCAGAATGGAGCAGTACTATGACTTTCCTTGACCTGGAGACTATACCTCTGTTGATACAGCCTAGAATAGCATGATCTTTGTTTGCTGCTACGTTACATTGTTGACTAATGTTAAGCTTGTGGTCTAGTAAGACCTCTAGATCCTTTTCACAGGTATTACTGGCAAACTTTTTTGGGGGGGCAGGTGGTTCTTCCTGCCTAAGTGTAGAACCATACATTTGTCCCTATTGAAATTTCATTTTCCTGGTTTTGGCCCAGTTCTTCAATCTGGGAAGGTGGTCCAACTGGCTGTTCCTATCGGGCATCTCCGAGGACACCGGGCATGGGAAGTGTGCACCTTTCATTTCCATGGTGTTGCAGCTAGAGCTAGATTGTGTGCAGGTCTTTGGGAGTTTGGGGACTGTTTCTGGCAATCTACATGTTTTGTGATCTACGTCTTTTGCATTCCGTACCTAAGCCAAATTTTGACCAGGCCAGGCAATGGGAAATAGTTGTGGGTCAGTGGTAGAGCACATACTAGCCATGCAGAGGATTCCGGGTTCAGCCCCTGGTATCTCCAGGTAGTCTTGGTAACATCTTAAGTTTTAAACCCTGAATAGCCACTACTAAATGTACCATTTGGAATAAGGCACTTTCTTCGGTTCTGTGTTTTTGTTGTTGCTGCTGCTGGCAATCTTCATTGCACAAAGCTGCCCCATAACTTTCTACCATTGAAAAAGCAATGTGATGGCTGTTATCGAATGTGCATATCTATCTATCTATCTATCTATCTATCTATCTATCTATCTGCATATCTATCTATCTATCTATCTATCTATCTCATTTCCAAGCTAACTCAGTGATTTTTTAAAAAAAATAATTACTCCCATCATTTGGAACTTTGCCTTTTGTGCCTTCAGTGTAGCTCCCTAAAGCACATTTTTTCCAGCAAGCTTTAACTTTCTTAAGCAGGCCCTGCCCTGGGGGAGCGAGGAGTCTATTTCACAGTCTAATACATTTCGCCATTAAAGAGCTTCCTCTTTTAATTCCAGGATATTCCAGAAGGAAGCACTTAATTTGAACTGCATTGCAATGAGTAGAAAGCTAGCCTTCTGGCATCCAATGCTTCCTAATTATTTGCCCTGGGGAGAAGAGCGGATGGCAGCGGAAGTGGAAGCAGAGGCTCTGGAGAGAAAGGAAAGATGGGAATGCTCCAAATTAAATAAACCATACTGAGAAGGAATTGGAGGTACCACATTCTTCCTTTCTGGAGACTCCCTAAAACCTTCATTTATTTTGACTTGCAGCTGAAAGGTTTCACTGTCACCTCTTCATTGTTCTGCAGTAGAACAACAAAAAGCTGTAACCATGTGGAACAAATATTGAGAAGCAAACTGTTTAAGCACATGGTACACTTTGTCGCATGCTTGGGTTTCCAATATTTCAGGTTTTTCTAAAGCGAGACACTTGATTCCTTCCTAACAAAGCCTGAGAAACCAGGAGAAGAGGGGATTGATTTTTTTTTTTTTAATGATGGGAAAGACTGGGAGGGAAGTCCAGCCCTGCCTTACCTTACCTTCCTGCAATGCCTAAAACCTGAATAAAAGCATATCAACTAAAAGTTGGCAGTGATGGTAGGACAAGACTTGAATAGTTCCTGGAATGCCTTCTGCTCAGGGGATTATACATGAGGTTCAGCATATAGGCCTAAAGACATCTAGGCAGGAGGCTTCAGGGATGCACCTAAAATGCTCCTATTTGAAGCACTCTCATACCACTTGAACAGTCATGGCCTCTGCCATAAAATCACAGGAACTGTAGTTTATTAAGGGTGCAGAGAAATGTTAGGAGAGCCTGCACACAGTTACCAGCACCCTTAACAAACTAGGTTTCCCAGGGTTCTTTGGGGGAAGCTGTAACTGTTCAAGTGGCGTAAGAATGTATGGCGTTGAAGTGGCTTTAAATGTATGGCGTTGAAGTGACCCGGTAAGAATATGGGAAGCTGCCTTACACTGAGATATTCCTTTGGTTCCTCCAGATCAGTATGATCTTTGTTGACTAGTGGTGGCTTTCCAGAATTCGGGACCAATCTAGGACCATTGAGCTATGGGCTGCCTCAAGCCCAACCTTGGATTAGTGCAAAAATGTGGGTTCTCAAAGGGGAGCTCCCAGCAACTTTGCTCCTTTTTTGCTGCTGTGCTGAGCAAAGCCAAGGTTTGGCTTAGGCGGTCATCTTAACCTGGACGCAGACAAACTGCTTTTCATTGCAGTTCATATATTCACTCCAGTTTTCCTAGTTCCTTATAGTTCTTCTGAACATTTCCATACACTGACTATCTGATACTTCTGAATGCCTAACTTTATGAATGCCCTGTGCTGTGAATCATCTTTGTATTTCCCCGTGGCATCCACATTTGGATCGTATTTCAATTTTTCTGGAAATACAAATATAGTTCTATTACAGTACCTGATACACCGGCAGTTAATAAGCCAGTTGCCAGATATGTTCGGAAAACAAGACGGGAATGGGCAGTAGGGATTAGGCGAGCAGAAAAGAGATCACAATCCTCCTTGAGTATTGCTAATCATGAAGTTCCTTTTGCATTATTATGGAATCCTAACTGTTGAGGGAACTCGCCCAGTGGCTTATTTGACAGGAAAAGTGGTGATGAAGTGACTGTTCCTCAGTGTTTGCCAGATACTGGAGTCAGGGGAAGAGGGAAAGCAAGAAAGAAATGAAAGGTGAGAAACTGGCAGTGTCTTTGGTTGAGTCTGGTGATGCTCTTTCAGATAGAAGCATTTTTGGAGTGAGTTCAGTTTGAACACTCATCACTACATGTTTAATGGTTCTGTGCTTAGTCATGCAAAAGGCCTCATGGTATATTTTTCATTATCCACCTCTCCCAGATTTTTTGAAAGCTGTCATTGCATTTTGCAGTTATAAGCAGTAAAATCTGGTATCCTGAGCTGCCTTCCATCCTGTACACTTTCAAGTTTAGCAGCTTAATGGAGACCATTCCAAGTTGGCTTGTCTGCTGGGAAACATTGTGTATTGTATAACTCCCATCATCCCCGACCCAGTGACTATGCTGACTGGCTCCCAACAACTAAGATGTCATTCAGGGATTTGTGTTATTTTCGTGGGCTTTTTCCATGTGCTTCATTTCAAACCCCCCCCCCCCCGCAATAGATCAATCATATAAATAAATAAATCTGGAAGGCTACAGATTTTCCAACCTTGTTGTAGTAGATCCTGGATCACGTTCCAAGATTGAACAGTAAATTCTCATGGAGAGCTAGCTAGGCTTATTAGCAATATAATGCTCCCATACAGCTGCTCATTTGCACGGGAAAGGTCATCAGTGGTGGGCAAACTCTTTTCGGGAAATTTGCCACCATCACTACCTCAGTAAGCTTCTAAGGAAACTCAGGATTCACCAGAACACAGTTGGAAAGATATTGTGATGTTGTGTGGTTTTCAGAAGGCAACCCCCCTCTGCTGCCCAAGATTCAGTAAAACTACTGATTTGCTCCAATTATGTTTTGGTATACTGGCTTTCCACAAATGGTGGTTTTAACACAACAAGAATGGACGCTTTTAGATCTCCTTCCATTTCATGCAAAGAGAACGGGGAAGCACACAAGTCCAAGGCTCTTGCTGGCTTGTTCGTGTAATAACAACCCATAGTTTGTTGTTACAGCTGAACCTGGCCCAGAAAATCCTGCCCATTTGAAAAACGTATAAATTCTGATGAACTTTGGGGAAGGTGCTTGAAAAGTGCAAAATCACATGCCTTGACAACCAACATTTTAAACTTTGCATGGCTCAAAAGCTTTCCTCTGACTCTTGCTGTTGTTTGAGGAATAAAACTGAGTGCTCCTGTGTGGAGGGGGAAAGACTCGAAGCATAATACATGATCAAACCCCAATTTTGTTTAAAATGCTCTGTTCCCTAGAGCATTGTGTACTTGCTTTACCCGGAGTGTGTGCTTTTTTACCAACCACTCTCCCGGAGGTTTCACATTATCCTGTTACTTAGTTAAGAGGGGCAACTTGCCTTGTGTGGCGACAGTTTGGGAAGAGGCATAAATAAGACACAGTTAATTGAAAGCAGATTCCCACTGTCTACCTCTAAAACCCACCCAGTCCATTAAAGCTCTCATGAATGAATCACTTTTGCGAAGAGAACTCTTTGCTCTTCTTCTACCTCACTAAACTCTTACCTGGGGGAGGTAGAAGCTCTTGAATTTGGTGACATTGATTACTAGGGAATAAACAACACGTTAAAGTACAGTGTAGCGTTCAGAAGCCCGAAGGACACGGAGATTTAGCCCTTTGAACCTGCTTTGTTTCAATGAGTGGGTACGGTTGGTAATTGATACAGTGATAAGGAAAGGTCTTGACTGCATTACCTGGTGTCAGCTTCCGCTGCGCCCTGAACGGAGACCACAGACTGTATTTCATTTGAAGTGTGCTCATGCAAGAACAATAGATCACAGATTTAAGATGGGGCCTGGCTACTAAAGCAAGAGAGCCAGGTGGAGCAGTGCGAGAGGTAAATAGCCTTTTGTTTGCCTTTTAGGAAATAATAATCGGGGCAGCTGCTGCTGGAAAAGGGTTATTTATAGCAATAGCAGGTTAGGCAAATCAAGGGCAAAACTTTGCACTGTTGTGTCTTTTAATTTCTGAGTTACGTCTTTGGGAGGGAATATTACAAATACCACATAAACTTACCTTAAGCATCAGCAAGTCATTTTAAGAAGGGGATTTTTAAAAAAAGCAGTAGCAGCATTTTGTCTGCAAGTTAAGCTGTTCCAGTTATCCATTGGTTTTGAGTTCGTGTGTGTGTGTGTTAAGATTGTGCAGTTCTCTTTCGCTTGGTTCATTCTTAAGTCAGCCTGGATAGCTCAGTTGGTTCGAGTGTGGTGCTGATAATGCCAAGGTTTCAGGTTTGATTCCTGTATGTATGGGATGGCTGCATGTTCCTGCATGGCAGAGGGTTGGACTAGATGATCCTCAGGATCCCTTCCAACTCCACAATTCTTTGTTTCTACGTTTACAACATTAGGCCCATGTGCCACATTTTGATTAGATAGGGAAGGACCATAGCTCAGCCGTAGAGCATCAGTTTTGCATGCAGAAGATTCCAGGTTCAATCCCTAGCTTTTTCTTCTTTGGCAATCACTCGTAGCCGAGTAAGATTGTCCTCTATGAACACGGTCTTAACAGTGAGTCCGTAAGTGACTGTGGAGGCAAAACTTTTGCATCATAGTAAAATCTATGATGCATGACTATAGCCTCACTACACTCCTTGAAAGTTGTTCAGACTGGCTCAGTGTGAGTCCATGTACAGAAAACCCCCAGCAGGGGCAGATCTTGCTCAGCAATGGATTAATATGTCTCGTTAACAATAAGCTTGAAATAATAGTACTGAAAATTCAAACATGAATGAAAGAACATAGCATGGAGAGGAACAAGCTACCATACCTCTGAAATAATTGACCATCACGACAACTAGGTTAAAGGATGTGCTACAGTAGGCTTTCTTGATCAACATCAATAAAACATCTAAAAATAACTACACAGATATAGTCTAAGTTGATTAGCAGTAATTGCCCTGAGTCAGTGTAGTCACTGATGGGTGATGTCATGTGTAATATTCTCTTAAAGTGATTTTAGCAGACGTAGCCTTTTGAAGAGCTCTTATAGTCGGCATAAATATCTTCCTGGTTCCAAGCTGGATGCCAACAGTCAATGACATGTCTAAATATGACATAATACGGTATTAGATTATATTTTTGTGCTTTTCTTGTTATATGTTGCCAAAGAAAAATGACAGCATCTGTCTTTTTAATGCAAAAAGGGAGCCATTAAAATCTTTGAGAAGCAGAACATGGTAGCTGGGAAATCATGTAAGAACAATGAAGGTGAGCTTTCAAATATTTATCTAGGATCTGCAAACCTCTCGGTCACAACATAAGCATTTGACTTTTCCGCTAAGTCTGGAGATGATAACAGTGGAGAGGTTCTTACCCTATGCTCATAAATTGAGGCAGAACTTATGTACATGTATAGAGGAGGGGGCATAGTTGGCTTGCTCCCTAAAAAGGTCTGGGCCTGACTCAGTATGTGTTTGGTTAAAATGTAGTAATAATAATAATAGATGCATGATAGGACTCCCCCCAATATATATATATATATATATATATATATATATATATATATATATATATCTCACCTATTGCATTGCTATGAGGAACAAAAGGTACTCCTCTTCAGACTGGACCAATAGTATTTTTCTCAGTCCTGGTCAATCCAGAACCCTCCTACTGCTTGCCAAATGCAGGAACTAATGTTGGGCACCTACCTGCATTCTATGCCTGAAAAAGATTCTGAGGCCAACATGATAGCTCAGCTGGTTAGAGCATGCTGCTGATAACCCCAAGGTTGCAGGTTTGGTCCCCGTATGGGACAGCTGCATATTCCTGCATTGCAGGGGCTTGGACAGATGATCCTCAGGATCTCTTCCAACTCTACAATTCAACCTTGTATGCTGGCCTGCCGCTTCCTTCAGTACATCACAGATACCACACTGGACTTGAGGTTGGGGAAGAGCTGCTAGCAGCTGTTGTCCCTCTTATTAATAGACAGAGGCCAGGGACCCCTACTTACTTGTGGTCATAGTGAGCATGGGGAACCATTCCCATCCTCAACACAATAGCAATGCCAGGATCATACAAGCTGCCCACATTAAGTGAAAAGTACAATTTTGTGTTTACAATCTCTTAGTTAAATAAGTATGTAATTTAACTCTGGCTCTAGTTTTTCAAATGTCTCTTCCAAGTCCCGATTCATTAGCTTTGCACTTCACCTCCCTTCTACAGTTATCAGTCTTTCCCTCTACAAGGGCATTATGAACCAAAAGTTGCACATTTGATTTGGAAAATGTGGGAAATGAATGAATGAATGGAGGGATGTATGCATGAATGCCTGTTAGTTGGAAAGACCTTTTTTCTTTTTCTCTTCCGTTCCTTATCACAGTTATCTTCCAGAAGGCAAAGAACCTCACCCCCTCCCAAAAAAAAATCCCCTTAACTGTCAATACGATCAATTGGGATTTGTCCCCCCGTCAATAATTAACAAAAGCTTTAAATCAATTCAGCTTTGCGGTACTAGTTGTAATACTTAATGTTTAACAAGGAACTGTAATCCTCTTTCACAATTGAAGCATTTGGCTTTGTAGAATGTAAAAGTGATGACTGGATAAGTTAAATAATGGCCAGGATCCAACCTACTCTCTCCAGTGTTTTGAGTGGAAAGTGTTTCCGTTCAAGTGGAAGGGGTTTTATTTCCTGCTGGTGAGAGTCCATTGGGCATCACAGGATGTTGCTTCAGAAGCGTTGTGGGTGGGGGTGGCTTTGTGGGGCAGCAGAGGATGCTGTTGGAAGGGGGTGCTGAAAGGAGATCATCATTCATCATTCATGGCACTTTAGACCCCACCCATAGCTTGCTTGCAGTTTCACAAGAAAACAGAGCAGGAGCCATATTTAGTTGACGTGCTATGTCTCAGTGTCAGGGTAATATGAGCCATGGCTCATTGGGGCTCAGCCCAAAGCCAGCATTCAGGGAGAAGGATCAGTCGTCTCATAAGAAGAGGATATTTCAGAGAATGGGCAGAGTGCCTTCTAGTACTGGTTGTCAACACTAAACTAAGCTGACAGAGAGAGGTGCCACCCGTGGAATGGTTGTAACAATCATGGTGGATGCAGTGATGCAGGCAGGTCCCCTTTCTTCCTAGTGCCATTTGTCACTTCCGCTTACTGAGGAAGGGGGGGATAAGGCAGTGGAGAGTTTGGTGTGGACGCAATGCCAGGAGCTTTGGCTTGGTTCTGCCACTGTGCATGCACCGAGCTCCCTGCTTCCTTCTGTGTCCCAAGTAAGGATGCAGGCAGGAGGGAGCTGGCTGAGGGCAGAATGAAGTTGTTGGGGCAGTGCCTCATTTGTCCCCATTGACTAGCTTCCCCTGGTACCTTCTCAGCACTGAGTAATCAAAACCAGCTGATAGGCATCCAGGAGGAGGAGAAAGGCTTTCAAGTTAGTAAATGTGTCTTACTGGTATGCTTGAATTCCTCCACCTCTTAAATTAGACCTGAAATCCTTCAGGGTAGTCACAAATAACTGGCAATTGCCAGATAGCCATTTAAAAGGTTACCATGTGCACATGTAACTTTGTGGGGGAGTCATTTCTCCTTACCATCCTGTTACTTCTCCATTTCTCCCAGATTATTGAGCCTTGGTAACAATGGTAGTTTTACCATTAGAGGTTAGAGGTTCCAGGCAGCCATCTATCCTGCCATGTGGATACAATTACCATATGCTAAGCACTAAAGTGATGACTACTTAGCCTGCAAGGATTTATTTTTACAGTCCAAGGTAAAAAAATTTTTTTAAATTTTTTTTGAGGAGAATGGCTTTGAGCAATTTTACTTTGGGGTTTTCTCCAATAATGAAGCCTCTGTGGAGAAAAGGAAGTCCAGCAACTTTCTTCTCTATCTCTGAATATAGCTTCTTCATCTCTGGTGACACCATAATTAGAAACGGTACATCCTTCCTACATATCTGAAGCGTTTTTCTCCCCACTGTGTCAGCATTATATTTTAGCGTTGTGGTCAAGAGCTAAGGCCATAAAGGTATTTTTAAGCTAAAGTTCCTTTAAGCTAGTAAGTTCAGAAACTGTTTTGACTTGTGGCCTTCTTCTAAAAGTCAGATTACCTTTTGGAACTCCATCTCCACTGAGCTTTTTTAAAAATGAGTGATATCCCCTATCCATTGTCGGGCTCCAACTCCCCTGTGTTGAGACTTGCTTTTTACAATCAAGTGGTCTTTTAAGTTTTATGAGCTAAATAAATGAACTAGAAGAGAAGCCATGGGAAAATACTAAAATAATATTTAGTGATGGGGGATTGGAGATTGGAAATTGAATTTCATGGTTCTAAAACCCCCGAGCCTGTTTCAATCCAAGTCCATAATGACCTGAACTTTGTTCCCCCCCCTCCCCAGCCTCCCCATCTGTGAGCGTCCCTATTACCCACTTTTTCTAACTTAAACAAGCAAAATGGGTATCAGGCCGGATTTGAGGAGCCGCAGTGGTACCTCGGGTTACAGATGCTTCAGGTTACATACGCTTCAGGTTACAGATGCCGCTAACCCAGAAATAGTACCTCAGGTTAAGAACTTTGCTTCAGAATGAGAACAGAAATCGTGCGGTGGTGGCGCAGTGGCAGCGGGAGGCCCCATTAGCTAAAGTGGTGCTTCAAGTTAAGAACAGTTTCAGGTTAAGAACGGACCTCCAGAACGAATTAAGTTCTTAACCCAAGGTACCACTGTATAAAGATCAGAATTGAGTTCTGGGTGCTGCCACAACTATAAGCAACAGCATCTACTGGACAGTGGGAAACATAGAAGCAGGGCTGGGCGCTATCTGGTTTTCAACACCATGATGTACACCAGCTAAATATAACAATATATCACCATATATTGGCAGCAGCGGAGGGCCTTGTTGGGCCTCCCTGCAGTGGCAAGGGGCCCACCATACCTCCCCGCAGTAGCGGAAGGCCTTGACAAGGCTCCCTGCAGCGGTGGAGGGCCTTAAAATGTAAGGAAGAAGTATATTTAATAAAAAATATAAAGTAAACTTCCATATAATATATTTAATGTATTTTCAACTAATTTAAGAGTAGTTTAAGTGATTTACTAGTCAAGTTGCATCTGTTTTCCCACTCAGAGGTCCCACTTAGAGGTTCAATCTAGGCATGCATAAGCCCCACTGAGTTCAACTAAACTTACTTTTACTTTCCAGGGAGTAAGTCTCGGATGATTTCAGTAGGGATTGCTTGTGAGTAGACATGCGTTTGCTTGCACTGCTTACCGACAAATCCCCTCCCCATCATTCTTACATAGTACCCAACCTCCCATTTCAGCTAAACATTCTCCTCTCCATTCAGTCCTCAACAGACCCCCCCCCCCCAAAAAAACCCCCATACCATCAATCTCTCCCTTTTTAAAATCTTTCCTCCTTATAAGGGAGGGAAGGAGGGCAAGCAAGCAAAGACTTAATCTCCTTTAAATAAATTTTAGAAACCTTCATTTTTAATATGGAGGAAAACTATTTAGGGGGAACCACCAGAAAACAAAAATAAAAACTCTTCCCACCCTTTTTTTCCGGAGGTGGGGGGTCAGTGTGAGGAAAGAAGTGTTTTCCAGTTCTTTGTTTACATTCTCTGTTTATGTTGCCCCTGGATCTTTAATTGTCTAGCCATGGGGGTGCCTCCTGGATTGTTAGCAGGCTCTGCATAATTAGCTGAGTTAAAGATACAGGTGAAGCTGGAAGAGTTTGCTGGTTTGTGTGAGAGCTTATCCTTATTTCTTATTGGCTAGGAGGGAGAGAGCAAACAAAGCCTGCAAAGCATTAGTTCCCCAGCTTCCCTTTGGGAAGCTGTTAAGTCTCCACGTTTTATTCACCAGTATACAGTGGTACCTTGGTTCTCAAACTTAATCCATTCCGGAAATCCGTTCCAAAACCAAAGCATTCCAAAACCAAGGTGTGCTTTCCCATAGAAAGTAATGAAAAACAGATTAATCTGTTCCAGACTTTTAAAAACAACCCCTAAAACAACAATTTAACATGAATTTTACTATCTAATGAGACCATTGATACATAAAATGAATGTACTGTACTATAAAATAAATAAGACAGTATTGTAGATGATTTAGAATTTCCCCCCCCCTTACCTGCACTGATGATAGTCATTGTTTGGATGGGGGGCTTTTATCCATTTCTGCAGTCACACAATCAATCAGTAGCTGAACTGGGTTCCACACAGTCACAAAAACAAATTAACCGAAAAAGCCTCAGAAACACAAAATCAACCGCAAAAACAAAAGTGCCAAACTTAATCTGTTCTGGAAGTCTGTATGACTTCCGAAATGTTCGAAAACCAAGGCGCAGCTTCTGATTGGCGCAGGTGCCCCGGAAACAATAGCCGACAGCCGCATCAGACGTTTGGCTCCTGAAAAAGTTTGAAAACTGGAACACTTACCGGAACGTTTCCAGTGTTTGGGAACCAAGGCGTTTGAGAAGCAAGGTACCACTGTATTGCCTTGTTGAAACACTTAATACGATGTTGTTTTAATACCTGGCATTCAACGATTTATCACACAGCCTTAGATCGGAGCCACATTTTCTTGGGACTGTGATGATCTGGATGTGCTGGTATGCGCTTGCTTCAGCATCCATTGACCTTGGGAAGCAGTGTATAATGCCTTGAGCATTTCCACCATCTGTTTCCATGGAATGTTTGTGCCACTGTCCATCTCTTTGTGATGTCAACTAATGTTGCAACAAGTATGTGTGGCAATTGCCTCAAGTCAGCCTTCCAGCTCATTGCCTTAGTAAGGTGAATTTGGATAAAAGAGGAAGGGCTGGCTTGGAGGTTAGTAGCAAAGAGATCTCTAGGCCCCATAATGCTCTAGCCTTCTGATAACATCATCAGGAATGATAGGACTGGGCAGGAAATATGTGGAGAAAGCCTTGTCTCCCACTGTCCTGCCTTGTTTGCGGTTGGATTAGAGGGTGATTTAAATACAGTGGTACCTCGGGTTAAGAACTTAATTCGTTCTGGAGGTCCATTCTTAACCTGAAACTGTTTTTAACCTGAGGTACCACTTTAGCTATTGGGGCCTCCCGTTGCCACCACGCCACTGGCCCGTGATTTCTGTTCTCATCCTGAGATGAAGTTCTTAACCTGAGGTGGTACTTCTGGGTTAGCGGAGTCTGTAACCTGAAGCGTCTGTAGCCCGAGGTACCACTGTATATGTGTCCCATGTCTCGGTCAGCGTTTGAAATTCTCCAGGCGCCAGGTGCATTTTACACCTGGCTATGGCCACTTGAGACCAAGTGAAGATGCCCAGCTGCCAGGATGGTGCCCGACGTCTCCACCACCTGGAGGTGCATGCCTGGGGATCCTTGGATCATTCCTGATTTCATATACTAGCATCACATCTTGTAGAATTCTATCTGTTATATTTTATCAGCACAATCAGAATGAATTTGAGGAACCAAAAAGTCATATTGAAAAAATGTGACTTTTGAGCTGTCTGGCCCCTAAATGGCAACTAGGCATTCTGTTTGGGTGACTCTAACCCTGGTTTAAAGAGCCACTTGGTGCCTAGTTATATATCTGAGTTTCTAACACTGGTTTCGGTTGCCGTGTGGCAACCCCAGTTCCCTTTGGAGCCACGTGGGGGACCTTCTGAGTGTTTGTCCTTATCGTGATATTGCTGTAGAAGTGCTAAGCTTTAGATCAGCAGCTTGGAACAGTGATCAATATGATAGCCACTTCATTTGAATGCCTTCCTGACAGGAGATAGACTTTCTTAATTGTTATAAGTGCCAATACAGTTGAGAGTCTGTTGGTATTCATCCAACTTCCATGTGAGTGTTGGCTGTGTCCTAGACTAATCTTGAGTCCCTACCCACTTTTCAAGGTCTTCGGGTTACCAGTAAATTATATCTATACACTTGGCAATTTCTTTGCAAAATCCTGCAACTAATTGAAATGCCCTATATCAAACAGTAGACCATCAAAATAATTGCAGAAAAAATGGGGGGAAGGCTTCAATTTAAGCTTTGAGGACAAAAGCCTTGATGCAGGGGAAATCAGACAAGGTCCCTCCCCCGCCCCTGCTTATATGGAAGCTTGCCAAAGGTTGCATTTATGTTCATTGAAACTTTAATTCCAAAAACCAGCACTTAAATGCTAATAGGAACAGGGTTTAGAAGCTCAACTGCCCTTCTCTCTCTCTCTCTCTCTCTCTGTCTCTGTCTCTCATACACACACACACACACACCACAAATGTAAGTTAATTCCCCACTCCCAAATCTTGAAAGTTGGCGTGTGTGTTTCTAGTTCGCTGGCTTTTCTTTACAGCACAAGGGAGAGAGGAACCTTCCCCTTACTCCTTCCAGTATGTCAGTAGGCAAAGCAGCTACAAATAATTTGTGGGAAAGTACTGTTTGTGTGTCTTTTTTTTGTTGGCATTTCAAATAGGGCTAAGCTGAAATGGCTTATGTTTTAATTTGACTTCCTTTTCCAGTAATTCTTCAACACGTGCTGCTAAAACAATTCAACCATGTTTTGAATGGCATTAATGCTAGAGAACATTCAAGTCACTGTATACACCTTGGGGCTCCTTGGATCAACCGGATATCCAAGGTACAGTCGTACCTTGGTTTGCGAACGTGATCCGTGTGGGAGGCACATTTGCAACCTGCAGCGCTGTGTCTGCGCATGCACGTGATGCAATTCGGCTCTTCTGTGCATGTGCATGATGCCATTTTGCCCAGACTTACAAGAAACATTAATAATATGAAATTTTCAAGAATCATAAACTTTCTAGAGTTGGAAGGGACCACGAGGGTCAACTAGTCCAGTCTGTAGCAGTGCAGGAATCTTTTGCCCAATATGGGGCTCGAACCCATGACCTTAAGAGTCTCATGCACTGCTAACTGAGCTATGTGTTTCAGTGAGGCACAAAAACAGTATTTCGGGTGGGCCCTTAGAGGGCAATTGGAATGCTTCTTCTTTTCTGTGCAAACTGTACTCTGTGAGCAGTCATCCTGTTGCTCAAGTGCCGCTGCTGCTGAAACAAGAGCATTCAAGTTGCTCCCTAGAGAGCCTGCACCATGGATGTCACCCTTCTGGGTGTTTCTGCATCTGACTGTGTCACCTTATTTTAGACACTGAGAGAAGCAGCAGAAAAGTTGCTAATGGGGAAGGCACAAAACTGTTTTGGCAAAAAAGGGAGTTTTCTAGTGTCTTCTCTTTGGCAAGCAGTTATTTGGTACTTGAAGTACATATTGTGAGACAAAAGTAGAATGTTGCAAATATTTGGATGAGCCTTTACTGTAGATCAGGATGTGGGCTTGATGATCTTCACCTCTTCCTTTTCCCCCAAGGGGAGCAATCACTGTGATACAAGTAACATATTTGTGTTACACTTTGGAAACCTTGGATAGTCCCTGTTTTGACCGTGGAAGACCCATTGCAACAAACAATGAGAACAGGGTGCTCTCCTGTACCAGTTAGATTTTGTTCTGTATAACAGCTGGAAAGGATAAGGAGTTTGTACATGCGACTGGGGCTAGGGGTGAGGGAGAGACTGAATTCAGTTTGCATTAAAATTGAACCTACCTAATTTGCACTGCTCAGGACAGTGGGAGAACTAAAACACAGCTGTCCTTCAAAATGTGTACACCTTTGAATCTCGTTGTGATGCAGTTCTCAAACCAAACATTTACAAAAATGTATATATTAGTGGAAACATGCATTACATTAGGGAAAACCACATGCAAAAATGTGTTTATTAGGAGAAAGTCACACTAAAATGCTGATGACTTTTCATGTTACACACACACATTTATACACATGCAATGCAGATGAGGTGCCCACATATATGTGTGCTCAATATAACAAATGGAGAGGGTCACAAATCATACTTTCCCCATGCCCTCCAAGTATATATACATGCCAGACCTTAGGGTAGATTCAGATTAGGGATGTTTGAAGAATATGAACTTTGGGAATTCTATTGCGAAGTGACTTGATCCATGCTTCCTGGACTAATGTGCAGGTTGGAACTTAATTATTTGCCGGTGTTCCCAAATATTGGAACATTTTTAAATAAAAAAATGACACAGGGAACCTTGTCTTTGCTTACTGTTTTTAAACTATTTTTGACTCAGAAGAATAATTTTTAAGTGCATTTTAAACCTATTTTGATACATTTCCTTTACTCAATAACAATTTCAGTTTAATGCAGAAATGGCATGGAACAGATTTATAGGTGTGCACATGCAAAAGCAACCAAAAATATACTGATTTGCTTAGCCCAAACACAGATAAGCAAGATGTCCCCCTAAGAAATGCAACTTGTCACATGAAACCCCAAGCTTGAAGCACTATCTTGAAACGCGTTCAGTAGCCCAGATTGCACATCACGACCTTGCGAGGCATATCTGTTTCACTGGTGGTTTAGAGGGCTCAGTTATTGGTTGGTATGGTTGCCAGAGTTCTTTGTGCTGCAGTGCGTCTTCACAGTTAGCTCAAAGGAAAGTACAAAATTTAAAAAAAAGGAAGAGGTGAGAGAAATGGGCATGAAGGGACAGGACAGGTGCTAGTATTTTGTGGACATAACAAGGGCTGCTGAACACTGATTTACTAAGTTTCCCTCTACACGATTAGCAGATGGAATTGAGTTTCCACTTTGTTTTCCACATATATTATCCATGCGGGAGAACTAAGGGACTCTGTTAAAGTTATCATATAGTAAACACTGTTTGTTGCTTCTCTTCAAAAAATGCTTCCTGGTTGGTCTGGGGGATCAGTTTGCCTTTTTTTTTTTTTTTTACAGAAATACTTGAATTGTAACTATTTATTACTTTGTAAAAATCTCTATATAAAACAGCTTCTAGTATATAAAACAGAACACAATCAGAATAAAAACAGGATACTGTCGTTTGTTTCCTGTTCTTGCATTTGTGTCACACCTGCTCCCAGTGCTACAGCATCAGGCGCTCACAGATCGTATATCATTAACTCATGTAAATGTTATTAACAAGACTTGAGTCAATACTGCTGCGCATTGTAGAAGCGATTACTCTGTCAGCTTAGGGCAGGTCCACACCTCATATTTAAGAGCACATCCAGTTGAACATTTAAAACTTCTGATTTCCCCCCGAAGAATCCTGGGAACTGTGGCTTGCGAAGGGTACTGTGAATCATAGCTCTGTGAGTGGGAAACTGCAGTTCCCAAGATTCTTTGGGAGAAGCCGTGTGCTTTCAGTGTGCTTTAAATGTATGGTGTGGTTTTGCATTTAGTCCTCCACAGAAAGGGTTGCTTCGTTTGTTTGTTTTTTGGTAGATCAGAATATTTTAAAGACTATTATAAAGGCATTGGTGATTCACATTAAGTTTCGTTATGCACTCAAGGGCAGTTCTAAATTCTGGAAGGATGCAGAATTCAGTGGTGGATTTCAGGGCCCACTGGGGATGGGACCTTCTGAAGTATGGGAGGCAGAGGCTCACAGTACATGGGAGAGCTTTATTTGCACTATGCAGTCCATAGCAGTCTCATTGGTCTCTGTAGAGGCCCTGGTGTTTGACCTAGTTGGCCTAGAGGTCTATGCCCTCTTCTCATGGTACTCACTCAGAAAGATAAACAGAACTATGAAGGGAATTTCATAGAATAGTAGAGTTGGAAGGGATCCTGAGGGTCATCTGTCCAACCCCCTGCAATGCAGGAGTATGCAAGTGTCCCATATGGGGATCGAACCTGCAACCTTGGTGTTATCAGCACCCGCTCTAAACAACTGAGCTATCCAAGTACTGTACATCTTTAGGCCAACACCCTGAGGTAGCACAGTCCATTCCAGCCCCTCATCTTTTGAGAGATAACATACCAAAGGAGACAAACTTTTCTCTACATAGACCAGCGGTTCTCAACCTGTGGGTCCCCAGATGTTGTTGGACTACAACTCCCATCATCCCTGAGTTCTGGCCTTGCTAGCTAGGGGTGATGGGAGTTGGAGTTCAACAAAATCTGGGGACCCACAGGTTGAGAAAGTCTGACATAGACTTTCCAATATGCTTTAGGGTTTAGGGTTCTTAATCATCTGGGAAACCTACTCCTCTCTAAATCAACCTGTGTGGGCTGCAAGGAGTAAAACCATCTCCAGGGTTGAGGCTGAATGCACAGCCCCGTTGAATCTGCGTTGCCCTTTCACACGAGTAACATGCAAAGAGGGCTCTTGTGCAACCTGGTGGCAACTGAGTATTCAGCAGGGTTGTTAGGTATCCCATTTGAAATGGAATTTGCTGGGTCTACAAATCATGCCAAGTGATTCATTTCCCCACAAATCACCAAGTTTTCAAACCTCTCCATTCTGAAGGAAATCAGCCCTGAGTGCTCACTGGAAGGACAGATCGTGAAGCTGAGGCTCCAATACTTTGGCCACCTCCTGAGAAGAGAAGACTCCCTGGAAAAGACCCTGATGCTGGGAAAGATGGAGGGCACAAGGAGAAGGGGACGACAGAGGACCAGATGGTTGGATAGTGTTCTCGAAGCTACCAGCATGAGTTTGACCAAACTGCGGGAGGCAGTGGAAGACAGGAGTGCCTGGCGTGCTCTGGTCCATGGGGTCACGAAGAGTCGGACACGACTGAACGACTAAACAACAACAACATAATTCAAGTATAAATAAGTTACATAAAGACACCCCATCTTGATCCATAGACATTCAACTGAGATTTCAGCTTCCCTTTATGTGAGGCTCTGAGCTATGTCTGATTTGTTCCAAGTTGAGTTGTTGGAGGTCTAGTGATGTTCTTACCATGTGTCTGAAATCAAAGGTGGAAAATTGCAGTACTTTCCTCTTCGGGGATTACATTCCATCATCTTTGCCATATCTTAGTAACACCGTCTGCTCTTAACATTACCGTACATTTCCGATGTAGAGTGTTTTTCTGCCAGAGCTGGAGCCGAGCGCATGTTTTCCCTTGTTTTGCTGGAAACTACAGCAGATCAAAGATGCTTCATGTAATGATCATCAGTCTGCGCGGAGTGTCTCTGTGTTACATATTAACCAGCTTTGATGCCTCTTTACATGAGGTCACAGCTTCCCAAATTAATTCTGTCACAGGAGAGGATTCATTAGATTCTTAATTGACTATTTCCTTACAAACAAGCAGGAAGGAACTTCTAGAAAACAAAGTAATTAAACAGTAAGCAATGCACATAAATCATATTTCTGAGCAAATTAATGAAAAAAAATATAGAATTTGTTGCACTTTATACAAAGGGTGTTTTTGTTTGTTTGTTTGTTTGTTTTTTGGCAAGTATACAAGTGATAACCCAGGGTCCTCAGCCAATGTTTTTGAAGTTCAAGCTTGGTTTTTTAAGACGGGCTGAGTATCAATCCTGGCTGCAACTTCATGGGCATGGGGAATTTGTGCCTTTTTCTACAGAGTTCTTTCCACCATGAATATGTTTGCAGTTGATAAATGTAAAGTTGGATGTCTCATGCCAGTTTTAGATCTGTGGCACAAACTGATTGCATCAGTTTACTTTGTGGATTGAAAAATAGAATTGTGCCTTCACAACCCCATTGAATGTTTGAAAAGGGAATAGCAGTTCTTCATAATGAAAGCACTTTCATGTGAGAGGTGCATAGTTACGTTTATCGCTCAGTTCTTTAGCAGTTTTCAGCTGCCAGCAGAGGCTTTCACTGAGTAACGACATGATACTGTTCCAACTACGTTTTGAAAATAAGGAAAAGATTGAAAAAAGTACCTCCTGTATTGCCAGTTTTGTGTGAGGCAGTGGGATAGTGCAAACACTTTTTATTCTGCGCTTAGAGCTGAGCTGAATTTCCATGAGTTTTGATTTTTGTGTTTGATGGGGAGGAGGAAGTGCTTTTGGTGAAGTGTTACAAAAATTGCGCAACGCTTAAAAGTGTTCCTACGCTTTGTCCAAGTGCTGAACATTAATCACAGCTCCAACAGCTCTCTTCAAACTCCCTGGAAGTCTGAGTTTCACCCAGAAAATATATTTAGTAGGGGTGTCTAACCTGTGGCCTTCCAGATGTTGTTGGACTCTATTACTCTATCAAGCCAACATGACTAATAGCCAGAGATGGGGGGAACTGCAGTCCAACAAAATCTGGAGAAGCCACAGGTTAACCGCTTCTGATATTTAGGAATTCTGCCTAAGATTTATCTCATTTGGGTCAGAGAAGTTCCCTGAGTTCAGTCAGTCAAGTTCATGGACTGCACAGTTCTCTTGTTTCTAAGCTCAGATGTTTTCTTGTGCTGTGTTCTGTCAGATAACTACACTCCAGAGACAGTTCCTTGGAACTTTAAAAAAAAAAAGCTTTTGAAGGCTTTTGAATGCTGACCTCATGGACCTGGCTGCCTGAGACCCCTGGTGCCTTGTTTCACATGGGAGGTAGCTATAATGAAGATGATTCTGAAACCAGTATCACTCCTGGGAGGAGAGGCACAGCGCTGAGGTAATGTGGGAGTCAGGGCCCTAAGTACTATCATTTGAGCGTAGCTTATGATATAGGGCACAAACCAGAGACATAGCTGTCAAGCGTCCCTTATTTGGCGGGACAGTCCCTTATCCCAACGCCATGCCGGGCTGCTGTCCCTTATTGATGATGTCCCTTAAATACACTACTGAAGGTAATGGGGCCCTTTCTATATCCAGCTGTTCTTTGTCAACAACAAATTGTTGCTTTTTTTGTGTTGAATATATGCTATATGGTAATTTATGGACCTAATAGGTATCTAAAGCCATTTGCACACAACAAAATATGTATTTTATCAAAGTAATTGTTGATCCCTTATTTTGGCTGCTGATCCCTTATTTTCGAGGCTGCTGGTCCCTTATTTTCAAATCTGTAAGTTGACAGCTATGGCCAGAGACCATCTTCAGGTAGGAACCATCTTTGGTATATAGACCCGTTTTGTAAAAAATGGCCTAAAGGAGAGTTGGAAATTGAAATAGTTGGAGATCTGGACCACCGTATTTGTTCCAGTGGTCTAAGCAGGCTGTATGATGGTGGGAACCTGCAGGCTATTTTGCTCTTTTAGCTCTATCACATCATCTTTAACTCAACAACAAATACCCCACCAACTTTGGATATGCTTTAAAAAAAAATACATAAAAGTTGATAATCAATAGTAGTAGCCTCTGTTCATATAGTGAGTACCTTTCTTGTTGAGTACCTGCAGCCCATCTGAACATATTTAGATTTTTGTTTAAAAAAGGGGTGCCCCATCTCCCTTTACAACAAATCCAATCTAGGTGTTTTTTTTTAGTAAAACTAACAAATGACAGCATATACCGGTACAGTGGTGCCTCGCAAGACGAAATTAATTCGTTCCGCGAGTTTTTTCATCTAGCGAATTTTTCGTCTTGCGAAGCACGAAATCCCATAGGAATGCATTGAAATTCAATTAATGCGTTCCTATGGTAAAAAAAAGTCCAAACAAAGCCAAATTTGGTACAACAAGAGTTTATTAAGTGCTCTTTAAAGTCACACATACTGTAAAGAGCATTTCAAAAATTGAAGGAACAATAAATTAAGTTTCTAAACATGACAGAAAAACATTTAAAAATCAACAAAGTGTACAGTACATTTTCTAAGACTCTGGGGGACAACTCGAAGAAGGTTCCTCTTCCACTCTTTGCTTCTTGCTAAAGAATGTGTCCATGGTCTGCTGCTTCATCCGCCTTTTCAGCACCTCCCTGAAAGGCGACATGACCCTCGTATCAAAAGTGTTCGCAAGGTCATGTGCCACGTGCTTGTCAGGGTGGTGCCGCTGTGCAAAAGCCTGCACATCCTTCCACTTCAGGCAAATGTCCCTCAGTTCTTTGGAGGACAGCCGTTCCTCAGTTGCTTCCTCCTCTTCCAGCGAGGCCTGCTCCTGCGCAGCCTCTGCCTGCAGTTTGACCAGCTCCTGGGTGGTCAGCTCATGGTCGCGCTCCTCCACCAGCTCGCTGATGTCCTCCTCTGTGACCTCCAGGCCCATGGTCCTCCCCAAGGCAACAATGTCCTGCACCACTGTTGACTCTGGTGCATCAGAGTCACTTGGTGCCACACAGTCTGGCCACAGGCTGCGCCAAGCGCAATTCAAATTTCTCTGGCTGATCCTGTTCCAGGCCGTGGTGATCATCTTCAAGCAGGTGACGATGTCGAAGTGGTCCTTCCAGAATTCCCGCAGGGTGATGGTGGTGCAATCAGTCACCTCGAAGCATCGCCTGAAAAGCTCCTTGGTGTAGAGTTTTTGAAATTGGCGATGACCTGCTGATCCATCGGCTGGAGCAGTGGCGTGGTGTTAGGCGGCAGGAACATGATGCTGATGAAGCTGAACTCCTCCAACAAGTCCTCCTCAAGGCCTTTAGGATGAGCAGGAGCATTGTCCATCAGAAGCAAAGCCTTCAGCGGCAGGTCGTTGTCCAGCAGGTACTGTTTGACAGCAGGGCCAAAAGCAAGATTGACCCAGTCCACAAATAGCACACGTGTGACCCAAGCCTTACTGTTGGATCGCCACATGACACTCAGCTGCTCCTTGTCGACCTTGTGTTTCTTGAAGGCCCGTGGGTTCTCCGAGTGGTACACCAGCAGGGGCTTGATCTTCAGGTTGCCGCTTGCGTTGGCACAGAAGAGCAGGGTCAGACGGTCCTTCATGGGCTTGTGGCCAGGCAACTTGGCCTCCTCCTGTGTGATGAAAGTCCTTTTGGGCATCCTCTTCCAAAACAGCCCGGTCTCGTCGCAATTGAAGACCTGCTGTGGAACGTAGCCCTCCGTCTTCACAACCTCCAGGAACTCCGCTGCAAAGTCTTCAGCCGCAGAAACATCAGAACTGGCAGCCTCTCTATGCCTGACCACGCTGTGGATTCCAGATCTTGTCTTGAACCGGTCAAACCAGCCTCTGCTTGCCTTGAAGACTTCTGGCTCGCCTGAGGTTCCTGGCTGTTCCCGGACGAGGTCTGCGTGCAAGGCCTTGGCCTTCTCACAAATCACGGCCTCAGTCACTGTGTCCCCTGCACGCTGCTTCTCTTCTAACCAGATGAGCAGCAACTTCTCCACCTCCTCCAGAACAGCTGGGCGGTTCTTCACGATCCTGGTGACTCCCTTGGCTGCATCAGTCGCAAGGATCTTCTCCCTCATCTTCAGGATGGTCCCGATGGTCGATGGATTCCTCCCGTACTCCCTGGCGAGGTATGTCACACGCATTCCACCGTCGTGCTTCCGGATGATCTCCTTCTTCATTTCCAGCGTAACCTTCTCCTTCGTCCCCTCGCTGGCCTCTGCAGCAGCAGTCTTCTTGGGTCCCATGGCAGCACAAACCTACCTGCACAACCCCCCCCCAAAAAAATCAAAAAATCAGTGCTTCACATCCAAAAAATTCAAAAGCACCCAGCCACCCACCACACAGAAACTCAAACCCAGAACCAAGTCCTTGAATTCCAAACACCCCAACGCAAAATCCAAAACCCCCCAAAAAAGTTTTAAAAGTTTAACTTACCGAATGGCTGCAAAAGAAGTTTTGGAAAAGCTTCAAAAATCACCAAAGTCTTCAAAAACCTCAACTATTCCCCCAGCCACCCACCACACAGAAATTGCAAACCCCTCCCCAACTGTTGCAAACCCCTCCCCAACTGTTCCCCCAGTCACCCACCACACAGAAATTCAAACCCAGAATTTTTTTTGTTAAAAAAACAGCAGAGTGACCCAATGGTCACAGAAAATCATAAAAATGCAGAAAAAACCACAAGCTTCCAGATTCTTGCAAACCCCTCCCCAACTGTTCCCTCAGCCACCCACCACACAGAAATTCAAATCCAGAATTTTTTTTAAAAAAACAGCAGAGTGGCCCAATGGTCACAGAAAATCATAAAAATGCAGAAAAAAAACCACAAGCTTCCGGATTCTTGCAAACCCCTCCCCAACACCAAGTCCTTGAATTCCAAACACCCCAACCCCAAATCCAACCCCCCCCAAAAAGTTTTAAAAGTTTAACTTACCAAATGGCTGCAAAAGAAGTTTTGGAAAAGCTTCAAAAATCACCAAAGTCTTCAAAAACCTCAAAAAAGGCTACCACACCGCGTGCTATGAGTTGCTCCTCGAAGTCAAGTCGCAACTGCACCTCTTCAAGCAATGCACCCTGGGTATTAACGGTTTTACGAAAAAGGAAACAAACTTGCAAGACGTTTTCGTCTTGCGAAGCAAGCCCATAGGGAAATTCGTCTTGCGAAGCACCTCAAAAAACGAAAACCCCTTTTGTCTAGTGAGTTTTTGTCTTGCGAGGCATTCATCTTGCGGGGCACCACTGTAGCTTGCTGAGATAACTCCCTAACTGCCTTCAGATCTTGGGCTGGTACGACATACCTAACAGCTCCTTCTCAATTTCACCACTGACTTGCTCCTATTAGAACAACATGATCCCATGCATCATATTTTTGCAGGGACCCCCTTGTTTGATTCCTATGGTCAGCTTATATTTCAAAGTGACTGTGTTGCACTTAGGAAAAGTACAGTAGCAGCTAATTTGTATGACTTGATGTCTGTTGCTGCTGACTAAGAGAAAGGGACAGGAAGCAGCAGCTTTGGGGGATAAGTATAAGTAGCACTACACTCCAATCTGGCTACCAAGTGATTCAGCTTCATCCCATGGTTTAGCTCAACAGGTAATTCTCTGTGAATTATTGTTAATACAACTTTCACAGACAGTTAGCATTAATATTAAAGAACGAGAAGCAGATAATGCTTGAGAGTGTTTCCGTTTCCTTTTTCGCTAATTGCAGTGTCGTATATTATCTCGTCAGTTACGCACTTAAGAGAGATTCCCTAGCAAGGTATGTGAAGTCTCTGGGGAGATAGTATTGCTGTATTTATTCATGAAGATGCAAATAATCACTTCAGACCGGGGCTGAAATGGTAGAAAGAGAACCCCAACACAGTGCTTCTCAGATCCTTCTTCTTCTCTCCCCCCCTTCCTCCTCTTGTTATCCAAAGTCTCACCAGATGTTCATGCATGGTTGTAATGCTTTCAAGGGACCTATACAGAAGCAGAGAAATTCATCCCAACCAGCCCTGTGCCCTTCCCTTGCCTTGCCCCATATATGAAGGTGAGGGTTACCAGTTACATGGAATTGTGACATCGTAATAATGCTGTCTATGTCATCAGTGAACTTGGAGAGAAGTGTGTGAAGGTGATGGATCAGTTACTTCATATGTGATTATCATTTGTTGAATGCAGAGTCAACTGGAGACTTTTGTTTGTGTGAATGAGCCCATTAGAGACCAAGCAACACAGATAGAGGACTTCTCTACCCTATGAAAAAGAAAAGAAAAGGTAGCTGTGAATTATGGTAACAGGGAGTAGACAGTGACTTTTCTATTTCTGGGATGCCAAATTGTCATCTTCTGTGAGCACTTATTCTGCCTTTGGATGCCCTGTTCCAAAATGTCGGTGGAAAAGGGTGGTGGTGGGTTGTGCTCATGTTTGAGTGGGCTCAAAGACCAACCTAGCAGTCTGCCCAAATCTTTTTCAATACTGGTCATCATCACTGGGGGGAGATTTAAACCAAGCCCTCCATTCTGAATCAAGTGCTCTATTTTTACTCTCTCCCCTTGAAGTAGCCTTGAACACAATATTATTAGAGTTGCACACAAGAAGAGCATTCACAGCCACCCACCATTTCGTGTGAGTATTTTCCCCCCTCCTGTTGGATTGGACCATCATTTTTACACCTAAAGTTCTCTCATGAAATTTGGTAACAGGACATGTGCACGTTGTATTCTGACGCCCATTTAAAGGTGACCAGTGGGGGCGGGTGAAATCTTGCTTTCCCACTGTGAATGGGGGGGGCATAATTAAGTACTTGTAAGGAATAAATCCTACACAAATCCAGAGTGGAGTCCCTGCAATGGTTGGATGGCATCTTCTGCCCCTCCTTCCGGCAACTCCTGCAGCCAAGTATTGCTCTGCATTCCTTTGGACCACATCAACAAGGCCGGGGGGGGGGCGTGTCTTGTTGTTTGAGCAGCCCAGGAGCTCAATACACACTGCCCAGGCTTGTGCCCTGGGGGATGTCACTTCAGTGCTGCTAACACAGTGGTTTTGACTTCACCCCTGGAGGCATACTCCATTGTCTCTCGAGACATACGGATGCCAACAGCTTGTAGTATGCTCATAAGAGGCTCCTTAGTTATATGTGTTGAATTATTTCAGTACTGGCAGAATATTGAATAGTAAAGTAAATATATATTCTGTATCTATGTGCAAAGCAGTGTTTTGGAAGATTGAACATCTCTTTGTAGACAAAAAACCCCTCTGCTACTCATTTTCTGCATAAGCTCAAGGAAGCAGATAGGAAATCAATTTTGTGGGGGATTCCCTTCAGAGACCGCCAACAGCTCATGCCTGCCCACTTCCATGATTTTATGCTAGGATTGTGAAACATCAAGTAGTTAAATATTTTCAATTGAACAACTGTCAATCATCATTAATAACTGTAGCCATCTTAAGAACTCTCGCTTCCACCACTGCTCTGATTGATTACTGAAATATGATACTTAACCACAAATAGTGGGTTATTAATAGCAAGCATCATGTTTGTCTGGTAACCTCGTTATCTTTTCTATGTGTTAAAAAGAGAGAGAGCCCCGGCTTCACAATCAGAATAAATAAGGATATAATTAATAATACGACCTGTTATCAATAAGATGTGGTGAAATCCTAGGGATAAGAAATGGAACTTGTTATTCTGTGATAGAAATGCTGTTCTCTGAAAATACAGCAAATGTAGTTTAAATAAAAGTCATAAACAGGCCTTGTTTGCACAGTGTAAAGTATATCGTTAGGGGGAAATCTTTTGCCCTCCTAGTTTGTAACCAAGAATCTCCCCCCCCCCCGCCCACCTCCACCCCAGCAACTGAAACCACTGTAGTTAAGCCTGGTTTTGTGAGCTTGAAAAGTTTTTTGGTGGAAAAAAATTATCAAATGAAAACTGAAGAAAAAAATAAAAGACTAGAAATTACAGAAACAAATCGTAATCAATAAACATTCCTAAAATAAGTTGTCATTTCAGGCCAATATTCACTCAGTGTTCATTTAGACACAAATGATTGAAGAGATCCCTGATAGACTCAGCCAATGAAGGTTTTCTTTCAGCTTCATATTTAATTACCTTCCGTCTCTGTGTGTGTTTATTTATTTATAATATTTCATATTGACAAATGATGCAAATAAATTGTGTACATAAGTACGATAATTTAGTTTGCCCCGAGTAATTAATTTTTCAGAGCACTTGTACCCCACTCTGCAGCCTGGAAAATTTCACGCACAGCTTACAAATCAATACAAATATCACAAGCCAGCCCTCAGGCTTGGTTTACTCTTGTTTTTTAAATGTTTGTTTTTGTAAGCTGATTTGAATCCATCTTTTTGCAGAGGGACACTCATGGTAAAGACCCATATCTAGATATAAAAAAGTGTGACCAAAAAAAAAATTACCATCAGTTGCCCCACCCCCAATGCCCTTCCGCTTCAACCTTACTGACTGCTGTTAGGAGGAGGGTGGAGACTTCATGATGCCCTATTTCTATGAATGCTTATTTCACAGAAAAAAAGTGGGGCTTGATATGGGGTTGTAGTCAGTATACACAGCATAAGGTGCTGGTCAGGAGGTGATTTGGGGATGGAATTGACTTGCAATGTGCCGCAGCGGGGAAAGCAACAGCAGGCCAACGTATTAATTGCTTTTTAAAGCCATAAACCCCACCTTCCTTGTCTTTTGTTAAGACTCCCACTCCAAACAGAATTGTGCACCCAGGCATCTTATTGCTTCTTTGGAATTTAATTTATGGAGCAGGGTAATGATGATTGACGACTGGGGCAAGCAATTGATGAGGAAATGATTTTGGAGCGGGATCTGGGTGGGCAATTAATCGGGGGTAACTTAATTGGATAGGTCCTTATTAATTTGGGGTTATCTGGGGCGGGGTGTGAATTAATTGAATACTGCAATTGATTTGTGCTGATCTGAATGGAAATTAATCGGCTTGCCTTCTGTGAAATTTAAATTGCGGCAGTGGTTTCTAAATTTGCACCTGTACATGTAAAGTAGTGCATGTAAATCTATGTCGTGTTTTGCCCTCTTTTTTGACACCCTGTGAGGAAGGAGGTGGGGGAGAGACAAGGATGCCAAAGGGTGAATGTGGACAAATGCAGCTGCATGCATTTGTCACTTGGTTACAAGCCAGTGGCGGGGGGGGGGGCAGAGTCAAAGTGAGTGAAACAACGAATTTACCCTTTTACAGTACGGTAGTCTTTTCACACACTCAAACCTCAAACATTGTCGTCAGAGTGCAAGGACCCTCAAGGAAGGGTGTGAAGGAAGGGCAATGAGAGGCATGACCTGGGAAGAGGCCCCTTGCAAGAAAGGTAGATTTTGAGGAGAGATCCATGCCATAGGGGTAGCAAAAGAAAATGGGTAGAGCCATACAGCGATACCTTGGGTTACAGACGCTTCAGGTTACAGACTCTGCTAACCCAGAAATAGTACCTTGGGTTAAGAACTTTGCTTCAGGATGAGAACAGAAATTGTGTGGCAGTGGCATGGCGGCAGCAGGAGGCCCCATTAGCTAAAGTGGTACCTCAGGTTAAGAACAGTTTCAGGTTAAGAACAGACCTCCAGAATGAATTAAGAACATCTTATAGGGCTTTTATGAAAACCTACGAGATGGCGGTGAAGGCTGCTAAGAAGTCCTACTTCTCGGCCTCCATTGCCTTCGCTAGCTCTCGCCCAGCGCAATTATTTAGTATAATCAGGTCTTTAACGTCCCTTGAGGGACAGCCAAATTTAAATAACAATTTGACACACAGCTGTGAGGCATTTGGGAGCTTTTCTGCGGAGATGGTCTTGTTGCTCCGCCATGACCTCCCTGCCAATTTGGATACAATAAAGGAACTGGAGGCCCCTCGACTGTCCTCGGGTCCAGTATTGGACCACTTCGACCGGATATCCCCAGCTGATGTGGACAGACTCCTCCGAGCTGGAAAGCCCGCCACCTGTCCTCTCGACCCGTGCCCGTCTTGGCTGATTAGAGCGTGTCCAGACGAGGTGCGGGCCCTCCTGGGGGATATCATCAATTTGTCCCTTGGCACGGGGACATTCCCAGGGGAACTGAAGGAGGCAGTGGTGTGCCCGCTCTTAAAGAAAGCATCATTAGATCCTTTAGATCTATCCAATTACCGCCCAGTTTCGAATCTTCCGTTCCTGGGTAAGGTGATTGAGAGAGCGGTTGCTGAACAGCTTGGTGGGTTTCTGGATGAAACATCGGCTCTGGATTCATTCCAGTCCGGCTTCCGCACTGGTCATGGGACCGAGACGGCTCTGGTTGCCCTAACAGATGATCTTCGTAGACAGCTGGATCGAGGCGGGTCGGGGCTGCTGATTCTTCTAGATCTGTCAGCAGCTTTTGACATGGTCGATCACGAACTTCTGGACCACCGCCTTGCCGACGTGGGGATCCAGGGCACAGTCCTTCAATGGCTGCGCTCGTTTCTATCTGGTCGGGGACAGAGGGTGGCGCTTGGGGGGGAATTGTCATCACGCCACTCCTTGGTGTGTGGAGTACCTCAGGGTGCGATACTCTCCCCAATGCTTTTCAACATCTTTATGCGCCCCCTCGCCCAGCTTGTTTGGAGTTTTGGGCTGGGTTGCCATCAGTATGCCGATGACACCCAACTCTATCTGTTGATGGATGGCCATCCTGACTCGGCCCCAGATACACTGACCAGATGTTTGGAAGCTGTGGCTGGATGGTTACGTGGGAGCCGGTTGAAGCTAAATCCTTTGAAGACAGAGGTCCTGTGGCTGGGACGGGGCGATATGGGATTGGGGGGGCAACTCCCATCTCTTGTGGGGGCGCAATTAGTGCCAGCACCGTCTGTTAAGAGTTTGGGTGTAATCTTCGACACCTCCCTTTCCATGGAGGCGCAGATTGCAGCTATAACAAAGGCGGCATTTTTCCATCTCCGCCAAGCTAAGCAGTTGGCTCCTTACCTCTCTCGCCCTGACCTAGCCACTGTGATCCACGCGACGGTCACCTCCAGACTGGATTATTGTAACTCGCTCTACGTGGGGCTGCACCTTGAGACTGACCCAGAAACTTCAGCGGGTGCAGAATGCTGCAGCGAGACTCCTTATGAGGTCTTCGCTGCGAGATCACATTCATCCGGTGCTATACCAGCTGCACTGGCTCCCGGTGGAGTACAGGATCAGGTTTAAGGTGCTGGTTTTAACCTTTAAAGCCCTATACGGCCTAGGACCCTCGTACCTACGGGACTGCCTCTCCTGGTATGCCCCACAGAGAAACTTACGGTCTTCAAATAAAAACATCTTGAAGGTCCCAGACCACAGAGAAGTTAGGCTGGCCTTAACTAGAGCCAGGGCTTTTTCGGCTGTGGCTCCGATCTGGTGGAACACTCTGTCACAAGAGACCAGGGCCTGCAAGACAGAGCCGTTCCACCAGGCCTTTGGCCAGGGCACAGCCTGACTCCCTCCCTCGACAATCTTCACGGAGCTCTGGCCCAATGGTTGCCAGTGGCTTGAATTAATTAATATAATAATGAATGATTTTAGAGTGTTGTTTATGCTGTACTTTTGTACTGTTTTATTGTTGTTAGCCGCCCTGAGCCCGGCTTCGGCTGGGGAGGGCGGGATATAAATTAAATTTATTATTATTATTACCGCTGTACTTGTGATAAGTAAATTTGCATTTGACTATTGCTAGTTGGAAGGGACGCAGGTGGTGCTGTGGGTTAAACCACAGAGCCTACGACTTGCTGATCAGAAGGTCAGTGGTTTCAATCCCTGTGACGGGGTGAGTTCCCGTTGCTCGGTCCCTGTTCCTGCCAACCTAGCAGTTTGAAAGCACATCAAAGTGCAAGTAGATAAATAGGTACTGCTCTGGCAGGAAGGTAAACGGCATTTCCATGTGCTGCTCTGGTTCGCTAGAAGTGGCTTAGTCATGCTGGCCACATGACCCGGAAGCTGTACGCCAGCTCCCTCAGCCAATAAAGTGAGATGAGTGCCGCAACCCCAGAGTCGGCCACGACTGGACCTAATGGTCATGGGTCCCTTTACCTTTACCTTTATTGCTAGTTGATTAAAGACATGAAAAAATGGGTGCCTTTTAAGTTTGATTCGTGAGAAAAACTCCACAGAGTAGTGAGGTGCAAAATAAAATGGCAGCAATAAATTATTGAGGAAAGGTGGAAAACAACAAGGGCATTCTCTTAGGAGCTGTTAGTTTTCATTTTGCAACTTGTCGGACCCTTCAGCAAGAAATTATTAATAAATGTTCACCTCCTTTATTACTGTCCTAGATTATCAGTTTAATGTACGATACATTAGAACAAATCACAAAGGCAGCCGTAAATTGTGCTACAGTGATTCATTGCTAGATCTGGCGGTGGTCTCCTGAATCATGACCATATTTCAAAGGAATTATGTAATGTTTCCAAATAGAAATGCGTACCTGCAATGCACAGCATTCTGTCGGGTCTTGGATTAAGCGAGTCCAACAATAAGAGATAGCTAAAAGTGCAGTCCTGTGTTTGTCTATTCAGAAGGAAGTGGGTATACACTGTGCTTTGTATGTGGACAAGAGCTGAAGTAGTGGGCTCTAATTTAGGGAATGCTGTGGCTAAAGAAACTTTATCCTGGTTGTTTTTTAGCTGCTTTGGAAAGAGATGCCTATTAGGCAAAAAAGCTGCTGGCTTTTCAATGTACCGCCTCTCTTGGTACCATAGTTAACATTCTATGTATACTAAGGTAAAGGTAAAGGGACCGCTGACCATTAGGTCCAGTCGTGGCTGACTCTGGGGTTGTGGCGCTCATCTCGCTTTATTGGCTGAGGGAGCCGGCGTACAGCTTCCGGGTCATGTGGCCAGCATGACTAAGCCGCTTCTGGCAAACCAGAGCAGCGCACAGAAACGCTGTTTACCTTCCCGCCAGAGCGGTTCCTATTTATCTACTTGCACTTTGATGTGCTTTCAAACTGCTAGGTTGGCAGGAGCAGGGACTGAGCAACGGGAGCTCGCCCCGTCACAGGGATTTGAACCGCCAACCTTCTGATTGGCAAGTCCTAGGCTCTGTGGTTTAACCCACAGCGCCACCCGCGTCCCAATGTATACTAGGGGTAGGGAATTATTATTTTTAGCCAGAGAGCTTCATTCCTTTCCAGGGGATGGGTGGGGTGGGGGACACAGGCTAGGGCTGGGTGAGGCCAGAGATAAAAGTGAGCAGAACAACTAGCACAAATCTTAGCTTTGAACAGTAGCCTAGTTCTTAACACACTCTCGCACCCCTCTCTGTCCTCCACACAGGCAAGGAAGAGGCATTAGTTCAAGGATGCATTCCAGCCAGGCAAAAACACTCAAACAGGGTCAGTGGAGGTTGCGGACTTGAAAGAGGGCTTATGGATGGGGAGAATCCAGGGTCAGATATAGAGAGGTCTGAGGTTCTCCATGCCTGACATATACTGCAATGTCATAGATGATGTCGCTATTTTCAGGGAGTCTGGGATGTTGAAATTAAGGGTGCTCACTAGGAGCAACTCTTAGACTCAGGCATCTCTGGTCACCTTGCATCTAGATTTGTGTTCATTGAAGGGAAAGGGAATTTATGGGGGAAGAGAAACAAATACCTCACAATGTTCATATTAGCCTATGGACCTAGGGAGAGAGGTTGCAAAAAAAAAAAAAAAGAGTTCAATGAGCAAGCACTTAAGATTAGTTAAGAGGGTTCCGGTGCAAATTGTGTGATGTAAATGGTATGGTGTGATCCCAGTGTGGTGTATTGGTTAGAGTGTTGAACTAGGACCTTGGGAGATCAGGGTTGAAATCCCTGCTCAGTCATAAAGCCCACTGGGTGGCCTTGGGCCAGTCACAGTCTCTCAGCCTAACTTGCCTCACATGATGGTTGCGAAAATAAAATGGAGAGGCAGGAGAACCATGTGTTGAGCTCCTTCGAAGAAGCTCAAACCTTGTGTAAAGTTAATAATAAATAAAAATAAATGGTGTGAAGACCTCAGAATCAGCACAGTAGCATTACCCCCCGGTAATGTGTGAGTGAAGAGCACTGATGAGCACAGCAAGTATGGGACTAACAAGAGTCTCTGATGTGGGGCCATAAAGACTTTGCCATGGGTGGGGTGAATCCCAGTACCTGCATTTCTTAGAAAATATGTTTGTGGAGAATATTGTTTTAGCAGTAGAACAAATCTTGCAGGATGCCTCTGCCTTGCTTTCCAAGCATAGGTTTAAATTGCAGTGTTGTTGGCTCAAGTTAGATTGCAGTGCCATTGTTCCTGATGTAACATATTGTTTTATTTCATATTTGTCAGTTTGTTTCCTTTATATGAAGCAGAGAAGCATCTGAGAGTTCAGGTATCAATGCTTTCGATGTCTACACTCCTGGTCCTGGATCCATTCAGACCAAACAAAATAACTGCATAAAGCAAGGCTCCTTTGTTGCATATTTTAACTCTCCATACCTGCCTTTATCAGTGCTCCTTCTTTAACAGTTGTAGACCTGTTCATATTTGTGAACAATGTGGAAAGGCAGCTGTCTGAGAGAAGGAAATATAGAACCACACTTCAGAGCTGCCTGCTGAGAATGAAACTGTAGGAAATGGGTTCTGATTAAGCTCTAATTAAATAAAGTGCTTAGTAGTACCAGGAAGGGAAATAAAAAATGGTACTGAGAGTGATCCGTTGCTTTCAGCATAGACTTGATTAAAAAAACATTTTGACCTTTTCTGTGCAGTTTTATTGCATATGATTTTGAAATTACTGTTAAATCAGTTTAGGTCTATAGTGTAGGTATGTCAAATAGGTCAGTGTTGATTTGATACAGTGTGGGTTCATGCATTAGCCACTGGAAATTGCTTGAAAATTAAGAAAGGTTTAATATAAGGGAGGTGTTTGGGATGGATAAATGACTCCAGAGGGCAAGTGGTCAGTTATGGGCAGCTGAGATTGATCAGCTAATTTGTTCCTCCCCCCCCCCTTTCTGTTTTTAAAATGTTATCATTTAGATAGCATGTGCAATTCTGCCCTCATACATTTTTATTAAATTGTCCATTTTTAACAATAAAGTACAGGAACTTCAATTAGCAAAGAGAGTGAACCAATATGACCACCAGTGCTTGCTTTCTTATGATATGGATAAACATAGTTAACAAAAACATTTGTAGAGGATTAACACAATAAGGGATGTGGGTGGTGCTGTGGTCTAAATCACAGAGCCTAGGGCTTGCCGATCAGAAGGTCGGCAGTTAGAATCCCCGCCATGGGGTGAGCTCCCATTGTTCGGTCCCAGCTCCTGCCAACCTAGCAGTTTGAAAGCATGTCAAGTGCAAGTAGATAAATAGGTACCGCTCCGGCTGGAAGGTAAATGGCATTTCCGTGCGCTGCTCTGGTTTTGCCAGAAGCAGCTTAGTCATGCTGGCCACATGACCTGGAAGCTGGCTGCGGACAAACGCCGGCTCCCTCGGCCTATAGAGCTAGATGAGCGCACAACCCCAGAGTCGTCTGCGGCTGGACCTAACGGTCAGGGGTACCTTTACCTTTACCTTTTACCTTTTTAACACAATTCACAAACATAAACATTGCATCAGCTCTAGAAGGGAATGCAATGAGTTGCTGGAGAGCCAAATTCTGTGTGCTACATGGAATATGGAGGTAACATCCTCTACCTGAGGCTGCAACATGTCTTGGGTTGTCCCCATGCACTGCTGATATCTGACTATTGCACAGTTCAAGATAATAACATATATAAAACCAGTTATGGTTATAAAATTAAAGAATAAGAACATATCACCACTTTTTAAGTATTAGGCCCATCTAGGCATATGAAGCTAATGTAAACGAAACTGCCCTTTTTTACAAAACCAGTTTGGCAGATCAGTTTCTACACTATTGCTTTCCTTTCGCATTTTATTGAGCAATGGATTGAACCACATGGCAGCTGGTACAGCTTTTTAATTTTTGTTAGGCTTTTAATACCCTGCCCTTCAGGATGTTTCCAGAATAGCTCCCAGTACAAAAATATGACACAACGATGCTGAAATTACGAAGCAAGTTGACCAATGACATCCAAAATAAAAACAGAGATCGAAAAGACCTGAGAAAATTTTAAAAAGGGTTCACCTGGTGTCAGAAAAGGCAGAAAACCCAGTCACAGCTGAAGCTTCCTGGGGAACGAGTTCCAAACCTGGAATGTGACTCCATAGAAGGCCCCTGTGTTCGGTCACCACCTGCCAGATGGGGGTGGGATCTGTAAAAACTTCTGAGGCAGATTTCAATATGGAGGCAGGTATTTGAGGGAAGAGGTAGTTAATCTAGCATGATCAACCCAAAGAACCAGCTGGACAAATATATCTCTTGAAAGTTACAGAAGGGAAGTGTGTTGCCTTTGCAAAGTGCTTTTTTTAAAAAAAGGCCACCTAGTCATTGTACATATTGCATTCCTTCATTTCTGTATCTTTTCCAGTTGCCTTTGGCCTCTACTTTCCCCGGAGGGAGTATCATGAGAACGTCTACCTTGACCAACCCAGCGGAACCCCCCTGCTGCAGATCCATGCCTTGAAAGATTCGGACGAGGAGAATACATATTTTTGGCTGTGCCCACAACTCCACATCCCACGAGCTGGAAGTAAAGACAATCTCTGGTTTCAAATCCAAGAGAAAACTGGACTTCTTTTCCTCAATAAGAGTCTAGATAGGGAGGACTTCGATATGCTGTGTAAGTCATGCAGATGAAGCAGATGTCCTCATTGCACTGTGTGTGTGTGTGTGTGTGTGTGTGTGTGTGTGTGTGGTATCATGTTTACCTTCATTTGCATCTGGTGGAATTTATCCAGATACTAATTGTTACCAAATCAGTAGAACTTTTCATTGAATGGAAGGTACTCTGGAATCTCTTCCTAAATATTGCACAGACACCAATAAGAAGATGGGTAACCATGTCAGTCAACTGCAAGAACAACAAACAGTCCTGGTGCTACCCCCGAGATCAAGAAATTAATCATCACATTGTTCCCCCACCCAGTCAGCCCTTTGCCTATAGAAACATATCATACCACAAATACATTAGTTTTAAAGATTGACACAAGAAGAGATGCATCAATAATAATGTGATTCTCTTTTGTTTACTTGTGGTTAATGTGTGGAGACAGAGAAGCAGGCCTCAAAGGATGCTCGCAAGTAGCAGTTTATTATATGAAGGTTGCCCAGAGTGTCTTGGCCATTTACCTTCTCCTGTGTCCTTCTCTGCTACTTTGGTTCAAGCCACTCACTCAAAGGAGATAACACTTGGATGAATTGTTCTGATTGATTTCTGGAACATGTGACAGATGAGTGAAATAATAACTCTCTGCACTCTAAGGTTATTTTTAACTTACTTGTAAACCCAAAATCCTAGCTCTGAATGAACTGTACAGAAAGAGGAACAAGAACAAACCAGAGATTTAATTGTTTGTTGCAGTTAACAGAAAATTACAATTCTTTATTTAAGATTGGGGGTTTTTTCTACGTCGTTCTTCGGGCCAGTCTCAGAAAGCAGTATACATGGAAATGTTAAAACCCTAATAAAAGAGCAAAGACAGACTGCAAAGGGGGGGGGGAGTTCCATGAAAACTCTTTGAAAGGTCTTCCCTCCCATCAGGGCAAGGTGATTCAGTGGCACTTGGGGGAAGGAGAGGCCAAATAGCTCAAACAGTAGAGCATGAGACTCTTAGTCATGGGTTCATGGGTCATGGTTTCGAGTCCCACATTGGGCAAAAGAGTCCTGTACTGCAGGGGGTTGAACTAGATGGCCCTCAGGATCCCTTCCAACTCTACCATCCTGTGATTCTGTGATCTCAGCTGGAACACTTTAGAGCTACATGGTGGGCAGCTGTTTGGGGTGCTTTGTCTAGGTGGGTATAGAACCATAGATGATGGTGAATTGCTAAAATGAGGGCTCTTTGTAATCTTCCCTGTTTCTCTTGTCTCCTCCCTAATAGTTCCAGGAATTTCGGTATCAAAGCTGATCCTCCAAGTTTTCGTCTCACCCCAACCTTTCCAAGGGAAGGAGTGCCATGAATCTTATACCAAAGTATTGGTGAAGCTTTCTATTATCAATTCCACCATGCCAGCTTGCAGTTATGGGATGCCAAGCCAGTTGTGTTTTTCCAATATGGACCTTTCTTTTCACATCAAGGAGAACAAACCACCAGGGGTATTCCATCAGCTCCAGTCATATCCTCTGCAAAACCAGTGCCAGAATGCAAGCATTTCCTATGAGGTGATAGCAGGTAAAGCAGCTGCTTGTCCAGTGGGCAGCAGGGACCCTGTTTGCCTTCGCAAATTCTTTTTCATTGGGTTTTCTGCACAGCTTTAGAACATACTTCCAAATATGGCTCCCATGAGCCTCTGGAGGAGCTATTGGAAGCTGGGCAAAAGTTTGCATTGGAAGGCACTTGCATAGGTAGAAGCCACTTATGAAAATACTTGGTCAAAACATTTGGAAACTTGGATTAGGTATAGAAGTTATACCATTCCCCCCCCCCCCCACATGTGTAATGGTTCAGCAAATTCCATAAATTTAAAAAACAAAAACCTTAAGCAACAGATTTCATGGCCTTCATTGTTTAATTAGGAATATTTCACTATTTTCAGAAAAGCATTAAGTAAACACTGTATCAATGATGGTTGAAATTCCATATTAAGAAGAATTATCGATGGGAATTCTGGCTAATACATTATAATGGTCCTGAAAGAGAATTTTCACATCCCCACCATTGCGGTAAAAGTCTTGGAACATTTATGTGGCTGGGTATTTGCTGAAGTGTTTAAAGGGATTCTGGAAAGGGTTTCCAGTGATTCAGATTTTAAAAATCCAAGCCAAACCAATGCTAGTTTTCCCCTTCATCTTGATTATGATGTAACTTAAGTTTTGAGCTGCCTTAACCATCTGGGAAAGGCAGGTAAAGAAGTGTTTTAAATAGATAAATAGAATAATGAACCTTTCCACATTTTCTTTCCTGTAAGGCTGGAGCAGGGGTGTCTCAAAGCAGTGACTCTAGCAACAGGACAAAGGCACTTCCTGCAGTACAGTAGTGTCTTGCCTTGGCTGCGAATTTTTGACCTGCTCTCTGCTGTCCTTCAGCACCACCACTAAGGAGGAAGGAACAGTCCTCTGCCTCAAAACCTACCTGAGCCTGCCTTGTAAATTTCCTTGGATCTTTCTCTTGCTCCCTGAAGTTTCATCTCCCTCATTTCACTCTGTTTCAAGATTTAACGTGCCTGCTTTGATACAGGGTGCAGGTAGTCCCCTCGCCCTTGCTTTTCCACGGAAAAATATTCAAAGTGGGCAAGAAGATCATAGCTAAAAACATTACGCCATCATTAAAGATATATAAGCATAAGGTTAAATATATATAATAGAACAATGAAGCATTAGAAACAACAACTATCCCTTAATTTAACAGAAAAAAGCAACACCCTTTGAAAGTTTTGTCATGAGCCACAGTTCATCCATTAATAGTTCATTCGCTAGTGTGGCAAAGGCACACTAGACAGTAGGTGTGGTGATTCTTTATCACTCGGGGGTGAGTGGGTCTTCCCTAATGATATGAGGAGGAATGAAATGCTAGACAGAGCAAACCAGAGATACAATAAAGGTATAGAACAGGGGGAATCCTTTCAACCCCTAATTCCAGTCTTTTATATCCAGCAAGATTTCCAGAACTCTATAAAGAGTTCTAAGATTGAAGAATGGTGTAAATAACACATACATGCAAATTGACTGGATTTGAGTTGCAGTTTGGGTGTTGCTGATTGTGAATTGTCTACTTCTGGCATAGGATCCTTTACCCTCCCCCCCCCCCGCCAGGTTGTATCGCAAAGAGCTCCTGCTTTGTTAGTGATGGAATGAGATGGTATTCTTGCTGTGTTCTAGATAAAGGTGTGCCATTTCTTTACAACATGGACACGGCGAGTATCAGCGTGGCACAGCCTCTGGATCGAGAGGAGCGAGAGAAGTATGAGCTGATTGCCAAATGTACTGTGACAGAAGGTTCCCGGGAAACTTTTAAGGAGATGCCATTTCTTGTAGCTGTCTTTGATGAAGATGACATGCCCCCCTTCTTGCCTAATGACACAAACACGGCAGATGCAGTTGTGGAGTTCAGCAGGAAAAAGGTAACGCTCCATGATGGTGCAATGTGCTACTGTGACTTGTTGGTGATTTAAGAGTCCTTTGCAACCTTCCCACTTCCTCCCATGATTTTTGCATGTTTTGAAGGGCTCTATTGAGTATGTCCATGTGGAAATGTTGAGTTGGGGTCCATGTAAAGTTTTCCTGTAGTAGGACCTGGTAGGAAACATGGATCTTGCTTGTCCATCCCAAGAGTTGCATGGATAAATTTTTAGTGAAACGTTTCTTCTTGAGGGTGTTCATGGGAGCCCTTCCAGAAGCAACCCATGAATACAAAACATTCTCCCAGAATATGATGTTAATCATTAATTCCCTCCAGTAGCAAATTTTGGGTTGTCAAATACCAATGAGTCATAATGTAATGCTGTTTACACACTTAGACGACCTCCAAAACATGCAGAAGCATATAAGGTTGTAAACCAATAGAAAATAAATGTTCTAAAGGACCCTGTGAGTTTCCAGGACATACGGAACATTGAGGTCATTGAGATAAGAAAATAGTAGAGTAACTGATCTCATTGTCTGGAGAGGGAACTTCCAGGGTCACATTACATTGACTGCAAATTACAGGAGATCTTGTCCTCCCTGCTGCCTATTGTTTGGTGGTCGAGGAGGAAGATGCAGCCACCAATTACAGCTTTGTTAAAATCCCGGATTTCTCCATTGTTTCTGTTAGCAGCATAATTGTCTGCTCTGGGATTGTGGAAATATGTCTAAAGCAATTGGAAGTTGGGGCAGTGTGTGTGAATCTTCTCAATTAAATCTGTGTTTGGGGGCAGTTGAGCCATTGAATATTGAAGGCGTCAGCTGAAATATCAATGGAAAATGGAAGGAGACGGAGGGAACTATCCTGCTTAGGTCCCACTCAGTCTATAGTCAAGTGATTGTACATCATAAGTTTTAAGGACTCTCGTTCCTGCACTACATTTCCTCTCTCTACCCCAGCTGTATTGCGATAAAGCAGTCAGATGAAATTTGGGGTGTTCAGGATGCTATGGCAGTAGGTTTTCTTCAGTAAATAACGCAGTCAGGGTCAGAGCTAGTAGGTTGCCCCAATCCTACATAAATGAAGAAATTGAAATGGGGTGGGGTGAAATGGGGTGAAACCCTTTTATATAGGACAATGGGGGAAGATTTTAGGAGTGTCCCCTCTCCTACCCCACCCCATTTCAATCTTAAACACTCCAGAGTGCTATTGTGTTGGAGCTCCCTTTAATACAATCTCATATTTTTGTTAAAGAGTTCTAACAGATTTATCTTGAGAAACGTAAGTTTAAAATTATAGGCGCGTTTCTTTCCTGGTCAACTTATTTCTTTGGCTGCTAGATTTTGCTAAGAGGGATTTACCGTTTTTGGATATTTGCTGCCACCAACAGGCCAGAACCATTTTCCCCCATTTTATCCGCCTCAGCTGGCTCTGGAGAGTTAAAATTGAAGGACCACCGTATACTCTGAATGCTGAATGAAAACCAGTATGCTAACTATTCACCAGCAAGCTTAATCATGTATGCAATGTTGGTTTGAGGAAGCATGTCTGAATCTAAAACCAGTAATCCAGATTCCTGCTAATTGAGATCAAGCAGACACCTTTACTGTACTCTTTTCTAATGGGATAATTATCATGACCTTGTAAATCTGTTGCATATTGAAGCACTTTACATTATATTTTTCATCCTAGGATAATGCTTAAATGCCAAGCCAGAAATAATATATTGTGACTGCAAGCAATTTCCTCCCACCTATTCTCTTTTAAAGGGCACCGTCATTGCAGAATTAACTGTCTATGATGCAGACACCACCCCTATTTTCCCTATAGACAGTAGCAGGAAGAAGTACACTGGCACCATAAGTACATCTGATCCATGGGTCAAGGAGACATTTCAAGTGGAGCACAACTTCCATGAGATCTTGTTCAACCCAAATGGCAGCCAAGTGAGGGGAACACGACACGAGTACAGTAAGTTTATGTGGATTATTATTCCCAAAGGAGTAGTAGTATGCTTACAAAGAACTAGTTCCGCATTTTGCTGCCTTATCCAGCTTTTGAATCATAAGCTGGAGATGTGAGATAATAAATAATAGTATCAGACTTCCGGGAAGGCAGGGAATGTCATGAGATAATAATGCATTGTGGTCCAGTGGCCAGTGCTAAAGAGATAATTGTGATGCTGTAGCAATAATCCTTTCAGCCAGTAGGGGCAGTATAGAATAGTCATAAATCAGGGTAGACAACCTAGTAACCTCCAGACATTCTGAACTAAGTCCCATCAGATTCAGCCAGAATGGCCAATGGCCAGGAATTATGGGAGTCATAGTCCAGAACATGTGGAGTGTTCCACATTATCCCTTTCACAGATAACAGACCTGACTAATCACCATTGGTGGAAGTATAATCTCCCATGCTTTGCAACAAACTAGGACCTGTTTGAGCACTGCACTGTAATTATTTATTTATGTTGAGATATACACCAGCAACAGACATGGCCCTCCCTTGTGGAATAGGGGCAACAGTTGGATTTTGCCATGGAAAAGTGTTTCAGTTTTCAGATGTTCAAAGAAACCAAGGTTGCCTTTTATTAACTAAATCCCTTACAATAAACTGCCTTTACTATGGAAGGCAAGAATATGCAAACGCAAGTTCATGGCCAACCATGGGATCTTGCCAGGTATGCTTGAAAATCCTAACCATCAATGAAATATCATTGTTCTCACAGTTCAACGGTTCAGGTTCAGCACCTTCAGTTCAGTTCATTTGTTGGCATAATTCCCAGTTGCGTTAGTGGACTAAAGATATAGATTTGTGTCCTAAAATAAAACCAGTTAACAATTTTAAAGTTCAAGATGGTTTGGACCATTTTCAAATTTTATGAGATGGAATTAACTGGCCTTTTCAATATTTATATGGTGACAAGAAACCAAGAGCTTTTAATTGCAACTGTTGTACAAATGCATATGGTCAGATTATATTCCAATCTGTGCAATGAATAGTAATACTGTTTCCTTTATATGAAAGTATAATAACTGTTCTGGTTCAGACACAACAAGCCATGGTTTATCGGATAAAAAATGAGCCTTTCACCTGCATTCTCCTGCAGGTTGTTGTTATTTTAAAATACAATACAGAGGACCCTCCTGATATGAACTTCATTTGTTCAAGGGGTCTGTACGCACCCCAAAAAGTCCGCATCTAGAGGTGCCGCTTCTGCGCATGTGCATGGCCTGATAGAGTGTTCTGCACATGTGTGTGCGGCGAAACCTGGAAGTATACAGTTCTGGGTTTGCCGCGTTCGCAACCCGAAAGTTACGTTACCTGAAGGTAACATAACCCGAGGGTCCGCTGTATTAAAAGCAGTTTAAACTTATAACAATCAAGAGAATGTGGTAGGTCCTAAAATATATATCTCAAGTGTCCAAGGCCAGATGAAAGAAGTATGTCTGATGAAAACTGCATAATGAAGGTGCCAGACACATCTCTGTGACAAGTATGATTGAAAGAGGGCTGAAGAGCCTATGTTGGGTCATGTAACTGTTCCAAATAAGATTGTTTCTTCTGTTTCTCTCTGATGCACATGCTTAGTGGGGTTTTTGATTTGTCTTATAGAACAGAGTTCTGCACACCATTATGCCTGTGCCCAATTTTCGCCATGAGCTCTACATTGTAGAGTTTGAGACTCTTAATCTCAGTTGTGGGTTTGAGCCCCACTTTGGGCAAAAGATTCCTGCATTGCAGGGGGTTGGCCTAAACGATCCTTGTGGCCCCTTCCAATTCTATGACACTCTGATTCTACAATCTGCTCTTAGAGTGCCTTTTTCACTCCTGCATGCCAAACCAGCCATTTTTGCCCTGCTTTCTGTGTCCACTGGATGTCTCTCTTGACCACCTTTCTCTTTCCTCGAGAGAATATCCCTGAAGTGTTTATGTATTGCGAACTTAATGAGTCCAGTCTTCTGTTTCTGCAGGACTGGTGCTAGGCAAGAGTATTTCAGTTACTGAAAGCAGCTCCCACCAGGTGGACGTTATTGTGAACGACACAGAATACCAGGGGCCTAACAAATCCCTGATGCTCCACTTCAATGTCACCATTCTTCCAATCAGCATCCAGTTTTCAAACGTGACATATCAGTTCACAGTGAACAGAAATGCTGCCAACTTTTCACAAGTAAGGATTGTGTGCTCTTTTGTTCCATTTGGAAATTCAATTTGGAATTTACAGTGCCGGAAAATGTTTATATAAATGAATATCCTTCAGAGGTTGATTATGTCCTTTGTTGTCTTTCCAACTTTTTTAAAATAAAAAAAAATAGTACAATTTCTTGTGCCAAGGGCGGGCGTGTTTTGCTAAGGAGTGCTTCCTCTCAGGTTGGAAAGAGAGCACAGAGTCCCCTGCCATTTCTGGGGAGTTTCATTCTGGGGAGTTTCATTCCAGAAGGGAGATGGCTACCCTGGTCCTCTTCTCATACAGCTTCTCAGCTCTGATGGTGCAAGGTGTAGAGTTTCTTCCTTGTTAAAGTCTGTCCACTGCTGCACTTCTAGGCTTGTAGAAACCAGTCCCTCCGGTGACCAACCTCTAGGTTGAATATTGTAGTGTGTCAAACTTTGGGTGTGTGGGGTTGTTCTAGGGAGTCTTGAAAAGTGACATCATAGTAGGCAATTTCAGGGCCACTCAAAAGGTATGAAAATGTTCATATTAGGGATTTTGATCTTTTTTTTAAAAAAGTCCAGTTGTTTAGAAATCATCAAAAATTCAGTGCACCTCATGTGAGTCTTGCAGTGATGGCAGCTGGGTTAAGCACTAGGGAACCCTCCCTGCTGACTTCCACTGCTGGGCATGTACCACCCATCAGCCTACCCTGTGCTAGATCATACTACTCCCTCATTTCCTACATATTTACCCCGTTATATGTTGTTCATCTTTCAGTAGATCTAGAATACTAGCTGAGTGTACATTCTTTTTTTTTTAATGAATGGGCAAGATGAAGTGAAGGGCCCCTTTGTTTCATTTGTTTTTATTAAAGAAACGAATGCACGAGTTCCAAAATGATTCCAAGCATCGTATAAATAATCTGATAATCAAAACTATTTCAGCTTTCATCCCCACCCCCACCCCACCCCTTATGAGTCAGAATAGGTCAGATGGAGGTTTCAGAGAGAGCAGGGTGTCAGGAGTCTGCCCGGTCTTCAGCTCAAACACATTGTAACCAAAGTGTCCAACACTCTGCTTGGTCTTTCCCCCCATAGAACCTTCCAATCATAGTGCTAAGGAGAGGGAATTGTGAAAGTCTATAAAAGAGAGAGAGAATGCTTGGGTTTTTGTTTTTGTTTTTGCCCCTGCAGATTTTCTCCTCCATTAATGAATATTTGCAGGTCTGTCTTTTGGTTGGTTTGTTCTTTGTCTTTCACAAAAACAGTTCCCACTCAGTCACCCCCTTGCAGTTCCTTGAAACATTTTCAATCCACTTCGCACTGTATTACTCCTACCTCCCCCACTCCCTTGTGTTTACTTACTTAAAGTATTTTCATCTCCCTCATCGCTTGACAAGGCTCCTAGAGTGGCATATGTTAGATTGATAAAAACAGCAACATATGATTAAGGCAGTAAAAATAGGCTATTTAAAGAGGTGGCACTTACGACAATTTGCTGCTGCTTCCTCTCCTGCTCACAGGACAGTTGGTTTTTAATGGCCACCAGGAGAGGAAGAAGGGACCAGTCTCTCCTGGTGAAGTGATTTGCAGTTTATATTTTAGAGAAATACATTAATTAAAAGTTACATGATCTTGGTAAATCATACACTAAGTAGAATAATGTTGGATAGCACCCACAGCCTGTTCAAGTGTGTGAACTGGGGGAGACTGGGGGAGCAAGTGGCACCCACATAGTTGCAGAGCAATTTAAGCTTCATGGGTCCACAGTGGTTAATGGCTGCTGGTAATTTGTCAACACAAAAACTGCTACATCCAAAATCCACTTGGCAGTGGCTGAAAGACACTGTGGCAAGCAGAAAACACCCACACCTGGCAGCGGACACAGAGACATAGAATTTCCACTGATGATATCAAATCCTGACGTACCACCCACCCAAAACACACACAACCACCAACACATGCACATAACAAGCACACCCCGGTGCAACACTGGAAACAAATGCATGTGCACACGCTGGCACCCCTGAAATGCACAGCAATCACAGCCCCCACATGCTCCCCCACAAATCAAGAAACCATGACAACACAAAGAGAGCAATGCGAAGGAGAACTTTATTGGAGCCATGGAAGCCCACACAGTCACAGCAGCATGCAGTAATGACAGGCAGACCAAATACCCCTTGCTCCCCTAGGGGACACCCCCTCTCAGGTGTGGCAGGTGGAGGTGAGCAGGCACATCAGTAGAGGCGATGACACCACAGCTCACATCCTAACCATAGCTAGATTGATGGCCTTCAGCATTGGATAATGGAGCACCAGTCTCTCCCTGGCGGCCACCCAGGACCCTGGAGGTGGTTGCTGGTATGGCAACAGAGCATAATTCTCCCCCTGGAGCATGGGGGAAGAAGCAGAGCATGTCTGGAGTGGCTGAGCACGTATCATGCGTGCCGCCTATGGTTGATGCCAGGCGCCTCTGCAACCTGCGTGGTTGTGATCTGCAAAACAAAAGTCATACAAGAGTTAGCTTATAGACACAGGTGTCATGTTGGCTAGTGGCTTAGCAATCTTTTACTCCTGTTAGGCACCCACTGCAAAAAGTGTACCTGGTGTGGGGTTGATTTCCCCAGATTGGGCCCAGCCCATTACTTCCTATGTGACTTCAGCTGGCAGGGGTATTTATACTTGTCTGTTTTCCCCTCAACAGTGAAGGTCTCAGGTATGTTGTATCCTAACCTACCCAACACGGCAGACTTGGAGTTCTGATTGCACCTGGTGTGTTTTTGCTGCTCCTATGAGTGTCTTTAGTTGAATTTGCAAAGTTAGTTCTATTTACAGTTAGTTTAGATCACGGTTGGGCTTTGCCTTTTTATTGTCTATAAAATCGGTTCCCTTATTCTTTTCTGTCTAAAATTTCAGATAGGATCCTTTGGAGGAGAATTTCTGAAAGTTTAATGTTAATTGGATCGAGAAAACCCTCCCAAAAGAGTTGCAAAAGCATCAAAACAGAAACTGGGTATCCTATTGAAGGCAATGGGAGATGAAAACTAAATAATATAAAAAATATATGAATGAAATAACTAAATAAATGAGGTTTTAAAAGTAAGACTGAATGGATTAACCAAACTAAACATTCCTCTTCACCCCTATAATTAGCTTTACAATGTTTCTCCCCCATTTGTGAACAGCATATAAAAATATACCATATTTTTCGCTCTATAAGATGCACCAGACCACAAGACGCACCTAGTTTTTGGAGGAGGAAAACAAGAAAAAAAATATTCTGAATCTCAGAAGCCAGAACAGCAAGAGGGATTGCTGCGCAGTGAAAGCAGCGATCCCGCTTGCTGTTCTGTCTTCTGGGATAGTTGCGCAGCCTGCATTCGCCCCATGACGCACACACATCTCCCCTTACTTTTTAGGAGGGAAAAAGTGAGTCTTATAGAGCAAAAAATACTTGGAATGCCTCCTCCTGAGTCTTGTAGATTGAATATACATTACAGATGCATTCCATATGTTTGTGCTTCAGGCTTGCTTCAGACTGGCTTGCATTTATCAGCATGTGGAGTTCAGGCATCAACTTATTTACTGTTTTGTCCTGTGGAAACTTTCTAATGCAGATTTTCAGGAAGAGAGGAAATAATCAAAATACTTGGGATCTTGAGCTTACCCTTCCATAAAAAGTGCCATTCAGTCTCTGTTTACAGACACAGGAAATCAGCACCCTCCCTTCTCCGTTCAATTTGAAGGGTGGTAATTGTAGGTAATAACTGTTACTGCCTTCTAAGGGGGGAAATAGCTAGCAAGCTTGCTCTCTCTGCTGTGCAGGTATCATCTCACCTAAGCCAAGTGCCCCATGCAAATGCCCAGTCATGTGCAGCCCCAGTTTGTTTGGTTCTTGCCCCAGGAGGGAAGGAGGCAAGCTTGTGCCTTCACCATATCAGGTTGGTACATAACCCGATGTGCATATGATTTGGGGCATAATATCTTCCCTCCTTCCTCTCAATTTGGATGTCAATTTAAGATCTGTAGCAAGGAATTTGATTCAAGCAGCTCACTCCCTAGAGGGTGGCACTCCACATTCTTGAAGTATTAAGCATAATCTGGAATGATTAGCTAGCACAGGGGGGAGTTCAGGATGAACTAAAGCAAAGGCGAAATGGCCTTTTGCCCTGAGGAGAATATGAGAGTATGAAGAAGCAATTAACCTTTGGGCTGATGCCATTTCTCCATTTTGACAGTCAGGTGAATGAATGAAGAAGCATGAACGTGGCCTGGCAGCAACCTGTCTCACATCAAAAATAGGATTTAACCCCCCCAATGGCTTCAAAAAGGAGGCGCTATCCACTTGTTCTCAGGCAAAATGATCACGTGTGATTTTTTAAGGAGGGAAAGTTGCTGTGAATCTCACAGTACACATACTTTCCATTTGGATTGCAGTTGAGGATAGAGAGACATACAAATGAGATGAGATGCTGTATCTTTTTAAATTTGTGTTTTCTTGTATGGTTGTAGAACAAAACATCTTGGGGCGCTAATTGAGCTCAGTTCATCAGATGTATGCATTGTTACCCTTGGGGTGTATGTGTGTATATGAAAAGAGAGAGATGGGATCTGTAAACAGTGTGCCCCAAAGGCCATTATAAATAGAGGTACATAACCCATCTGTGCAAAGGTCAAATGTACATAATAGCATTTACCGTTAACTTTGTATTGAAATGTCACATGCCTTCTATACTGTGTGAAATCCATGGCTTTTGGGATCTGCTGTTTGCAGTGTTATCTTCTGCACTCCTCTCTGTGTGTGCATGTGTGTGACCTATCTACCAGGGAGATCACTCAGTGTGTCTTAGTCCGTGAAAGCTTATGCCACAATAAATCTGTTAGTGTTTGAGTTGTTGAATGTTGGCTACTGTCAGGTTGCCAATCACGAAAGTCCCTTTCAGTTGGCCCCACCTACTCTGTTGCAGTGTTCACATACATGAGAAAGAGCACACCACAAAGCAATTCCACCATGGTTTGATGGGTGTAAGAGGAGGAAAGCAATGCAGGGCCATAGAAAACCATGCTTTCAGCCCAGTCCTATGCAAGTCTGCTTGGAAGTAAGCCCTGCGGAATGCAAGGGATTTATTGACATACAAGTGTGGATAGTATGGCTTCAAATTTGGAAGCCCTGTGTAGATGCTTCTTCACATATTTAAATGTGGTTTCCCCAACCACATGAGTAAGAAAATTACTGTTTCGCCTGCAAACAAATATTCGTACCAATCCAGTTGTCATCAATCCCACAGTGTGTGAAATTGTGTCCAGAGTTGCAGAGGATTAGCATCTCTGAATATATTGTTGCGTCTCTATGACATTAACTGTTGATAACATACATGAGGCCACCATTAGTGCTGCTTCAGTATATTTGTTGCTGGTGGCATTTTTGATTATTTCCTTTTTTCTTTGAGCCCAGATAGGAAAAATCTGCATTGACAACTGCATGAGGTTTTATGGCGTCAACGTCACCTATAGCTTACAGACCCCCAATGTCAGCTGCTATGCTGTGGAGATTGCTCAGGGCCCTGAAGACCAGTATGGGACCCTCTACGTGAATGATTCTGGTGTGCTACAGAGACCTGACTGTAAAGAAATCCAGTACGCTGTACTAGCTAAAGAAGAGCAGAGCAGGAAGGAAGCGCTCACCCATGTTACCATTGTCCTTGATGGATCACGTAAGTTGTCTCTGGGCTTTGGTCTTGCCGGTGATATGAGCTCTGAATACGCAAAGCCTCCTATACTTGAATATGCAAAATATTTGGTTATTCAGGCCTTTTTATGCAGCAGCCCTTGCATGCATGTGAGATATAGGCCCCAGGGAGCCTGTAACACCCTCCCTTCTCTCACTCTGGACAGCAACACAGAACTGTGTTGTTGGATGAAATCCTTTGAATTCAAAGGAAAGAATGTGCTCTTTGCATTTTGTAAGCATTGGGTAGACTCTTACAGAATTTTCTGGTGGTGGTATAGCCCTTCTCCTCCTCTTCTTTGTAGCTATACATACCGATGATGGTTGCCCAGACTCATGTTCGATGAGCAAGACCCGATCAGAATGTGAAGAGTGTGGTGGCCTCGGAGCGCTAATGGGAAAATGCCAGTGGAGACAGGGAAGTGGTAAAGGTATGTCCAGACATTCAGCAATTGAATGGGAACCTAGAGTAGGGCAGATCTGAAGAGAGCATTGAAGAGCATGGGCAATTCTGTCACTGGGAATCTCAGTCAGATATCGAGGACATTCAGGGCATTCTTTGTAACCCTGAGTTGCAAACATATTAATATTAATTGATCATTTTATTCCTTGAGCAGCCTTTACTGCTGTGTGTGTGTGTGTGTGTGTGTGTGTGTGTGTGTGTATTTTAGAGAGGTGATACTTAAAGATACTGGGAAATCAGATATTGTGATTGCAAACTATAAGAAGTCAAATACATTCTCCATTCCTCTCATCCTTCTCTTAGACAAACACTTTTGTATGAGATTTTGTGCAGGAAAGAAGAATAGCACTATGTCATCTATTACATAATCAGTAGAAATATGTCACTGATAAGATAGCTTTGTTTGGAGTGGCAGCATATGTATTTAAAGGTGAATTCCTTCAGACCAATATAGTAAATTGCCATGGAGACAACGTATATTAGGATCAGTTTGATTCAGGTGTACAGCAAGCAGCTGGAACAGTGGCTGTGATAAACCACACACACACACACACACACACACAGAAGAATTACTATGTGCTTCTTCAGGGGGTGTTCCAAGGCCTGAAGGAACCAATTTGCCTTGTAAATGTTTGCTGCTAAAATTTAGCAAAGTCCTAATCAACTTATTTGAAGAGGTGTAGAAAGAGCTTTCAGATTCAGAAAGTCACCTGAACTGAAAAATAAATATAATTACAGTCTTTCCTTTGACGGTTTCATGCAGCATCATTTTAGGAAGAGTAAAGGGTAATTTTTCAGTAGCTCATCTTGCAGTGTAAAGATGCTGAGGCCACAACATGCTAAGTTCCTTCTTTTGTTTCTTGTTCTTAGGAATAACAACAAACTATTCCACCTGCACTCCAAGCATCAAGACCTGCCCGGATGCTATCTGTGACGCTGTTGAGAGCAGAGATAAAAAAATATGCCCTCAAGATTGCACAAGTATGGAATCGACACCTCTCAATTTTCTTTTCTCTTGAGTTTTGCTTTCCTACTTCTGGGTCAAGCTGTTGCTTTATCTTAAATGTGAACCAGGGCCAAAACGTTTACAACTGTCTTCAAGGTTGTGCAAGTTCCTTTTAAGGCAGATAACAGCTGTGTTACTTTTTGCATTCAGACTGATTTATGCAGGGTGCCTGTATAAATATTAGAATGTGCTTATTCTGTATTTTATTTTATTGTTTTTTGAAAATAGCCATGACCCAAAGAACTACTCTAGGAACATAACAAGAGATTTTCTATTTGGTTTTTCTCTGCTAGTTGTTTTATTTTGGTCCAACCACAGCCATTCTGCATTAGTGGCTATTTCTGAAGATGCCCAGAGTTTCAGGGTGGCTATCTCAAAAAAATGAACTGGAATTAAAAACACAACATAGATTCAAAATAATTTTTTTAAAGAAAGGTTATGTCTTGAAGGTACTGGTTTCTATTTTATTTAAATGTGATAATTCTCACATTAGGCTTTGATGTTGCAGCAGAACTGCACTATGAATTCTAGTTCCATAGTTACTGGGTTGAGTGGTTATATTCTGTAATAGCATACATCCTGCCTGGATAGTTTAATGTTCAGTTAAAGGGTTATATAATGTAGTTATACTTAGCACTTTTGTTGAGTGCCTTGAGCCAGAGTGTCTCTGAGCACTCTGCAAAAGTTGTTAAGTATCTTTATTGCCATTTAAGATGAGGAAATATAATAGGAAAAAAGGCTAAACTGATTCTTCCAAGAAGTGAAAGGGGATATTATTTTCCTGGTTCTCCCATTATCCTCCTCCTGTGCGCTATACTGGGCTGAAGTCCAAATTTAATGTGTGTGTATTTCTTAGTTACCTATGTATTGTAGCTAAGTATGCTCAGGGTAGCATTCTTATGCTGCAGTCCTACATTTGACCCCCTTGGTTAAACTCAGTGGGATTTACTTTGAATAAGCAATGGCAATGGGCTGTAAGGGTTCCCAGCTATTCACCCATTCAGATACTGGCCTGGCATGTTGAGTCTCGGAAGACACAGGTGCACTCATGTGTGTGACAGGTACACCTATCACATCATACATTATCTCTTGATACCCAGACCACAAATTAAAGGGGGGTTCATTGTTCTAGGGGCAGCTTGCCCTTGCACAGAACTGTGTGATAGTAGGAAGCAGACTCAGTACTGTGGTATTGTAAGCAAAATACTATGGTTCTCTTATATTCGGGAATACCTGTGCACTTCTTAATTGATTCTCATCATCAGCTGGCACCGACTGGCTTGCCGAGCCTTGATGAAAAATCTTCTGTTTAAACATATGGTTCCCCACATCCCTCTGCGGTAGGAACTTCCACTGGAAACTGCTGCAAGGTTCATTTTCTTATGAGGAGAGAGCACTGGAAACACAAGGCATTTTTGGGGGACATCTGTTTATTTACAAGTATACACACACTGAACATGGGGCAGCAGACAAGCACAGAGAGAAAATGCTCATCTATAAAATACAATCAGTTTTCCCCAAAGCAAACAGCATCCACTTGGACCACCCATCCAGTTTTTCCTGTCAGCTGCAAAACTCAGACCTTTGTCCCACTTACTGCTACATTCCAAAACCAGACTGTTTCTTCCTTGTCACGCATGCATGCATGCATTGGCAAAACATTGCTTTTTACCCCCACCCCAGTAAGCAAGTACACCCTATATTTTCCCTTGGAAGCAACAAGTCATCATTAGAGCACATTAGAGGAATACATGCAGATGTTAGATGGGCAAAAGCTAATGGATAGTCCATTCTTTTCCTTGACACTCATACAACCCAATAATTTTCCCATTACACCTCCCAGTGGTCTTCCCAAACCCTTCCAGTTGTGTTTTACTACAACTTCCATTCCTGCCCTGACTGTTAGCTACCCTAGCTGGAGCTCATGGGAGTTGTATTCTGGAAGATGCCCGTATTGAGGAAGACTGGCTGTTCTCCATTGCTTCCAAATCATCTCCTCCTTTCCATTCCTGTTTCTCTATCCTCCTTTGCTATGCTGTAGCATCAACCTGCCTTGTATTTTATTTGAATCTGTTCTTGAGCACCCAGCTGCGGCCACCACAATGGCAGTTGGGGAATAAGTCTGTTCCACCTATTGCTGCAAGAGAAGTGGTGCCCATTTCCAAGTGGTGTCCGTCTTTCCCGTTCCACCAGCTTGTGGGGAGGGGAGAAAGAAAGCTATGTTTTGCAAGCAAGAGCAGCAAAGCAGAGACGCTCCACTTGCAAATGCCAGCCTTGTCTCTCCCCTACCAGTCAATGAGAGAGAAATGAGCAGATCACCATCCCTGTGCTCAGTGCTTCGAAGTGTCCCTTGCAGTGTGGTTCCTGCTGCTGTGTTGTCACCAGAGTAGAATGCAGATTGCCACCCCCCTCACTTTGCCACCCAGGACACCAGCAGCGCTCCCCCCCCCTCACACACACCCTTAGTCCAGGTCTAGCAACATATTCTGTGCATAGATTGATGCATGCAGTTGCATGTGGATAAGCACCATTGATTTGCTAGGACTCAGTCATGGCATAGTGGGCAGGATTATAGCTTCAAAGACTATTTCCAGTAAAGTAAAGCTAGCAGTGGTGTAGCTGCTTTTGCATGTACAGCAAATCTATACACCATTGTGAATTCCATTTCACGTTTGTCTCTACTGTCATATTTTAAGGCAGGCTGTTTTGTGGCAGCAACTGATAATCATCATAATAGCTACACAAAACAAGGTCTCATGCGATTGCTTCTTAGAGCTAAGCCCCAAAGACAGATGCCACTTTTCGCACCCAGGTTTGTTTCTCCTGTTTTTACAAACGAAATTTCAAATGCTCAACAGAATAAACACGCAGAACATACTGACATGACATATTGAGCCTTGGCTGTGGAATGGTGTATGCTCACATTTGTGTTTAATTTAGGGACCAACATTGTTGGTGGCCACCAGAAAGGCCTGAATGGACTGGGAATCAAGGCAGGACATGGAGTTTGTCACTGCTTTCCAGGAACTAGCTGTTACTGCGAGAAAGATGATATCAGAGGTAAGTCTGAAGTTTATTTACTGACTTCACGCTTGTGCTATTGAATGCTCCAACACTTCCACCTTTGATAGATAAAAAATTCTATGTGTGTGCTCTTCCTCTTTCTCTCTCACATGTACATGGGATGGAAGGGTGCATACAGGACACAACTGCAGATGGAAGCTGAAGGATAGTGTGTTTCTTCCTGCCAAGGAAACATTCAGTACACGAGATTTTGATGTAGGAGCACATTGAAATGAGTGATCATCCTCATGCCTTCGCTAATGGAAATAAACTTCCACACATAACTGTCACCATCTCCTTACTGACTGCCCTCAGGTCACTGTGTGCTGGTTGTGGATTCTGAGTTCCACATGCCTATGACTTACAGCTGGGATATGTGCTCTCCACAACACCCAAAAGCATCTCCCTGACTATACTGTAAAGCAGCACACATTGCATGAGTTGGGGGCAATGGTGTTGTGAGCTTCCTTGCCCCAAAGCTTTGTCAATGGCAAGCACTCATAAGATGCTGGCTGCAACTCATTTGCTAATAAAATCAGCTTCCAGGGGATGGGAAATTCCCTGTGGCCATGTACACTGATTGCGCTATGGTAATAGTAGTAGTAATACAATATGGGGATAATTATTCTGATGTTTAGATTATCATTTTTAAATAGAGATGGAAATGAAGAAAGAGCAAGCACTTTTAATTTTCCAAGGACTCTCCCCCCCCCATTTAATGGCTGACATTATCCTTTAATTAACTCTTGATCAAAAGGAAGATTGAAGAAAATTAAAGATTGAGTGAGATGGGACTAAAAAGAACTAAAGACAGAAGGAGTATCCCAAGCTACACAGTTGGCTTGATTTGGCAACACTGATCAATGCAGCCTGCTGATTTTAGGGAGCAAGTACAGCAGCTTTTTAGCAACAGTGAAAGCTGCTTTAACATTTGAGAGTATGTTAGGTAGCTGATGTAGATGTTCCTCTACTTCCCAAGTTGTTTTCTCCTAATACTTGCTTTCAATAGAGATGCTTTAAATGTGATTTTTAATTGGCATGGAAAGGAAAAAATTGTGGCAAGTGCCATGACCAAATTATTCTTTATCCACAGAGCCATTGTGTGATTACATGTGCAAAACTGTGATTGCAGGAGGAGTCCTGCTATCCTTCATTATTTCGGTACTCCTTTCTTCCTACTTCATCCATCGCTATCACAAGAATTCTCCAAAGCCACCTATTGCTTCTGCAGAGATGACCTTCCGCCGCCCTGCCCAGTCATACCCCATAAGCTACTCATCGACAAATGTCCGTCGACCGTCAATGGACTCTGAGAACCAGATGTCAGTAGACACATTTAAAATACCTGTAAGTTTTTCCAGTTTTCAGCTGCTTACCATTCAAGGCATATGGAGAACCAGCTTCTATTTACTACTGCTGATTTACCAAGTGTGAGGAAGAGTTCCTGGTTTACTCCCACCATTGTATTTATTTTTCAAATCCTTCTAACAGCTGCCGCCATGTATCTTTACTATGTCTGCTGTTTACTAGAGCCTTAAATCTACATAGTAGCAGCGGTACTTTCAGTATGGCATAAAACAAGCCAGGTTCACAATATAAGTAAATAAAAGTAACAAGTTGTTCTTTAAAGGGTAAAATAAGGCAAATATTATACCATACCCTCCAACATTTCTTCAAGGAAAATAGGGACATCCCATTCCATAATGATAATTTTACTGTTTATAATCCACACATCTTACTGGGTTGCCCCAGCCACTCCGAGCAGCTCCCAACATATATACCGTAAAAGCATTAATTTTTTTAAAAAAACTTCCTGATACAGGATTGTCTTCAGTTAGCTCAGGGGTCAGATAACTCCATACCCTCCAACATTTCTCCAGTGAAAATGGGGACATCCTAAAGAAAAGTGGGACATTCCAGGATCAAATAAAAAACTGAGATGGCTTGTCTAAATCAGGGATGTTCTTAGAAAATAGGGACACTTGGAGGGTTACTGATTCTTGAAGATTTAGGTTTGCTCTAATAAAGGCTACTGTTACTTTAAATGGTAAGGTAAAGGTAAAGGGACCCCTGACCATTAGGTCCAGTTGTGACCGACTCTGGGGTTGTGGTGCTCATCTTGCTTTATTGGTCGAGGGAGCCGGTTTACAGCTTCCGGGTCATGTGGCCAGCATGACTAAGCTGCTTCTGACGAACCAGAGCAGTGCACGGAAACGCCGTTTACCTTCCCGCCGGAGTGGTACCTATTTATCTACTTGCACTTGACGTTCTTTCGAACTGCTAGGTTGGCAGGAGCAGGGATTGAGCAACGGGTGCTCACCCTGTTGTGGGGATTCGAACCGCCGACCTTCTGATCGGCAAGTCCTAGGCTCTGTGGTTTAACCCACAGGGCCACCCACGTCCCTTCACTATAAATGGTAGTCGCTTGTAAATATGGAAACTTGCACAGAAGTGAAGGAGAGGAGGAGGGTGGGAGAGGAAAAACTGGCAGCAGGGAGGGAGGGGGAGCAGAAATGAATGGAAGGAAGAGAGAGGAAAGGCCCCTCTTCAAGAGATCAGTTCAGACCTCTGGCAAGAGTAATCTTGTCCCTTGTCTGATAGTTGATAGCTGTCTTGGGCAGAGAGATATACAGAAGGGGGGCAGAAAGAGTTAAGGGGGGGCCCTACCCACAAGGGACACTGCCCCCACCTACAGCTGGCATGCAGCTACCAACAATTTATCCCTTAGTCAATGCAGGGGGTGGGAATCCTATGCATGATGCTACTTATTAATATAATTCGTTCAGTTTCCTTTCTTCGCGTATGGCCAATATTCATATGGAGTTTGAGATCTTGGAAAACAACTTGCTGCAAGTTTATCTGCCTGAAAATTAGACCCATATGAATAGAAAACGTTCCATTCAATTCTGTGGTTGTTCCACCTAATACAATAGCTTGTTTGTTAGTTGTACGTCCTTTGGTATGGAACCATAAATGACCGCTTGTTCTACTGGAATGAACAATTAGATTACAGTTAACTAGTCCCTCCAGAAGTCTGCAACTAATTATTTTAGCGTTTCCTAGCAACCTGGTTTGGCTGCTCCTCACTGCAGCTGTATCAGCCATACTAGTAAAATACTAAAACCCGTTTGCTTGCTTGAGAAAATTTCAGCTTTTAAAAAGTCAAATGAGTAGCAGTCTTTTTAAAAATAAAAAGATAGCTTGCGGTCATCATGGCCACCTGCATTTAACCGGAGCTTTTGTTTTACTATGATTTGAGACTACATGTTTGCGTACGAAGTTCTACTGACTAGGTCAGGAATGGCCAAACTTGGGTTTTCCCGGCCCTCTTGCTATCCTTCCTGTGTCATATTAGGAGTCTCACTTGCTATGCATTGCTGCTTCCTACTTGGCAGACAAGCCTTTCGTTTGCCATGGGGAAGAAGGGTGACTGCAGAGAGCCTTACAGCACACAGCCTGACACACACAAGCTGACATAGGGAAGAATTGCAGGGGCCGTGAGAACCACATGCTGTACCCGCCCCCCCCCCATTTTCTAAAAAGTGACCTCTTATCTCTCGGGGGGAGGGGCTCACTTCCGACAGCACTGACTTGGCTGAGCACCATGTAAGAGAACCACATGCTGTTTTTGCACCAATAACAGGCCACCCCTGAGGCCTCTGTGTCATTGCAAAGGCCTCTGAGATGACTTGTGTGTTACTAGCTGGAGGATGAGGTAAGATTTGGCACGTGACATTCTCCAGCCTTGCTTGCACAATGCAGGCTCCCTTTCCAGCCAGGTTCTTGAACCTGGCTAGACTTCTGCAGGTGCAGCCAATATACTGGGGTAGGAGAGCTGAAAATACCGTATTGGCCCAAATATAAGCTGCACCTTTAAAATTGGAAGGGAAAAAAGAAAAAATACCTGAATAGAAGCCGCTCCATTCCTCGCTGCTCCTGGCTGCATACTGGGGGTGGGGGGGAACTGCGCTGCATCGCTGGCAGCCTTTCCCCTTCCCCGCTGTCTCCCTTCCCAACCTCAGAGGAGAGGACAGGGGACTATGTGTGGGGCAGGCGCCGCTTTGCCGCGCTCCTGGCTGTATACCGTAAGGTCGTGAATATAAGCCGCACTTTATCTTTTCACGGTTGGAATTTGGAAAAAAAGTGAGGCATATATTCAGGCCAATACGGTAATAACAATATATTTCACATCTGGCAACCAAGGCACCCCTTTGGTTTCAGATAGTACATGGGTTGTCAAGTCTAAAAAGCCCGGGACACAGAATTTTAGAGGCCTCTAGCAGCCATGGTGGCTCATTCACCAGAAGTAATGCATTTAGCTTTAACTCTGGAAGTGTATACTCGATTCTGACCAAACTAAGCCTACTGATGTATATTTTGCTCTAGGAGGCTTAGTTTGGTCAGAATTGAGTATGCACTTTCAGTGTTAGTGCTAAATACATCACTTCTTGTAAATGAGCCACCATAGCCACTGGCATTTGCCCTGGGCCACTGGAATAGAATGAGATAAATAAACAAACGGTAACATAAAAATGAAGAGTAGCATTAATAGTGGAAATATTTTTCAGACCCATATGCTACCTTAATTTGCACCAAATAATTTTATGGAATCTAGTTTATGAAATGATCACAGACACAGAGTCACAGGTTACCAACCTTAAAAGTCCCGTTATAAGCTATGTGGAAAAAGCATCCAAATTAATAATGCTCACTTAAATGCCTAAGCAAAACAGAATTCTGTTTAAATGGTAATCTGGTGCATATACATGAAAGGACAGAGGGTGAAGGCTCAGTTCCAGGAACATTAAGCTCAATGCGGTTGCTAGTGTCATAACCTTAAAAATCCTTCTCTGCACAACGGGGAATCAATGTTGGAGGCATTTTGGGGAGCTTTTGCCAGTGAAACACTGTCTTTTTGTGCATCTCATTTGTCTCCCTAGGCTATATTTAGATGTTAGGGGATGGTACTTTCATAGAGGCATGTATGCTGTTTGCTTTTGTTTCACTGTTGGTTTATACAGTCATCACTGTTCTGTGACTGTCAGGCTTGATAGGTTCCCGAAACAGAAAGGCAATTGTCTGAGATGAATGGTTGAATTCTAAAACAAGCCTCCCTTCCCCTTCGGTTTCCTCAAGCTTATAAAACGGGGAAATATTTTTACCCAAGAGCATTTACTTCTCATTTCTGGCAACACTGATGGCAGGAGTGCAGATAGTTTTCACCCTAATTGCCACCTATCATATGCATATACTGGCTTCATAGTTTTATAAAAGGCAACTGCACCTGGGAACTTCAGGGTTGGGAACTAGTCCAATAAATTTCCATGGATTCTGTGTGATCATGCCTCAGAACCTTCTTCAGTGCAGAAGGAGTGTGTCACTTCAGCCACTGTGTTTGGCAAGCAGGGGGAAAAAACCATTTGGGTATATATTATTGCTCTGCCAAAAGTTATCCTCTGTGGTTTTTTCAACCATTATCCATCAGTTAATAAGAAAAGAAAGTGAAGGTTGTCTCTAGGCCTGGGCAATATATCAATATGAGGAGTACGAGGAGCAGACTGTGTTGTCAGCTTCACTCAGTAGGTAGCACTGGTGAAACCGCCACCACTCCTGAGTCCCTCTGCTAGCAACTTTCTCCAGCGAGTTGTTAGCAGAGGGACTCAGGAGTGCTGATGGCTTCACCAGCGATATATCAGGGAGTGAAATCGCCATCCCACTCTGCCCTCATACTGCACAGAGGGACAAAAAGGCTGCATCTGCATCTTCTAACTGAGGAGTGTTCAGTTACCACTCCCCCTAGTTAAAGGCTCCCCCAGCCCGGCGCTGGCTCCCACAAAAGCGGGGAGAGCTCTGGGCATTGGGAGCCCCTCTGGGCATTTACTGGGGATTGGGAGCCCTCTTGTGCCCCAGCTAAGCGCACAAAGAAGCTGCCTTGTCCCAGACTGCTAGGGGCTGGGGTGAAACCACCTCAGCTCCCATGATGAGAGCTGTGGTGATCTCACCAGGTGCCTGGCAGGCTGATGGGAATGCAACTTGTTTTTTCAACAGCACGGTATATTGGCAGGCCACGATGTTTGGCTGGTGATATACCACGATGCTGAAAAGCTTATATCGCCCAGCCCCAGTGGACTCATTTTAAAGATATTGGGGGGCGGGCGGATTAAGGTGAAAGGAAGGGCTTCCTTTAAAACAAAATCAGTGAGTGTATTGCTCTCTGGCTCCTAGTAGCTCAGCATCCTCAGGTCCCTGTGCTTCAATTAAAGCCCAGGTGTCTCCTCCCTTAGGGCTTTTCAGATCAGGAAGCACAAACAGCCAAGGAAAGGGGAGACTGCTGGAGAAATGTTTAATGGAAAGAAAAACACACATACAAAGCTTGGCTAACTTGCAACAACCATAAGATAAGCTCAATCTTACACCCACTGTATTTTTTTTTTAAATAATAATCTAAAATTACCTGCTAATGAGGCAGAAAAGCAGAAACTTCTTTTGCAAGGAAATATAACTATTGGCAGATTAACAAGGTATTGGGGCCTTTCTTCCCCATTTGGCAGAGAGAGAAGGCAGGTTGGAAACTGTATCGGATGACCTGCAGTGGAAAGGAGAGGGAAGTGCCCCCATCATATGCTGTTACTCTTCTGTCTTGTGAAATTTACTTTTCCTCTAACACAGGAAGATCCAAAGTGGGAATTTCCTCGGAAGAACCTGGTGCTTGGCAAAACACTTGGAGAAGGAGAATTCGGGAAAGTTGTCAAGGCAACTGCTTTCAGGCTTAAGGGGAAGGCTGGCTATACTACTGTTGCAGTCAAAATGCTAAAAGGTACTTTTTCTGCAAGTGCCTGGAAATATCTGCAAATGATTTGGTAACTTATGACAGAGGTCCAGCTTGGAAGCAAAAAGCTGCCGTATCCCACATACGTTCCAGCCGGATGTCCCAAAGCATTCTATTTATATTCTGACATTTCCCCCTGTGCTTCATTGATGAGGGCAGTCGCTTCCACGGGGCACAAGGGCAACTTGACTTAGCTTGGCCAATGTAGCTCACTTAAATTGTCATCTCAACAGAGGCGTTTCAAGAGCATTCTAAAAATGCTGCGCTTTTCAGCTTTAGCTGAACTCTTTCCTACAGATACTTTAGAGCACAGTATAAAAATAGCACCTCATTGTCACACAAAAGATGCGAAAGAGCAACATGCTCACCAGATCTTTCTCTCTAACTATAGCTGCTCTATCGATATACAATGGCCAGATCTAGAGTATTTGGTTTGTCACAGCAGAGTGTGACAGAAGCGAAGCAGTAGCTTGGGAGGAAGGCCAGCTTGCCCATGGGTATGCCCATTGTTCCTTTTGCTGTCCTTCACCTGCCTTCCTTTTCCTGCATGCAGAATGGTCGGGAAACTCTTAGCTTAGATATGTCCAGAGTGAAGAGAGAAAGCATTTGGCCTTGTGCAATGCCACGTCCCCTTTCCCAAGCACATTGGCATTGGGCTGCAGTATATCAGGGGAAGCAGTGATGGGTGAACCAAGGGAGATGAAAGGCAGTATTACCCATCTCTGCAAAGTAGTAATAACAATTTCAAGTTATGAAATGGTAGGTTTATTAAAAAGCTGAAGATCATCTAGTTGAGATATCTGTACCAGGCAGAATGTTATAAACCTCAAACAGCAGTTAAGGCATTATTAGCCTCTTGTTGGCATCCATCTGTCTTGAGAGACAATGGGGTGTGCCTCCGAGGTGAAGTCAAACTGCTGGAGAATCACTGTGTCTGCTGTGGCTACAGAGATCAGTAACTCATAACTGTTGCCTCGTGTGCTGTTTTTGCTGTGTAAGCAACACCAAAGTGACCTCTCAGGGGCGCAAGCTTGGGCAGTATGTATGGAGGTCCTGGGCTGCCCAGATGAGAGCCTTGTTGATGTGGTCCAAAGGAAAGCACAGCAATACATTGGGCACCAGCTTGGCTGCCGGAGTTGCTAGGAGGTGGTGTACTGGATGCCATCCAACCATCTTAAGGACTCCAAATTTGGGTAGACTTTACTCCTTAGTCTTGTCGTCTCCCAAAGATGTCCTGCAAGGTAGAGGGACATTAACCTGTATCACCCAGTTAATATTGTGACCAAGCAGGAGCCAGCTATCATCATGCCTATAGTGCAAAGAGGAAGCTTAGTAAAGGTAAAGGTACCCCTGCCCGTACGGGCCAGTCGTGTCCAACTCTAGGGTTGCGTGCTCATCTCGCTCTAGAGGCCGTGAGCCAGCGCCGTCCGAAGACACTTCCAGGTCACGTGGCCAGCGTGACGAAGCTGCAGCTGGCGAGCCAGCACTAGCGCAGCAGGCAGAAACGCCGTTTACCTTCCCGCTTTATAGCGGTCCCTATTTATCTACTTGCACTTAAGAGTGCTTTCGAACTGCTAGGTGGGCAGGAGCTGGGACTGAACGACAGGAGCTCACCCCACCGCGGGGATTCGAACCGCCGACCATACGATCAGCAAGCCCTAGGCACTGAGGTTTTATCCAAATTCTCAGCATCTGCTTCCAGGTTCCACTGAGTATGCAGTAACAGTGTCCGTTCGCCTGTCCCCCCCCCAAGAGCAAGGGGATATTAGCAACAGACCTGACTTTTTGGTGCTGAATCATCTGCAAAATATTACTAAAAGAGGAGCAGTTTCAGTTAGATTTCTTCTTTAATGTTCTCAAGTGGTCCTCACTGTTTCCCTTTAGCACCACATCGCAGCAACTTTTTCAGGCAAGATACTCAAAGCCATCAAAGAATACAGGAGCTTGGATAGGAGCAGTTTGGCCTGCATTTGTTCCCTACCTGCTACATCTTCCTTTGCAATAGAATGATTAGAAGGTTAGGGCTTGAGACATGAGGGGTTGTTATAGCAACCCAACTGTTAAAGGTGGGTGTCGGTTAGAGAATCTAGTGGAGCAAGAGTTTTCAAGACAATCTAAGATTCTTTCATGAAAATAAACAAGCCTGATTCACTTCATGCCTCTCAGTACCCTCTTCTTTGGCTTGGAGGAGGCTAATTTTTTCCATGTGGGTAGAAATCAAGGAAGCACTTTCAGTCTCTCTATACATTATTCATTTAAGGCATTTTAAACCTGCTCTTCATCTGAAAAAGGCTCCCAGAGTGGTTTACATGAATAATTAAAACAAGGAACACCTTGCCCCTAATTTGTTTAAGATGGTTATTTGCAGCCAGTAAGTGCCAGAGATCCAGGTAGTATGTCAGTATTTCAATATTATGGGAATAGTGCTTGTAATTAATATATGGTATTTCTTCTATTGCTCTGTTCTGCAGAAAATGCTTCCCAAAGCGAGCTGAGAGATCTGCATTCAGAGTTCAATCTTTTGAAACAGGTCAACCATCCACATGTCATTAAACTCTATGGAGCTTGCAGCCAAGATGGTAAGTGAGATTCACACATTATACAAGTGGGGACCATTTTAGGCATGTCCAATTTAGCATGACTGCTGACGCACGGGTCCTTTTGGACCTGGAAGAATGGGGTGGGACAGGGGCAGGGTGGGCTTATGTGCATTCTGTCGATGTGCGCTGTCCAGAGCTGTCGATGTGCACTGTGACCTGGAGCGCAAGCACCGTGGAAATGAGGGTTGCCTGTATATAAAATAAGAAAGAGACGGTATGTAATCCCCAGAGTGCCACAAGAGAAATACAAGCTTGGCACAGTCAATCAATCAGTTTTTCAGTCCTGTGCCCCAAAGTATCCATCAGCAGAGGAGGCTGCCTTTTATTTCTACTGTGGCACTTTCACTGCTCTGGTCATTCCTACTTCCAAACATATTCCACTGGGGGCCTGTTTTGGGGCCCTACCTTCGCATTGGATGCGATTGCTTTTCTGGTGAAAAGATCAACAGAAATCTGGGCTAAGGAGGCGGCTTGCAGAATCACCGGGCTTTATTGGACAAAGGTGCTGCCGGCTTAGATATTGAAATACTCCCATTACATGTGTATTAGTCAGCTAAAATGGTAGTACCTGTGGCCACCTGCTTTGGACATGACAGGAACACTTTCACAGTGATAGGTACAATCCAGCAAAACAAGTAAGAAACACACCTACACCTTACTGATAACTTTATAGGATTTGGTCAATTACTGTATTGGCCCGAAAATAAGCCACACTCGAATATAAGCCGCACCTTTAAAATTGGAGGGGGGACGGGACAAAAGAAATACCTGAATATAAGCTGTTCCCTTCCTTGCTGCTCCTGGCTGCATGCTGGGACTGCATTGCTGGTGGCCTTTCCTGTTCCTCGCTCTCTCGCTTCCCGGCCTTGGGGGAGAGGACGGGGGGGGGGACTACACATGGGGTGGGTGCTGCTTTGCTGTGCTTCTGGCTGCATACCATAAGGTCACAAATATAAGCCACACTTAAACTTTTCATGGTTGGAATTTGGGGAAAAAGTGAGGCTTATATTCAGGTCAATACAGTAAGTGACAGATGCTTAGTTTAGAAATAATATTCCATAGGACGGTGCAATAAAACAGCCGGAGGGGGAATTAGTCTGGTAACTTAGGCATTCATTTCAATAGATCTGATGGCAACTGTTGTTGCATAGCAACAGTCTCACATTTGAAGGGGAACTGTGCCTTAAGGGACTGGCATGTGATTTGTTATACTGCCATACTGAAGTTGGTTGATTTGTGCAGCCGTATATTCAGCAGCACCCCCAGTTTCTGAACTTGCTAACCAGCCACATTCATTATATGTTTCCATATGGCACAATTTATAAGAATTTCATTTGTGGCTGACAGCATGTGGGGAAGGTTTTTGTCGTCTCCAAAGCCCTGGGAGCAGGGTTCCATTGGAGTCCCTGGGGTCAGAGTTTTAGTGTCCTGCTTAGCATCTTGTCCCTCCTATGGCAAGCACAAGCAAGATATATTACACAAAGTCTATGCAGATGTATTTAATTCAAATAATGTATACAGGCTGCAGCATCCTGCTTTTGTGTATATAAAATTTGGATTCATTTGGCCTGGAATTTCAGGGTGTTGTTATTTTTAAATCGGAGAAGACACAAAGCCCTGCCTAACAAAGATAAATACAGTGCTAGGTTTTAAGGTTGGTGAATGAGTAAAATTGATACAAGCTTCACACTCTCTTGTTAGCCTGGTACAATAGGGGAGAATGCTAGGATTCCTGCTGTTTCTGGTTTGGATGCTTATATTCTCTGCATTCTGTTAAAGCTGGGATAGGAGAGCTTTGAACCTCCAGGCCTCTGTGTTCAATATTGTAGCATGGGGGAAAGCATTCATGTGGGTGGCTATGATGAGGCAAAGCTTGCTAATGGACTGAAATGTCAGGATCCTTTCTGCAGGAATCTATACTTGAGAGCTTTAACAAACCACTGTAATTAGTGTGCAGGGAGCACGAGATACTGTGAGGATTACCACAGGCTGCAGAAAACAATGTTCATACCTTAAACTGAGTGCTTTTGACTGGTTTCTCTGCGCAGACCAATTTGCATAGAAATCTTCCTTAAACATTCCATAAAACCAAGGAAACATCACAATTTATCTGTCTGACTTTGGAAGAAGTGCAGCGTAACACCATTGATTGCTTTTCTTAGACAGGATACCCAAAGGCATGTTCCCAGAAAGAAGCACTTTTCATTTCAGTTGCCTGTCTCCATGGTGGGAGAACACTTCTGAACATAAGAGTTCACCTTATAGCACTGGGTTTTGTTGTGCTCTTTTTCATAGTGAAGTTTATATAATGTTCCTTTGGTGGGGTAGGAGAGCTGGAGTGTGGGGGGAAATCACATCTGGAAACCAGTGTGCCCCTTTGGTTTCAGATAGTACATGGGGTAGATGAGTCTAAAAAGCCCAGGACACAAATTTTCACAGCCCTCCAGCAGCTATGGTAGTACATTTACCAGAAGTAATGTATTTAGAATTAAGTGTATAGTTGATTCTGACCAAACTAAGCCCCGTAGGATTATGTGCAAATAAGCTTTATATTCTGATTTGCTTGATGTGCGTAATTTAGGCTGTAGTGCTGCAAGGGAGTAAGACCCGTGGATCTTAGTGGGACTTAGGTCTGAGTAAGCATGCATAGGACTAGACTGTTAAAACAGGTAACAAAATTAAATGGTTTTTTGGGGGTGCAGGTGTTTGTTTGTTTTTAAGTACAAGGTGTATAAATCTTGCTGATATGCTGCTTTACTAATTATTGAGAACAATAATTTTTATGTATCTTTTTACGCCTCAGGGCCTTTGTACTTAATAGTCGAATATGCTAAATATGGCTCCTTGAGGAGTTTTCTGAGGGAAAGCCGAAAAGTTGGGCCCAGCTATATGGGGAGTGATGCCAACAGGAATTCCAGCTACCTGGACAATCCAGACGAGCGAGCCTTAACCATGGGTGACCTGATCTCGTTTGCATGGCAGATATCTCGCGGAATGCAGTACCTTGCTGAAATGAAGGTATGGCGTCCCTCATCTCACCCTCTCTTTGTGGCCTTCCAAGTAAGCATACATGACAGTTAAACGTCTTTCTTTCTTTTCCCCAAAGCTTGTACATCGTGATTTAGCAGCCAGAAATGTTTTAGTAGCCGAAGGGCGTAAGATGAAGATTTCTGACTTCGGTTTGTCAAGAGATGTTTATGAGGAGGACTCTTACGTCAAGAGGAGCAAGGTACAAACACGGTCACTGGCAGCCTGGGATTGATAAGTTGATAAGGAAACTATACACATTAGTAAGAGAACTTCTGGACACAGCACATTGAAACATGTCTAGCAGGACTCATCAGTGCACAAACTTTTGTGTGCCTTGAGATTGTAAAAAGGAACAGCTAATATGGGTTGTGTAAAACCTGTGTAAGTAGCCTTCTGTTTTTGATCTTGTGCAAGCTATTTACTTTCAACCCAAGGGTTTCCCTGGTGCATCCATGTTTTGCTGTAATCCATATGAATGAAATGCACATTTTCTGATAAAAGGCATATGAGACTATTTGACAACATGCATGTTAAATGTGACAAAAGTGAAATGAAAACAAATGTGACATGAGAAGCAGTGCTAAACAGAACTTGCAAGCAGTAATAGTTCTTTATTTTCCTGCCAGGGTCGGATACCTGTGAAGTGGATGGCAATTGAATCTCTCTTTGATCACATCTACACAACACAAAGTGATGTGTAAGTCTATGTATTTATGTTCCCTTTCATGCAACTTTGTCTTTGTACTCACGCTGTGCCAGAACACCTCGGGCTGAAGAGGCCACCTGCTCTATAGCCCTACTGTAGAAAACAGAGTAAGTTGTAGCAGGCTGGATAGTCAGCTTCTCAATCACAAGATACCCAGCATCTCCTGCAAGGAGGAGATTAAACCTTAGCTAGCAGTAACTCAAGGTTTGTTTAACAAGCTTTTACTGGCCAAGGCATTCATGAAGCCTCACTTTCAGCTAGCTTTCTGCAGTCCTTCAAACACATTTGCTGTAACACTGGACAATATAATGTCAAGGCTGAATTTCCCTAGAATCAGAACCCCTCTAACCCAGGGATGGGCAACCTTTTTTCTGTCAAGGGCAGCATTCATAGAATTGTAGAGTTGGAAGGGAGCACCAGGGTCATCTAGTCCAACCCCCTGCAATGCAGGAATCCTTTGCCTAATGTGGGCTCGAACCCATGACCCTGAGATTAAGAATCTCATTCTGTACTGACTGAGCTATCCCATGCTTGAGGGCAATCTGTCAAGGCTGCATGCCCACAGTAGGCAGGGATAGAGCCAAAAGTGGGCACAGCCACCCATTTTCTCTTTGTCCAGCACCCTGTTTTCTTTCCCCTTCCCCATCAAATGAGCTGCTAGCAGAGGGACAGGTCACTCTTGCCACAACACTGTAAAGATGGGGGGGGGACCTTTAATCGCTTGCTGCCACAGCGTCATCCTTAGACTACATGATAGTTCCATCCTTGAACCTACAGTCCATTGTAGTGCATTGTCTCTGACCCCCACCTCCCCAACGTGCTATTTTGCCCTGCAAAGAATTGCAGCTCATTAGATTTCATACACAACCAGTAACCTCTATCTTTAATGTTTGTATAAAGTGGAGGATCTGAGGACATACATAGCTCTTGGTGGGAGAAGCCTGAGCCACTCCACTTTCTCTCTTTTGTGCCGTTATGAAGCACAGAGGCTTTCTTGAATGCAAGCTGGTGAATTTACCCTTCAGAAATCACGGGGGTTTTGTCCGTTTTCCTTTTGCTGGCATTCCTGTTTTCTCTCTCCTTGCCTCAGTAATGTTCTGTATCTGTGAAATAAAATAGACTCCGTCTGAGAAATTGTGGTTTCTTCAGTATGAGGTCACATTCCCAGGATGTTAGGTGTCGGGACTTGTGTGCACAGATGGGGCCCTCGGAATGCAGTTTGAAGAATTGTGCTGGGTTCTGGGCATGAAGAATTCTTTTGTACTTAGCGAGCTTTTTGCTCATATTCCAGTGACCAGCAGAAGTAACCACAGAATGCTGGGAAAAAGCCAGCTTGAACCATACCGGGGGGGGGGGGGGACACATTCCACCAGCTAATGAGGGGAGCTTAACAAATACAATCTGGCTATTTAACATGTATTCTGCTGGTGACATTACTTTGTGCAAGTGTTCATTCAAGTCCATGTCTCTCAGCATGATTCATGCGAAGGAACGGTGTTTTGGCAATGTGCACTGATCAGTTATTTAGAACTATAGGTGGCCAACATTCATTTAGTGCTAAACATCCCTGCAAATCAGTCACCTGAATTTATCAATGTGTTTGTGACCCTTCTGTGGAACCTTCAACTACAGAAGCATGGAAGGGCAGCATCACCTCCATGTGAACTGGCAACTGTGGGAAACAATGCTGGTCTGATAATGGCAATACAGCTCTTGTGTCTCAGTTAACTGATTGAAGTGTGCTATTTAGCAGTGAACTGGTTTAAGGCAAACATAAAGCATGATAAAGCACAAGTTACACAGGGCTGGGGAACCTTTGGCCTTTGGGCCAGATTTGGCCCGCCAGGCCTTCCAGTTTGGTCCACCAGACCATTTCCCCAAACTCACATTTACCTGTCCTACACCTGATGTCCCATGTGAAGTCAGTTGCCGGGAAGGTAAAGATGTGGTTGGATCAGCTGTATGTGCACCTGAAACCAGAAGATAGCAAGAATGAATCAATGCTACACATCAATCCTGGTTGGTCAATGTCTACCCCCTGCCCCTCGCTAACTTTATCTAGGTGGGTAGGCCATTATGATGTCAGATGATTGACAACTGGGTGATTCTGGGTGACAGCAGCATAAAATGGTGAGGGACATGGGGAGTGGCAGATCTTCAACAAAAAGCAACACAAAATGCAATAAATAAATTGAGCAGGAGCTTGGAATGGGTATAGGTTAGTATACTAACTAACTAACATGACCTATAAGGAACCCTCCAATGCTATAACTAATTCTGTGGCAAACTGTTTTTACAGAAACAAGGGAGAACCTTAGAAATAAAATCCAAATTACTGTAAACCCTGTTTGGCATCATCATAGAGAGAATGATAAAACTGTGTGGAAGAGGCACAGATTCAAATAAAAGGCATATAAAGGGAACAGATGGACTTCAAAAACTTTGTGAAAGGTTATCTGACTTAATTAAACCAAACGTCAAGGAAGTTGCAGAAAGTTTCTTTCCATGCTAGTAATAATGGTCTGGTTAAGAAAAGAATGTAAAAAAAATCATCATATGACCAAATGAGGCAAGCAGTTCAGTTATGCAACCATTTTTGCAAACCAGTTCCTTACTGAAGTAATTTCTTAAAATTTATGAAGCAGAATGATTGCTGCTCCAAGAGAAAAAGGTTTCAGTTGCCAAAAATTTCAGGAGGAATCCCATCCTAGTGCGTTTAACACAGCTTGTGACTGCAAAGCTGAAAAGTGGTGAAAAAGTCCCAGCCACTTAGAACACATTCAATCTCATACAGCTCATTAGGAAAATGCACTGTTAATCACTTTGGTTACAAGGTAGTGCACATTACAAAAGAAGAAGAAAGTGAGAGAGTACAAGTTTGCCTAAATTTTGCATGTGATAATAGATACATACATCTATCTCTATGTATAGATGCACATTTATAAATAATGCCTATACCTTAAATAGAAATACAGTGGAACCTTGGTTGTCAAACACTTCAGAAGTCAAACATTTCAGCTTTCAAACGCCGACAACCTGGAAGCAAATGCTTCCAAGGCGCAATTCTCCATTTTCTCAATGGATTCTACAGACCGTCCATTGAGCCTTGGTTGTCAAACGTTTCTGAAGTCGAACGGTCTTCCGGAACGGATTACATTTGACAACTGAGGTTCCACTGTACAGTACATCTCACCATTGTGGGGAATACTGTGGCCAAGTGATCTGTGTGCCTGATCTGTTTGCTGCCCAGGTGCTGACTGTTGAGGGACAACTTCAGGGCGCCCACTCTCCTTTCTTATGGTTATCTTTTAATTAGACACAAGCAGGGCAGCCCTTTGAATAGAGGATTGGAGCCACTGATTTAAGGGGAATAGCCGTGTCTCCCTTTCTCTGGATTGTGTTTTGTGACTAGGATTGTTGATCCTAGTTATTTGAGAACTAAAATAAAGCTTTTCCTTTTTTAAAGTTAAATGTGCAATTGCACCATGCAGTTCAGAGAAGTTGCAATAGAACATTGGGTTGTATCCATCATTAGTCATATTTAGAGTAGACCCACTGAAATTAATGCAAATGAATAACTTGCATCTATTCTGAGTAAAACCTAGTTGTATACAACCCCATAGATTATGCAGTGTGAAACCGAATTCTAGAAAACGATCAGCTTCATCAGATATGTAGATTTAGTTTCACCAGTGCACAACTGATGTGCAGTATGGAGGCTGGAGTAAACTTCAGTGTAAGCCCATTACCCTAATGCTTCCAGTAAATATTCCTTTCTTTTCTTCTCAGATGGTCATTTGGAGTTCTGCTGTGGGAGATAGTCACTCTGGGAGGTAACCCCTATCCAGGTATTGCTCCTGAGAGACTGTTTAACCTCTTAAAAACAGGCTATAGAATGGAGAAGCCAGAAAACTGCAGTGAAGAAATGTAAGTAGCATCAAGCTGCCAGCATTGCTGATCAAAGAGATTCCATTAGTTGATTATACCAATAAAATATTATGATCAGCTGCTCTGATTTAGGTCTTTTCCAGACAGAAGGTCTTGAAGATGTAGCTTGAGTGTGTTTAGAAAAACAAAGAGGAGGTGTCACACCTTGCCATCATAATGAATTGTGAAGCAATGAACTCAGACATAAAATTGACATATAAATAGACCAAAGATATGAGCTGGAGCTAGGTGAAAAATCTATTCACTGATGTATTTGGGGGAGGCAGGATAATGTACCCATCAGACAATTCAAAACAGAAGTTGAGCATACCCCAAAACTCTTGCCTCAGATCAACACACCCATAGCAGGATAGGCTGTTCATAGGCAACCGTCGTTTTTCCTTGGGGAGCCAATTATACAAGGGTGTAATTCTATGGTTAAGACATGGCTGAGTCGTTCAAATGGTACACCAGCCACATAGGAGCTGCTTGTGAAAAAGGCAGCACCCACACCACTATAGAGCATTTAAAGGACAGCAATGACTGCTTTTAGGGCTGCAGTAAATTTGTTTCTTCATTCGCTTACACAGTGGCTTAGTTTTCGGCTCAGACAACTTGCAGGCTGAAAGGCATCTTACAAAGGATTTTTTTTTTTTTTTAGCCACCACCAAAAACATTGGATCCAAAAGCAGTTTAACTATAAATGGGTTGTTTGTTACAGTGTCTTATCTTCCTGGCTGTTCGAGACAGCCATCTCTCTGTGCAGACTCCTGCTTCTCCCTCAGTCCTGGGGAAAGGCAGTAGGCAGCTTTGCGTGGATTCTTCACTTTTTTAAAACAAAAAACAATGAAGATCGCACAATGATAAAATTGAATTCTGCGGTCTGTATAGATGTCCCAATAGCACCCTGCCTCTGCCTGCTTGCCACTTCCTTGTTGATCACTATGTGATCTGAGTAGAAGCAACTTGCTTATACAAGTTGGCCAAGGGTTTTGTGTAGAGGAGGAGGATAAGAAACCATTTTAATTTTTTTTGAGCCAGAGAGTCACATTCCCTTGTGTGGCTAACCTTCTGAGCGCTGGGCAACGTCACAGTAGTGGAAACTCACCTGAAATTCTTCCTCCCACACACATGTCTACACACATACAGCAATTAGGTATTGGAGGGTTTTTCAAGCTTAATTGCTTAGCGAGGGTATGATCTTAATGGAGAGCACAGTGAGTAGGGAGTGAAGAGTTAATATTTCTCTCCATTGCTGCAGTCTCCATAAAGATACCGTCCCCCTGCAGGGCAGTTAAACTTTTTCAAAACACTTCCATTGTCACCAGTGGTAACTTTTAAAAAAAAACCAACCTAACTCCTGGATTGAGGTCAGATAAGGAGGGGAGTCTGCACAGGTTGCATTCAGCCCATGGGGTGGAGGTTTCCCCTTCTTGGTGTAGACACTTTGATTACTCTGGCGCTGTTGCCACTGCTTAATGTTTGGGTCCATTTGTGCATGTGAAGCATCTCAACAAAGTATTTGTATTAATCAATATAACATTCTCTTATGTGTCTTCCTGAAGGTACAATCTGATGCTTCGCTGCTGGAAACAAGAACCAGATAAGAGGCCGACATTTGCTGAGATCAGCAAAGAATTAGAGAAAATGATGGTAAAGAGTAGGGTAAGTGCCTTTCAGGCTTTATCACTGTGCATGAAGGAAAGTTGGAAAGATTTTCCAGTGCAAGGATTTACATACCAGTAATTGGTAAGACATTGTCCATTTTCCACCATTCATCTTTGAAAAGAATGAGATCAAATAAGAGTGCAAATGGGGGATATTTGAAATTGGGAAGCCCTACCTAATGAGAGGAGGTTGATGGTTCAGAGGAAGGGATGCAATTGCATATCACAAAAAGCTTTTACTGGTGGCTGATTACATTTTTTTATATACACCAACAAACTTTAATGTGCGAAAAGGCACTTATATTCACTTCGTAGTCAACTTTTATGTTCCTTTTGACCCTAGACACCACTCACTTACCTGTTTGCAGCAACATATGATTGCAACAAACAGGTGTTTTGAGAACACATGCTGCATTCACCAGAGACAAGATTACCTGTGCCCCCCTCTTAAATGGCCATTGATGTGCTCATAAGTGACTTGGGTCTGTTTCACAAATTATCATGGAAGGAAAATTCTACAACAGTTTTCTTTGTCTAGTTGTAAAAGATAAATAAATAAATAAATGAGTAGCTGAAGATCAAACTCCTGTAAAGAAGTAATTGGCTTATACCAGCATTCAGGTTTCAAGTCACTTGTTTTTCTAAGTGATGTACCCTCATCTGAACAAAGTGTTGGAAGTTTATGGGCTGCGTGAAGGTACCCTTCCCCCAGTTCCTCTGAAAGCTTTGGTGCCTTTAAAACTGTTTCTTCTGGCAGCTGCTGCTCACAGCCAGCTCCAGTTCTTTACAAGGCCCTGTGATCTCTGCCCCCGCCCCCCAATCAGAAGCTGATGTGGGTGGGCTTTGGCTCACTGGTACTCCTTGACAAACAGAGCTAACTGTGAGCAGCAGCTGCTGGAGAAGAGTTTTTCAAGCCACAGAAGCCCCATTAGAAGCTTGGAATTTGACCAAGGAAGAAGAGGAGCAGATTCCTGCCCAACCTCATTTCCTTCTAGTTGAAGGGGGGAAGTGGAAAACTGCATCTGCATGTGAGAAACCTGTGCTGAATTATACCAACCTCATTGACTGCCCCCTCAGATTAGATATATACTTTTATGAAATATATGTTAGTTACTGCTGATCACTGCCCAAAAGTTTTCCTTTAAGGCTCTAGGCATTTGGGGATGTATCATGCTGCAGCCCTAGCTTCACTTAGCTGAGGGAATTGGGCTGTCATTCATTCATGTAAAACCAAAATACCTGTTTCTCATTAAGTAGAGAACAACAGATCATTTAAGTGTAGATCGATGCAAAATGTCAAAATCCAGAGGTAGGATAGTGCAGCAGAGAAAAAATAGGTTTTGTTGTTTGTATTTTGTTTTGTTTTTTTTACTGGAATCCCCAAAGTGGCTCACCAAATTAATCAAAAATACTGTTCTGTGAAAAACATTTTTTAAACAAAAGTCTGGATAAAACACAAACTTTCTTCTTAAAAGGGTAGTATAAGAGCCCAAGCACAGCCAGGCTCGGTTACTTGATTTCTATGAGTCCTTTTAAAGTCATTTCCAAAATGGCAATTTATTCAAAATGGCATCGAAAAACAGGTTTAGGAGGACACACCCCTCTTGCCAGCTTGGAGTAGCTTCATCTAGTCCATATGTGCTTTATCCAAGTATTCACTAAATGAACCTTCCCCTCCCCAAATCCAAACTCTACAGGACTGCCAAAGTGTAAGTATCTCCCTACTCCTTGACCAGTAAACTAATCAAAACTCTGCACGATGGTAAGATGCTGGGCTTGAGAAAAATCGCTCAGGTAAGCTTGTGCTAAAAGGTACTAGCATTTACATGGAAAAATACATGGCCAGAGGAAAAGGTCCGGCAGGTTGCTGTGTATGATGGACAGAGGTACCCATAAAATAGACCCTGCTGACTTCCCAAACTGGAGTTTCAAGCTTTTTAAGATAAAGAAACTAGAATGTCAGGCTGACCAAACCTTAACTATCAGGACATCTGGTTCATCACGCTCTGCAGCAACAAATAGCTATTTGCATACTTGGTAAGTGTAGTTAATGTGCTCATTAACTGCCTCTCAGAACAGTTTATAATTATAAATAAACACACACTACTCAAAGACGCAGTTTTCCAGGAAGGGCAATACTATGCCGTGAGTAGGGAGTTGGACCTAACAATGCACAGTCCAGATATTCATAAGGAATAAAGGGATTTTAAGAAATCCAAATGATTCAAAAAGCAAAGCTTCACAATGCAAGGAAGTCCATTCCAGAGTAATCAACTCACAAGTAATGTTTGTGGTTTTTTCAATGAAAGGGAAAAGGTGGACAAGGTGCTTGGATCAGTCAGGAAAACCACTTGTGCTGTGGACCCTTGGCCCTTGCTAGCAGGGAGGGAACAGCTGACTGGGCCAGGGAGATGATTAATGCCTTCTTGCAAGAGGGAGTGGTCCCTTCCCGCTTGAAGGGGGCACTGGTAAAACCACTTCTCACTGGCTGCCAATGCAAAGTGTTGATTTTACCTATAAAGCCTTAAACTGCTCAGGACCTCAATACTTCAAAGGCCACCTCTCCCCACATGAACCGACCCAGACCCTGCAGTTATCACCAGAGGCCCTTCTTTGCATGCCTCCACAAGAGGTCCAGAGGGTGGCAACATGAGAATGGGTCTTTTCTGCGGGGGTTCCCCATTTGTAGAATGCTCTCCCCAGGGATGCTTGCCTTGCTCCTTTGTTACGTATTGTTAGGTGCCAGGAAAAAGCATTCCTCTTCTCCCAGGCCTTTGCCTGATTCAACAAACTATAGCTTTGAAACTGGGGTGGGGGGTATTGTTTTTGTTTGTTAGAATGTTATATATTTTGTGATTTTATATTGTATACCGCCCTGTGATCCTCAGATGAAAGGTAGTATACAAATTTTATAAATAAGATGATGATGATGATGATGATGATGATGATAAAGTATTCCTCTCCCCAAATATGGTAGTCAGGTAGACCTTGTCTCATGAAGCCATCCAATGGAGCAAACCAAAAGTCTGATTTCAACAGTGGCTAACTGGATTCCTCCTGGAAGCTTATAAGCATGTAACGAAGGCAACAATCTTCTTTTGTGGTCCTGTTCTAAATAATTACAGTGGTACCTCAGGTTAAATACTTAATTCGTTCCGGAGGTCCGTACTTAACCTGAAACTGTTCTTAACCTGAAGCACCACGTCAGCTAATGGGGCCTCCTGCTGCTGCCGTGCCACCTGAGCACAATTTCTGTTCTCATCCTGAAGCAAAGTTATTAACCTGAGGTAATATTTCTGGGTTAGCGGAGTCTGTAACCTGAAGCGTCTGTAACCTGAGGTACCACTGTACTATTAGAACTTTACTGTATCACTACACCACCTCACCTAGCATTTTATGTCCAGCTGTGGCTGTTTCTGAAATTTCACAGAAAAGGGGGGCATTACCCTTTCTAGGAGTCTGGAATCTTCCTGATTCCAGCAGTCCCTTCCCCACGTACCAGATTCATCAAATAAATGGTTCTGAAATGGTTCCCGATTGCTCAGAGGAGCTTCTGTGCCATGCTGATAATCGTACTCGGAACGCTTCTGCTATCCTGGAAGAGGCACAACATTTTCCAAGTCTGCCTGCCAGACTCACTATGTTAACTTGCTGGCAAAGGACATCGCTCATGGGGAGCCGTAATTGAGCATATGTCTAAAGAAGCATGTCTAGTGTTAATCCAAACAAATGTGTTGCCAAGGATACCATTCTTGCAGAAAGCAGGTTGGTGATGATCTCATCCATACTGATCCTTTAGTGTTCAATTTAAATTGTGAGAAATGTGGATAGAAATGATAGCCAAAGAGCTGCACTCTCAACCAACCCTAATCCCTCCTCTCTCTTTTCTTAAATCTGTTTAGGACTACTTAGACCTTGCAGCTTCCACCCCATCCGACTCCTTGCTATATGATGATGGACTCTCAGAAGAGGAGACACCCCTCGTGGATTGTAATAATGCTCCCCTCCCTCGAACCCTCCCTTCCACATGGATTGAAAACAAACTCTATGGTAGAATTTCACATGCATTTACTAGATTCTAGCAACACACACACCCAAAGTGATTTTCTTCTGCACTGTCCTCACACTCTCTGTAATATCCTTTAGAGCGTTATTTGTCTGAATGAAATCAGTCAAAATTTGCTTGGCAAGTCTTTCTTTTCCTTTCATTTGTCACTGTCAAAACTCTGCATTAGGTTCTTTCTTTAGCCGGTTCTGCAGCTGTGTTTAATTTTTTAATTTTTTTTAAAAGAAAAAGGATGTGAAAACGTGCAACTTTACTAAATATATATTGTATAATAAAAGAAAAAAACTAATTCCTAGATCAGGGAAGTACTCTCAGGGGAAGTTTAAAAAAATGCTAGCAAATATTCAATTAAAACTATACTTTTCGGTATCCATGGAATTGAGAGCACTTCAAGTGCATCATTTAATATGGCATCTCTAATTTTAGGTAACTTTTTTTTTACTACTTGAAGATTTTTATTCCCCCCTTCCCCTCACATTTCACTGTTAAGAGTCCATTGCATAATAGTTCTTGTTTTTATTCTGATGGATTCCTGAATTTCAACTGTTGCCTGTATATTTTAAGTTCCCAGTCAGCCATGGCTGCTTACTAAGTAGTGGAATTTAGGGTGGGGGCAGAGAAGGGAAGTCTAAAAGAGTCAGCTTACAATGCAGAGAAGTCAGAGTAGAGCAAGTACAGCTGTGTATTTCATTGGAAGCTGAATTGGTGAGGACCACATGAAAGCAACCTCTTCTGTTTTCACATGCTTTTGGTTTCTCATGAAAATGTCAACATCTAAGCCATGTTTTGAATGTTGTCGCAAGTGTCTTAAAAAGGAATGTGCTTTAATATTGTGGTGGTGAGATGGACAGTAAAGATGGTTCTTGCCAAAACTCCTACATTTTTTTGTCTTGTAATTAAATGCTCTACATGCCATTTAATGCTTTCAAATTGCTATAATTCAAGCCATGTGGCTTTCCCCCTTTGCCCATTTTTTTGTCAGCATTGAGGTACTGATTTGGAGCCTAATATTGAAGCCTCCGTTCTTCAATTCATAGTTAGACTCTTAAATTAATGGGCATGTTTTTAAGATGGCTTATGTACCAGGCTAATCTTTCCGAAGTCAATGAGTTATTTGAATGCCCCTTGAATAGTCTAGAGTAGACCATAGTTGTTATATTCAGGTTCCAAAAGAAATACTTGGAGATTTATTTGTGTCTTAGACTTCAAGGCATCCTTGCAAGGAGTAGTCCTGCCCCAGCCCCCAAACTAAACAGAAACAATTAGGTGATTCAGGAAGAAGAGCAAGAATCAAATCTGACATTCACTGGCCCCGTGGAAGCTGTTCCAGGGCCCATTAAAAATATATATGCTTATGTACATACATCCTATTGACTTCAATGGGATAAATGTTTTTAGGAGTGAAACATGCATGCTAAGTATTTAAACTTGTCAGAATGGAAGACTATGTAGGCTTACTACTGCTTTGAGCACTTTATTTACCACAGGAATACTCCATTGCAATAACCAATCTGCTGTATTCCCATGAAAATACAACATTGTGAGATCCAAAGACCTATCAGGAGCTTGTACTGGGGATATATATCAGGAGAGCACTTTATTTTTCATTGTTTTGGCCTTCACTGCAACCTGTGCTTCAGTGCCTTTCAAACACATCTGTTTGGTTTTTGTGTGTTTTCTTTTCTTCTTTTTGTGGTGGTGGGGATATTTTGTAATTTGGCTTGCAATTGTTTAAGGGAGTTTTGCCAAGGGCCTTACTGTCTGCACATGAAGTTTTGGTTCTTCAGTGCAGAAAAAATTATCTGTTTTCATTTTTAGGCATGTCATACCCGAACTGGCCTGAGGAGAGCCCCGTTCCACTCACAAGATGCGATGGCCCTAAGTCTGTGTTTTCAAGATATGCAAATGATAGTGTATATGCTAACTGGATGGTTTCACCCTCAGCGGCAAAATTTATGGACAAGTTTGATAGTTAACAGTTTCTTGGTAAAAAAAAAAAAAAAAAGGTAATGGACTCAGGAGGGGAGCAAATGTCCAAAGAACGGCCTTCCCTTTGGCTCATTCTTTGCATAGTAACAACTGGTTGAAGCTACAGGAACATCTAGAATGGGAAATGTTCCTCTTACTTTTGGGTAGTACCTAAAGTGTCTTCTCTCTCGTGTGATGAATACTATAATTGACTCCCTGCCCCCTTTTAAAGTTGTATCAAACTGGGTCACATGATAGTTTCAATTCCTCCGTTGGTTTTTGCCATTCTCCAAGCAGTCCATTTTGGTAGCTGTGTTTTTACGCAGTAGGACCTTCCTACTTAACAATGTTCAGGGCAAAGACCCAGTTCTGCAATGGATATGAAGAGGGTGGGGGCAGGGGAGGACCACTGTTGTTTCACTATATAAACTGCTATCTCTATGGTCATTGCTAAGAAAAAGCAAACTGATCCAAGCATGAAGCACAAATTATATGATGGGAACAATTTTCTCTTTAAAAAAATTCCTGAGTTTGCTGTAGCGTTACGTGTTACCATGTTGTTGGCAGTAACAAATCCTGAGTTAATGGGGTTTTGGGACCAAGACATTGAACGATTCTAGTCAGTGCTGAGATTCAACTTTTCAAGTCTTGGAACCCTATAGAAATATATTGTTCCATCTTAATGGGAAAAGAGGTTTTTGTTGAAAAATCAGGGTTAAACTATTCTTAACTTTAGCACAATGGAAAGTTTTTGATATCAGATATACTTTAATAGACTTGACCTACAGAGTGCCCACCTGACACAACTTTTTTCTTTACATCCATTTTACTGATGTCTCAAAATCTGCTCAGGATGTTTTGAAATGAGCTGAAGCCAGGGAACCTGGTTAGCAGTCATGCCCAGAGGGTTTTTGTCCTTTCGGCTCAAAACTCTCTTAATTTCTGCAACCCAATTGCACAACCATATGGGACAATGCAGACACAGCACTGGTTCCCTGTTAAGAATGGTTGATACACTGGGAGTCAGGCTTAGAATTGTGTGCAGCCTCCCTCCCCCTTAATTGCATTTACATGGTTTGGATCACCAATGTTCACCATGGTTAATGTTAAACAGGGTTCCCCATATCCCAGGATTCGAATCCCTCTTCAAACTTCTTTCAGACCATGGTAAAAATGTGAATCCTGGTTAGCCAGAGTTAACGTTGGTGGTGACAAACTGGTTGTGGTGAAGGAGAAACAGCCTGCAAAAGAAAGCACACCTTCCCAAGGCCAGTTCCTTGTTTTTAACAACAGGTAACAGGGACCTCCTCTTGCATTAACCCCTGGAGAACTTTTTATTTACACACTTATTTTCTTGTGAATCATGTGCAGACAAAACTTTTTATTCAATGTAGTCTTTACTCTTTTTTTCTTTTTTCTTTTTTCTGTCCATATGGCTAATATGTCTAAGGGTTTGGGTTTTTGTTTTTTTGAGAGTAAAGCTAATAATTGACGTGATGTTTTAACTTTAGTGTGGTGTTCTGGAAGATAATCTGACTCCTGCAGAGGTTAGATAAAATGATTGATACACACGGCATTATGTTACTGTATTTTGTTATGAAGTTACAATGTTAAGGAAGGGGAACGCTGGAATGTTAACTCAATGTGTTTATCCTTTTTGGATACTCTTGCATAATCAAAAAATTATACCAAAGTATTGCTTCTGTCTCTTGGGTTTCAGCTATGTAGTTCTGTGTGTCTCTTTTACATGTCCCATATTCCAGAAATCAATGAGTCAGATTGCCAAAAACTGTAACCACTCTTTTAATGCAAGAGGTCTGAACACCTCAACAGGATAACATTGTTTCAAAGTAAGCCTGTTCTCAGACAAAGGGACAGGTTAAAGTTATTGTTCTGTAAGCTAACTACTACGCTAGACACTGTGTTTACAATAAAAGATAACTGCCTACAGAGATGTGAAACAGCCCTGATTATACTGTAACAAGCAATCATCTCAAATAATAAAAATGTAAATGTCATAGGCTTGCTACTTCATTATTGTTGAGAGGAATTATTTGTAAGGACTCAAACCCACAGTGGGTACTGCTGGTGTGTGTCAACACCTAACCCAAGTCGAAGGAAGGACGGACAGACAGCAAACCAATATATGAGCTTTATAAAAACCTTTTGGATCTAAGCTTGACCACACTTCTGACCAACAAAGAAAGCACTTCCTCCTGCTAAATACAGATCACCTTTGCTTTCCTCCTACTCTGCTTTTGCTGCATCCTGTTCTTGAATACCAAAGCGCTGGATCTGAACTGTACCATCTGTATCTGCCTTTCTTACTAGAATTAAGGAGAAATCATATACATGGGTGGTGCTGTGGTCTAAACCACTGAGCCTCTTGGGCTTGCTGATCGGAAGGTCGGTGGTTCAAATCCCTGCAACAGGGTGCGCTCCTGTTGCTCGGTCCCAGCTCCTGCCAACCTAGCAGTTCGAAAGCACGTCAAAGTGCAAATAGATAAATAGGTACCGCTCCGGTGGGAAGGTAAACGGCATTTCCGTGCACTGCTCTGGTTTTGCCAGAAGAGGCTGTCATGCTGGCCACATGACCCGGAAAAACTGTCTGTGGACAAACATTGGCTCCCTCGGCCAGTAAAGCGAGATGAGCACCGCAACCCCAGAGTCGTTCGTGACTGGACTTAACTGTCAGGGGTCCTTTACCTTTTCCTTTTAATGCTCACTTTTTTTGGCCAAATTACGTTGTGAAAATTAAGGTGCACATTAGATTTGAGTAAATACAGTATATTCCCTGGGAATAGTCACAACTATCTGATTTCCCATGAGTTGAGTATTCCCAGGCATAGCAGCTTCCGAACGGAATACTTGATCCTCATTTTGCAACAATTACAGCATGTGGATAATACCCCGTTTTTCTATTCCAGTATTTTATGGTATGAATGGCTGTCCTATACTCTTGAAGTAAGCAAAGCACTGAATCTGATACATCTTATAGTCAGTAGTTAATCTTTTAGAGGACAGAAGATATTCCATATCATTTGCTATTCATTTTTTGGTCCTTATGCAGCCACTAACCACTCCATTTTGCTGCCCGAGACAAAGATGCACCCCCTCCACTCCATGTACAGAAGCAAATTAGCATGGCAATTAAATCTTTCTTCATTACTGGTGATGGGACACCATCCTCCCCCATTGAAGGAGATGGGTATGTTTAGCCTGGAAAAGAGGAATGGGAGGAGATCTGATAGCCATCTTCAAATAACTAAAGGGCTGTCACATGGAAGATTGGAGCAAGCTTGTTTTCTCCTCCTCTGGAGGATAGGACTCAAACAAATGGCTTCTAGTTACAAGAAAGGAGATTCTGGCTAAACATCAGGAAGAACTTTGTGACAGAGCTGTTCAACAGTGGAATGGTCTCCCTCAGGAGGTTGGATTGTCTTTCCTTGGAGGTTTTTAAGCAGAGGTTGGATGGTTGTCTGTCATGGATGATTTTGCTGAGATTCCTGCATAGAAGGGTGTTGGACAAGATGACCCTTGAGCTTTCTTCCAACTCTACAATTCTATGAATTCTTTGCAGAAGAACCAACAAAGACAAACTCCATGAGAGTAGGTATATATTCCACATTACAAGCAGAGCTACCCTTGCTACCTCCATACAGTTCAAATGAATCAGAGCAACTGGAGTCATGTAGAAGAAGAAATAATGTGCAGCTACTTTGGCTTGCTTCAGCAATGGACAAAAGTAGCAAACAGCATTTATAAGCAAAATACTACAGAAAATGCTCTTTTCTCAGACACCCCACCCCAAATAACCAAGGTCCTTTGCACTCCCATCTGAAGCAAATTTCAGCTCTGTTGGGGGAGTACCTTGACCAAGGATTGTATACAATGATGAGCTCATAATCTAATTGTGGGTGTTGTTGCAGATTCACAAAGTTTGTATATGTGCTTCGCTAAAGCATGACTTGGTGACCTCATTTTGTCACAAATGCAACAGTTCTTTCAAGCGTACAAATCACTGTTGTGGAACCTTGCATTTCCTAGCACAACAGCTGAAGTAATGCTTAAAGACTGATGGTGTTATTTTAGTTACTTCCGCCTGACACTCAAAAATATGTTTATAATAACGGCACTCTTTCTGCACGTTCATTTTAAAATCAGGCACTCCACATATTCTATTTCATAGCCATGCATATTAGTTGTTTTTGTTAATATCTAGGGCCGAAAATAGATTTAACTGTAGGAATGGAAGAAGAGGACATAGATGTGGATTCAGAACAGGGAATGTATTAACCATTCACAGTGAAGCAGCTAAGGATTCTTTCTGAGCTGAGAATATTTCTGCAGACTCCTCTTTTCTTAAACCTTTTCAAATGAGCCAGTTAAATTAAAAGATGGCATACTGCATACATGGGCTGTAATCCAGAAATTAGGATGGTCAGTTCTGGAAACCAGAGCTATGCACATACGCTGTTCTTTATTTGACAATAGGAAAGCATAATTCACATTTATGATACTCTGTCATGGCTGTCACCTGGCCAGGTGACATGTGGGAAGGACCAAAGTATATATGAACCTTAAAAAAAATCTAGAGAAAGCAATAGAAGACCATTGTGGGATTGGCTGAAACGCCAGGAAGGCAGAAAGGGTGTGGTCCCAGAAAAACAGCCATGCCGTGGAGGTAAAAGGGGGAAGCAACAGAAAAAGTGAGACTGTAGGCTAAAGAAATAGGCTGATGCTTTCAGTAGTTAGGCATGTGGAAGAAAAGCACTTAAACTGGGGTAAGTCATCAATTACCTACATCAGTGCTGCCCAAGCTTCACAAATATGATCCCTTTTTAACACCAAAAAAATCCACGGACTTGCCCTATGCTAATTTTTGTAATTTTATACTCTGTTTATTATCATTATTTATTGAATTTATATACTGCCCTATACCCAGAGGTTTCAGGGTGGTTCACAGAACAAAATCAAAATATAAAACCACAAAAAATATAATCAAAAT